TGGGTGCTTTTGCAGAAATGTAGATCTTCATGGTGCCTCTTGCACCAGTAGATTTCCCATGGGTTGGTATGTGCATCATCCCGCAGCTGGATAAAAGTACCAAACAGTCTGTCATCCCTTTCTGTGCCTCCTAAATGACCTTTTCCTAATCCAAGGTGTGGCTGAATGGCAGTACAGAGCTGTCACATCCTCTCTCTGTAGCTCATGATACTCCTTGCAGCAGCAAGAAAGCACTTCGGGAGATACTCCAATAAGATTCTCCATCTGGGAGCATAATAATACGGTTGGTTGGCTTGCCTGTGTCCTTACACCCAGCTTGGAGCCATATGCTGTACCGTTTGAAAAGAAGCATTCAGAATTAGGGAGAACTTGTGCATTCAGAACCCCTTTGATACTGAGCAAAGGCAAACAAAGCTGTCAGTTCTCCCCCCTCAAAGTATCGCACTGTGTTACTGGTGATAATAAGGTAGCACTAAATTCAGGTGCAAAGGCATCCTTGCCAGAGGCTGAAATGCTGCAAGTGACAAATTTGGTAAGCAGCAGAAGGAATTTGTCAGTGTCAGTGTGGTAATTTTGTCAGTGACTCGAGGGAAGAGGTAGTTGCATTATATAGAGGACTCTGATAATTTGAGGGGTGGCTTATGCTTAAGAATTGCTGAGAAGAGAGAAAACCAGGCTTCTTTCAGCCCTGGTCACAGCTTATACCCACTGCAGTTTAGAGTTCTTGAATGGCTTGTTAATTAACAGTGTTCATCACAATGCGCTAGTAATGCATTGGAATATGTTCAGCCAATACCAAGGAAGATGGTGATGGGGCAGGGATGATAGTGTGAAAGTTCAAACAGTTGATTCTAACCTTGTGGCTTTCCAAAGTCTGAAATCTATGGAGTTATCAAAAATAGACAGCATATATACTTAATTCTTTCTGAAACTAGTTAGGCAGGGAACATATTCCCAGCCTTGCTGAGCTAATATTAATGCACTTTGTTGAGACAGTGGTATGGGGCAAGAAAGCAAAGGAAAGCGGAGACTTATTTGAAAGACACAGAAAAAGATTTTAAATTCTGGATACGGGCCAATTGCATCCCAAACTAACATGCAATTTAAATGCTCCAAATTTAGATGATTATTGGGGATGCTTGCCGATATATATATATAGAGAGAGAGAGTATAGCATTTGTATATGATAACTAAACATCCCTTCAAATTACATCATTATCCAAATTACATCATTATCCAAATGAAACTAATAGTTTGTAGGATTTTAACAGTATATTTTTACATTGTAAAATCATAATTAAGCTTTCACCTTGCATCTGTAAAACTTATTTTACAAACATGCACAGCCAATGGTAGTAATTGAAGATGTGACTTAGATGGGCACAGTTTCTGTGTGTGTGTGTGTGTGTGTGTGTGTGTGTGTGTGTATTCCGCATTTTAAATTATTTGCTTTTGATTGCATTTTTTTTACAAATTAAGCCCATGTAGACCTCAGTGAGTTAGCATATGAATACTATAGATGTATTAGATTTATGGACCATGAAACCACTGAAATGGTAAACATGTTCACATTTCAATAGCTGCTAGACATAAATTTGTCCAAGACACTGTATTAAGTTACAAACCTTCTGTTGAAGCAACAAGGTTTGACGCCACTACTTTGAGGAGGTACCACATCCTACAGCTCTACTGTAATAAAGTCTGGCCCATCATGTAACCGTGGTACATGGAGGCTTTAAATTTACTGGTACCCTGTGAGGTTTCCTGTCTTAGCAGAATGATCTCCAGTGTAATATCTAGTAGAAGGCTAGTTGCCTTGATATCTAAAGAGCCAGGGTGCTGTGCAGACAACAATTTGGCTGGGACACGTTTAAAATGATGCCTGCTGGCCCTATTGGCAATCTTTATGAATTACGGTAAGTCAATCTATTGTCCAGAGATTATGTGTCTACAAATGGCATGAACCTAGAATCTTTCCATGTGATCTGTACCCTGAAAAAATACAAAGAGTAGCTCCTGCATACGAGCCTGTGCACAAACAACTGGTGTGGGTCTGGGCTATGTATTGAAGATTAGGTGAATTAACCCCTCTCACTTTTTTACCATCTCTGGCCCAGAACTGTCATTTGAACAGGGCTAAGATCTATACACAGATAAGTAGCAGGGAAAGATTCCATGGGCAAGTCTCAAACACAATGTGTGCAAAATTCAGAGCCCCGGGAACTTCTTGTGCGGCAGACATTTTTGGCAGCAGACTGTATTCAGTTGACAATCAAAATCAAGACATGAGAAGTCAATGGGCCAGATACTATTCACCCAAGATTTCTTTAAAAGCTGCTTGAATGATTTTGTAAAGCAGACAGATGGGATAAAAGTGTATCAAAATGAACAAGCAAATAAAGACACCAGTGTGAAAATACTGGTTTCTAAAACATATATCCTACCACTAAAATTTGCAAATTTATTGTAGGATAGGAAAACATTTAACTTAAAGAAAGCAAAACACCCCACAGGCAACATGAAATTACAGATTTAATAGGGGAAGATAGGAAACATTTAAGGTTGCAAAGCAAATTGGCAGTAGGACCAATAAAAACTAATTCCTTGCATTTAACTGCATAATCCTTGCTTGCTCCCTTTCATACATTCACCATTGTTCTTTCTAGTAAGGAGTAGGCAGAACTCCAGCAATCTCCAACCCCAGTTGCAACTAAACAAAAGGATAGTAGTTGAAGTAATCATATATTCTTACCCTGCTCACCTCTGCTCCCATTCCCCCATTCCCCTTTTAGATTGTAAGCATATTTGGAGCATGGGCCCTATTATATCTATTCTTTGTAAAGTGTGATGGATGGTGTTAAACAGAGTATAGTGCTGGCTGGGGCTGATGGGAGTTATAGGGCACTGGGTTGAGCAAGGCTCTGTTAAATAAAGAGACATTGGACCTTTCCTATGCCACACTGTAACCAGAAGGAGGTCTTCAAATTACCGTATATGTTACTGCTTCTTTTTCAGGGGCTAACCACAAGATGCGATTACTAGAAACAAGAAATCCAGCAAAGGTAAAGAATACCAAACCACCAATGAATGAGACAAAGGACAAAGGCAGGACTAAAGTCTCTAGCAAAATTTTATATAAATTATTAGACTGTTTTAATGAACAATGATTTCTATTCCAACCCAAAAGCCATTTTTTGTTTACTTCTGTTGCTTATACATATGATGGGCGAAAGTGACTGATTTCGTACTACACCATCATCATGTGTTATACAGGTATTCTATTAATATTACGTTAGTTTTTCAAGGATGTTAAAATGTAGGGTAAAGTTAAAGGTAAAGGACCCCTGGATGGTTAAGTTCAGTCAAAGGTGACTATGGGGTGTGGCGCTCATCTCGCTTTCAGGCCAAAGGAGCCAGCGTTTGTCCACAGACAGTTTTCCGGGTCATGTGGCCAGCATGACTAAACCACTTCTGGCGCAATGGAACACCATGACAGAAACCAGAGCATAACCTTCCTTTTGCAGTGGTACCTATTTATCTACTTGCACTGGCGTGTTTTCGAAATGCTAGGTTAGCTGGGACAGAGCAACAGGAGCTCACCATCGTCATGCAGATTCGAACTGCCGAACTCCTGATCAACAAGCCGAAGAGTCTTAGTGGTTTAGACCACAGCACCACCTGTGCCCCTTTAGGATGTTATTAGTGCAATCCTATCCATGCCTACTCATATGTAAATCTTACTGAATTCCATGGGGTTTTCTTCTAGGCAACTGGGGTAAGGATTTCATGTGCTAGTCATTACAAATATTTAGAAATGGGAAGCCAGAAATAAAACTTAAAAATATTACAGAAGTTATAACCAGAAGTTTTTCCTGAGATCCTCAGTAATGATTTTATACCGTTCATAGTCAGAAACCTCTTATCTGATATTTTCTTCTAAATCTAATGGCTATCTTGGCAGCATGATACAAATCCCGGTCTGGTTCTCTGCTTCTTCTATACAGTCATAGCTCAGATAAGAAATCAGGTAAGGATTCTAGTAAATAGTATGGAAAAGATAAAACTCTGGCGGAACAATTCTGTTGGTTGCAGCTTTGGATTGCTGCATCAGGATTTTCATAGGGTGAACAATAAGGTTGAACAATGAACAGTGAACGGTGAAAATACATTTTCTCGAAGTCAGACATGGCATAGAAAACATGGTTAATATGCACACTACAAACAAAGAGTCAAATGTTGGAACACACCTATGGAGAAACTGACAATATTAAGCAGGAAAGATTTGAGGAAAGGATCAGCAGAAGTAAGTTGAGTGAGAAAATTTTAAGGAAATTTCCGAAGTCATACCATCAGAAGCAACAGCAAAACTTCAAAACACTGCTTCAAAACACTGAATAGTCTTATCCCCCCTATAAGTTTTTCCCCTCTTTGTTCTTTTAAAAAACAATCTGTTTCCAAACGGAGCATAGCAGGTATTGAGAAGCAGTAGTAATTACAGTTTATCAAAGCCTATGTGTCCTGAATAATAGCAGCTGCTGAATTTAACTTCCAAGTAAATGCAGTGAGTGAAGGCATATAATTATCCTATAATTCATATACACAAAACTCTAGGTTGCCCCCCTCCTAAGGAGAAAATAGAGTCAAAGGAGAACATTTGCATTCTATAACAGGCTGCTCATAAATACAAACAGCCTTTCCTCTTGACCTTCTTTACTGAAATCCACATAGAGAAATGGACACAATCCTTTAGGGTTTTTTTTTTTTTTTAAAGCTGCTTTAAGTGCCAATAAAACTTGTTTTATTTTTGCAAGCTATTGCACTATTTTGATAAATTATATGTTTGTAAATTGTACTGAGTGTTGCTAATCAAATATATTTAAATAGAAAACAAATACCTACTGGATATTCCAAGCAGGTGCAATCCATGCTGAGAATAAGTAAAGGATCAAGGAAATGCACTACAGATGGATGACAGGATAAAAGGAGTATGAATAAGCAACCTACTTTTTCTTTAGTCTTCGGTCTTTCTCTGCCTGAGTTCCCAGTTTGCCTAATCCCAGAGATTCCTGTGCTGCGGCTTCTGTTTCCATGTAACCTCCTGTGTCAAAACAGCAAATAGATTTTCTCCATTGACATTCTTTTCAAGTGGCTCTATTAGTTTAGCATTTGGTCTGTGAAATTCTAAAGTCTGTTTTCTGGGGTGGAAAGCAAAGCAAGATACCTAATCCAGAAGCTAATTCCTCACTATCCACTGGGACATATAAGAACTAGCAACAAGGAAATCGTTTGTAGGATGGTCTCAACGCCTTAGAAAAAGAAGCAGCAAAAGCCACAGGTGCCTCAACAGCAGATTATTAATATACAGTCACTCACAGGGTTTCCTGTGAGGTATGGGAAATGTCTGCTGACTGCAGGACTGTTCAATATGGAGGCGAGTCATATTATGTACTGATGACTGCATAGCACTACAGGATAAAAACAGAGTCCTCTGTGTGTAGGAAACTGTAGTTTCCTAATGCTTTGGAGAAAGTATGAAATTAGCTGGGTTTTTCCCGAGAGCTGCCTCTTAACAGAATGAAAACAGAAAATGGGCTGTAGCCAGAAGTTATGGGTGTGGAATATATGTATGGAAAAGGGCTTGTCCACACTCCTTCTTTTCCTAATACAGCATCCTAGGCCTCTTAAAAGTGTCCTCTAGGGGCACTACATCCTACCAAAACCTTTCTTGAGGACTCCTCAGCTGCCAAGAGGCTTCATTTTTTATTGAATGCATTTATTAGATGCCCAGTAGCTATTGATCTCTCTTGGTATCACACAAAAAGGGGAAAGAGTATGTACAGAAAACAAAGTCACAAAAGTCAACAGCAACAAAATAAAAAAACAGCATGGGAAAGAATTATAAAATGGAGTTAAAACCATACCAAGCAGCAAAATACAACCTTAAAATACCAACAAATATTGGTTGTGTGGGGTGCGGTAGTGAGGAACTGGGGCCAGGAATGTCCCTTTGCATGAGTGGCCTTCCAACCTCCTTACTTATGAATACAACCAATAGTTTTAAAGGTGGTTGAAAATGGGTTGGGGTTTTTTTAGAGGTATCAGTTTCCATTAAGCCTTTCTTCTGCTCGCTGTTGCCTCTAGTCATGCAGGTTTTGCAGGTTTTTGAAACAAGACAAAAGTGCTTGCTTACTGGAGGCAGGAGTAAGATGATTATACACATCCCTCTTTCAGACACCTTCGAGTCTGGAGACACACACAAACACACAGAGCATGCCACCAGCAATATAGACTGTTTGCACAGACAGATGAAAGATGTACATGCAGGATCACTGCCTAAGATATAGTATATCAGAGTCAGTAAATCTCCTCTTGTTCAGCTGTACCATCATCTGACCAAGCACAGTTAGGACATGCATTCTGTTATGGATCATATTTAAGCAACTGTGAGCTTGAAACATTGGCATGAGCTATAGTGTACCATTGTGCTATTTTAAATTAAAAGCAATACCACAAGGTAACTGGGTGGTTACACAAGTCATATTCTTAAACATTTTCACATGTTTTCTCCATCTCCAATTAGATGGGGGTGGAGGGACCCTGTTCTTGCCAACCAATGTGATACATTATTTGAATTTAAGAAAAGACATCACAGATCCAACAATAGAGAACACAAACAAAAGTTGATGTTTCAAAAGCATGCTGGAAGACTGCAGAGAGAGTCAATGAGACGACAAAAGGACAGCAAGTTCAAAGGATAAAGAAGGGAAAAAAGAGAGAAAGAGTTCCCTACTCTCAATCTTAAATATGCATCGTTGAGTCAGGTTTTTTTGGTCAAAGAATTAGAAAACAACAACACTAAACTGGATCTCTTTAACACATTATGTGACTTGATCCTAGCTAATCATCAGAAGTGGAAAGCTATGGAAACCAAGACTACAGAAAGGACCACCATGGTTTTCTGAAAGAAAATCTTTGATAATGATCATGGACCAGAGAAGATGCAGCATGGTTGAAGCAACTTTTCTCGTTCAAAAAGAAAAGAAAAAAGAAGTCCTATTGTGACACAGGACAAAAAGAAACCAAATGACATTGTTTCCAACGTTATAATTGCTGCCATATACAAGAGCACAAATCCCTATCAGAAGGCATTAGATTAGAGGTTGATCTAGACCAGCAAGTACTGTAGATGCCTCCAGGAAGAAGGACTTGAAGGCAATGGCTCTCTCCCATTGTATGGAGGTTCTAGATAGAGGTTCTAGATAGCTAGAGATATGGAGGTTCTAGATAGCTAGAGTTCGCCTTCTTACGAAGTACTTCATGTTTGAGTACAGATAGCACAAAATACAGGTTATACAAGTTATGAAGGATCATTGTGAGCATCAGTTGTGGGCTTTCCATTCCAAAAACATGCAAATGGAAAGCCAATCTTTTTCCTGCCATTGCTCTCACACTTTTTTTTAAAAAAGAGGAACAGGTATTCTGCAGAATATACAGTGGACGCTTGGGTTGCGAACGTGATCCGTGCGGGAGGCACGTTCACAACCCACAGCATCCGAAACCCACAGCGGCGCGTCTGCACACGCGTGGGTTGCAATTTGGTGCGTCTGCGCATGCGCAAAGTGTGATTTAGCGCTTCTGCGCATGTGTGACCGCCGAAACCTGGAAGTAACCCATTCTGGTACTTCTGGGTTTCGGCGGTCCACAACCCGAAAAAATGCAACCTGAAGTGTCTGTATCCCGAGGTATGACTGTATTTTATTAATATCGGTTGCATATTTTACTTTTGAACGTACTACTGCTTTGGTTGAACTAAGGTGGAAATGAAAACCCCTGTTTGTTACAAACATTTGGCAGTGATTTACTTCAAGTACTTCTTCAGAACTATGGATGGATTTTCATCCAATTATGCAGTTATGATGTTGTGGTGGGTTACAGTCATGGGGAGGGGGTAGCACATTGGGCAACTAATATTGCCCCCAGGACAGCTTTTACAGGTTGACATCTCTATTTTGTTCTAAAGAGCATAATGGATATGAATGCATTTATTATATCTTGATCCCTGGGGCCTTCAACTTACTAAAGAAGAAGAAGAAGATAATCAGACGTAATAGTATTTAGTATGCCAATAGTATTTAGTATGCCAATATCAATAAAATGGATCTTGATTAATTTAACTGACAATGAATAAGCCATGGAACAGATATTAAGCTTTTAGTCTGTGCAGATGGGAACATCTAGTTTGTGTCAAAGGGCTCATCATTAAATTGATTGTGAAATATATTGAATGTACCATATTAAAAAAACCCAAATCACCTCATTTCCCCCAATGCTAGATGAAAGGACGGTCTGAACTAGAATGTTACTAATAATGAGAAAAGTGACCATTCTGCACTAAGCTAATTATCAACCTATTTATTTTTTGTTTACATACACTATATTTCAGAATGTACAATATTTTACATGAAAAGTTAAAAATATGGGGGTTAGGCAGGCTGTATTCACTATTTGCTTGCCCCGGGGTAAACTGGGGCTGCTCACTAAATATCCTAAATATTTAGGTTAAATATTGGTTTCCTTGCTCTTTCTTGTCAATAGGGATGTGGAAGCTGAGAAGTGGAAGTTTCCAATTTTATTTGAATGAAATGATTCAGGATAAAACTTACCTAAAGTGTTGCCCCTGAATAACGTAAATGGACAATGATATGAAGATATTAAATACGAACTGTAAGACACTGTGGAAATTCTTCATATTCTAACAGGATCCATAATCACCAATATGTTCTGGCCATCTGTTTCAAATGACAGTTACCTAAATCTTTGTTTTGTTTTTACAAATGGCAACTTAGCAAAGCCACTAAAAGGTGTAGTTTTATTGAAATGAATAGAATTACAACTATTAGTCACTTTACTAAGTCAGCAGCAGCAGGATTGGGGCCAGAATTGCCTGCCTCCCCTTTTGCTGCTGTGAGTGGCTGGCTACAAATGTGCTAGTGGCTCTGCAAACCACAGTGGCGTAGGCAGGCAGTTAGCATAGCTCTGCCAGTGTATGGATACTTTTGTGTCTTATAATCTATCTGAGTATAAGTTCAAAACAGATAGGAGCCTTGTGCTATGAAGACTGGAAAAGAATCCAGGAGGGGATTCATGGAAAGCAAACGAAGGCTAAAAGCAACTACATTCATAATAGGAGCAAAAGCATGGGAACCAATGCCACTTTGAGTTTTCTGCTAGCCAAGTCTTCTGTCAAGTTGGATGCTAAACAAAACTGAAAAAGGACGGTGATGGTGGTTGTGGAAAGGGGCCTTTTAGCCAAGTCAACAGATTCATATGTTTGCTGTCAAGGTTTTTTAAACTGTGTAAGTGTTAGCAAAGTTACACTTTCGTAATTCCGTAAAGGCAGCAGAATTAAGTAAAGGAATCTCATCCTATGCCCCCTGCTCATTTAGAAAAACACAGTGAACGATGTGACAGTCAATACTAGTTATGGTATAACAGAATTATGTGGAAAAGATCCCACCAGTTTAGAAGAGAAATGAATGTTTGGAAAAGCAAAATGAAAATGAAAAAGAAGCCAAAACCATTAAAAAAAAAAATACTGAAAAACAGCGACCCGAGCCTGGTACAACTAATTCCTTACTGAGCTGTCCAAGTCGAGCCTTCTCTTTTTTACCGAACAAACGTCCTATTGAAGACTTGATTCCTTTCTTCTTGGGAGCTTTGTGTAGGGAATCCTGGCTGCTACTGACACTGCCAAGACCAATGCTTTCTGGCTCCAAGGATGCAGGCAAGCTACTATAAAATACACACAAAAGATAGATAATACATTATTGCCCTTATGAGGTCCTGTGCCCATCCCCTCCTAAGCAGCTGTGCAAACAAATTATCTGGAATCTAATAAGAGTGTCTTCATAATTGGAAACATTAATCAGGTTCTGATGGCTTCTTTCCTGCATCGTAATAATATTTAGAACAGCACAATGGCTAATTTTCATGTCTCACTAATGCTGATCAAGATGATTCAATCTAACAAAAAGTGACAGAAAGGAGGTATAATTCATCAAAGCCCTATTAATATATTTTTTGGCTTGAAAGTTCAGAGAAATATGTGTTGAGAAGAACCAAACAAATCTGAGTTGTGACAACATTGTTTTCAACCCAAAATGGGATTTTTAAAAATCTTACCTGAGAAATTTCTATTCTGAGCAGGAACAGGGTGAAAACCTAGTGAAAGGTATTTTCCTCCTACTAGGCATGGATGCAGAGCAGTATTTCTGACCGTATCCAGAGAATGAGTCCTATAAGTTCCAAAAAGCAACCAACAGCCATGGCACTGACTAGAAGTGGTGGTGGTGATGATAGGCTTCTGGGAAAGATTCCCTGCTCTATAGCTGGGCTTGTATCTGCTGCAGGTAGATCTAATCTCTCTTCAGGTGTTTTGATGTCATGCATTGTGATCATGCAAAGGGGTAGGGCTATAGGGAGGGGCATGTTAGCCTTGCCATTTTCGTACATGGCATCAGAGCACCTGAAGAGTGCTCTCGTGTATGAACTCTGGCTTGTAAGAGAGCTCTCGACCATGGGAAGGTGAGCTAAGACTTGTCTTTTGACTTTTGCTCATTTGCTGCTGATCAGAGGTATAGCTGGTGATACAGAAAGTCTGGAATAGCATAAATGTAAACTGGATTTCAAGGTTTTGAACCATTAATCCTGCCATTGCATTGCATTCCGATTCAGAAGCAGAGATATTGCTTGATCCTAGGGTCTTGGGAAACTAGGTCTTGGGAAAATGATGATTCTAGGATCTCTGCCTAGATGTAGTCAGCAAAACTGTTCCAGCTTCCAATTCCAGAGATACTTAATTTCGCTGCAAATGATCTGCCTTCCTGCTCCACACAATAAGAACAAAGACACGATTCTTACAAGGGCATTTTGCCTCATAGTAATAAAAGCCTTTAGAAGTGTACTCAACATACTCTGGAAACCCTTCAAACTCCTATGTGGAGGGCACTTTCCATGAAAAAAAAGAGAGCTTGCAAATTATGTAATGTGATCAAGCTCAGATTCCTAGCATAAAACAAACACATACAAGTGATATTATCAGAGTAACAAACTATGCAGAAGTGGCATGCTATGTCCTACTTGGTGGTGATTTGAACATTAGCGATGTGTGAGGGGGCAGATCAACAGTGGCAAAAGCATGCAAACTAGGAATGGGGTGAAGTGGTGGCTAGGCTGGGAGCTCTGAGTTGGTGGTGGTGACCTCACAGGTGCGCCTGCACCTGCAGGATGCTGATATCACCAACCCAGAGTTCCCTTGACCTCACTGCCTCCACCCCCTTCTTATCTGTGTCCCAGTGGGCACCTGGAGGGCACTGCTGGACTTGAAGTGACTCTTATTCCATGGGACACAATATTACCAAGGCTTTGCAAATGCCCACTCTGCATATTCCGAACAATGTTATAGGAAAACTACATCTAGGAGGAAGAGCTCAATGGGGAAAAAAGTTGGTTGTCCTGATTGAAATTGTCAAGAATTTTGCAATATGGGGTTCAAAAGGTTAGTAGTGGTCTTGTTAAAAATTGCAGTCCTTCACTGGTCTCCTTGCACAGGTCAGCCAAGATTCAAATTATTGGTTGTATTAGTTGCATTTCTGCACACAAATATCAAACCCCATCACTGAATCCAATATGGATTTTTCATTTTAATCATTGTTGTGAGCGTTGCCTTCTCCTTAGTTCACTTATAGAGAGCCAACAGCAAGGCAGTAAGAGCAACCACAAAAATATACCATTTTGCTCCAGCTCAATTACTTAAAGCATTAGAGGGTAGACTTCAGGCTTGTGTGGTCTGTCTTGATTTTTACTAGAACCCTGAGATCTACAACTGGAGCCTGGAGCCAAACAACATACCCTTAGAATTATAGCATTCTGAACCCAGGAACTTATTTTGAGGAGCTCAATGTCCTTCCACACCAAAATCCACTTTTGGTTATCCACAGCTTTCTTCATTTCAGCAATGTAATACAGGGCAGGGGGTGATCTTGTATCCGCCATCTTTAAGCAACTGGAAGTCGGAATCCTTGCTCATATACCACAAATTACCAAAAAATCTACCAGTAGATTTAGATCTGACTTCTGCTCACGTTTGATCTAAAGGGGCTACAAAATGGGAGACCAGACATCCAAATCAGAATGGAATTCAAGGAGTCAAGTTGTAAGAGTTAATTCCCATCTTGGTGATGATGTACAAATTTTTAATTAAGAAACGATTACTCTTGGAGAACTACATTTGCACCATATAAGAGGCCTGGGTGAGCTAGGAACTAAAAGAATCAATGCAAGCAGGGCAAGCACGATCAATGCAATGAAAGCCACTCTTTCACAAAGAAACTTGTCCAGTTTCTCCTTCAGATAAGCTACTTCTCATGGATCCTGACATGAAGTGGTGAAAAAAAGAAAAGCCATCACAGGGTGGAAAAACCCCCCAGCAGTCTGCATTTCCAGATAAATAGAATACATTGGAAGTTATGTGGAAGTTCACCTAGAAGTCATATGAATGGGTGCATTATAAAAAGAACACAGCACATTCAAGTTGTGAATTACTGTCTGAAGCAATGAGCTTCTTACCTTCTAGCATCATTGTGGTATGAAGAAGGTAGAGTATGAGTCATTCTAATGGCTCTAGGTGTTGGAGGAGGGGAGGTTTCACATTTTATTGTGGCTTTGTCTTCATGCCCATCTTCTTCGACGACTGCGATCTACAAACAAACCATGTCCATAAAAGGCAGCTTAGAAACCAACTTCCTAAGTTATTTGCAAGAATTCAAATGTTCAGTAGGCAAACTGTTTGGAATTCACCATACTTTCCAAGCAAGCATAAGGGCTTACATAAAAACCACGTTCCATTCATGGGACGCAAAAGTAACAGAAGAAAAACCCCAAGGAGATAATCGGATATGATCATGGCCCTACAGAGAGCCATTCAAGTCCCATTTTCCAATCTCTGAGGCCCAAACTGGCCCAAATAAGCACACAACTGGCCATAAAACATCAAGCGCAGGTCAGTGCTGGCGCTATGGTGAGCCCCCAGGCAACATGGTGTCAAATGGTGTCAACAGCTTGTGGAATTATGTACCAACTCTTTGTAATCCACTGTAGGCACCCATGGGGGCTAAATGCCTATGTTTCCATATTGGATGGAAAGTTTCCACCCTCAAATATATAATGGATGAAAGACATGACACAACTGAGGAATTTCAAGAAAGTGAACCTCTTTATTCAGAAAAGGAGTGGAAGATTCTTGGCTATATGGACACCCTACACAGGGTTGCATAAACAAAGAATACTGAGCAAGTTTGGGTTGGTAACAGATAATTCTACACCCCATCCTCTTGACATAGATACATAATTATTGTGGGGTATAAAGAAAAACCAAGAGTGGATGGGGCCAGTAATTAGCTTACTGTAATGTTTGGACCTCAGGCATCATTTAATTAACTTTATATGGACCCAGTACAGAACAGGTTGATAGGACTGTGTTGCTTACACATGCTGTGTCTTCTCACACTCCATGTTTGCAAAGCCTGGCTAATTTATGTGAACATACAATGGATATTCTAGCTCAAAATACTCTTCAGTATTCAAAGTAGCTTCAGGGAGGAAACCAATTGCGTGTTTAGACCCAGAGACCCCCCCCTAAATAAAAACACAATTGACTCAAATTTTAGTTTTGGTTTTTGGCAGAATTTGGGCCACAACTTTATTGATTAGAGAAAGTGAGTGGTTGCATAGGCTCTGGTTCGACTAGCTCCCTGCACCCTTGCAGGTAGTGCTGACCCAGAGCTCTATCATAGGTCAGCCAAGGGTGAACACCTGAGGTAGGTAGAAAGCCCGGGAACAGACTATGCCCACTCCCCAGATGCTCCCCTGGACTCAGGCATGGGAACAATCCCCTTTAGGGGTTGGCCAAACCAAGTTGAGTCCCTGGATTCCTTTAACGGAATACCCTTCACATAGGGATGGCGTGACTGTTCTCCCATCCCTATCACCTGAACCAGTGCCTATCTGCAACCTTAGAAGTTGTGACGATTTGCTATGCAGCAGACAAAACCCAAATGGCAACAGCCAATCAGCAAGTGGGGAAAATTCCTGCTGTGCCCCTGTCCCAAAGGCAGATGACACACGACGGCATAGCAAGGTCAATTGCAAAAATGCCCTAAATATAGGGAGAGGTATACCCACCCACAACCAGAAGGTCAGTCTCCAGGTCTCACCGCAACACGTGCCCTCTTTTAGGGAGGACACGCTCTGCCACTAAAGAAGTGTATAAAATTGAGACCAGCAAAAGACAGGCCTCAGATATTGACTCATCTGTGTAATTTGATGCATGCCACCATTGTTTTATTAATCCCACATACATAGCCAAAGTTACAACTGGATACATATCAAAGCAAGATCAAAATTATGTATCAGTACAGAATTACCAGGGTTCTGCTTAATAAGCCGGAAGTAATGACAACTTCTGATAGTTTCATACATGCTTGTGACATGTATTGCTATAACATTCAGGGTGCTTTACTATTTAGAAGAATAATGAGAAGTTTTCTGCAGCTGTATAAACTAATATGCAAAGTTATGATTCACAATGAGTTACACATCAAATTTCAAAGATGACACAAATCATCTTTGTGAGTTTCAAGAGCTGAGGCCTGATTTTAGATGTTCTCAAGTTCCAGTTACAAATGCAGAAATTCATTTTGCAAAATTACTTTAAAAAACCTGTGGAAAAAATCCGGTTAAACTGAGTTTTAAGTGCACATGGGAGAAAATTCACAGTAGCATGCTAAAAAAGAGAGAAAAGTATGCATACCTTTCTCCGGTGCTTCCTGAGATCACTCGGCTGGAGTTGAAAACAAAGGAAAGAACAAAGGGGAATGATCAAAGCCGTGTAGGTAAAATAAAAGATACTGATATCCTATCCATTTCCATTTTTCAACATCAAACCGGAAAATCAATGTTTTGGAAACTGCAAAACTTCAAGTAAAATACTATGGCTTGGATCTAGAGTTAACTTGTGCAAGGTGAAAAGCACTTCCACTTATGCAAAGCAGCCCCATGAAATCTCCCCCAGTTTCCCCATATTGCTGCAACTCCACTAGCCTCATCCAACATTGTTCAAGGTGGTATGTTGAACCTCAGAAGGCTTTTCGGAGATTATGGGCTCTGTAGTAGATGGGGGAAGGACTCAGGAAAGTCCTACTGTATGATGAGAATTCTGCTTAGTTTTCTCTGGAACCAACTCCACAAACATACTTGAATCTTTTAATTTGCAGTTAGATCTTATGCTGCTATTTTAACTGCAGCAGGAAAAGCAGGGCTGCCTTAAGTCGCATTTGTTGCCATGCAGCAAATTAAGTTCTGTCCCCAAGTAGTACCACCCAGTGCTATTTTTCTAGAACTCATCATCTTCCTTGTTCTATTATGATAGCAATGGTGCCCACCTGAGAGGTGCTGGAACTGAATCCTGGTGAGTTGCAGCTGAAGAAAAGCCCTGGTACCACCCCACCAGTCTTTAATAAAGCCTTCTTGTGACTCTGTTTTGCTGTTGCAACACCAGGAGTTGATTTCGATGTCATGAATGAACTCTGTAGTAGGCTTCCACCTCCTTTCCCTTCCCTTTCTTCTCCCATGCATTCTACTTTAATAGTAACTTCCTGACTTTTGACAAACCATAGTTGGCCATGATATCCAAACTGGCAAACTATGGCTTGAATAACCCCTTGCAAACCAGAGTTGGGAATCTTGTATCAAACTTGTAAATGGAAGTTCATAGATGCAATGCCTTTCAGTTAGTAAGGCTTGGGGATGTGGACAAGGTGTTTGGGTTGGTCAGGGTGACCACTAGCACCCGAGACCCTGAGCTGGTAATATCTAGGAGGGAGGGGACAGCAGGCTGGGCTAGGGAGGTGATTAATGTCTCCTTGTGAGAAGGGATGGTCCCTGCCTGCTTGAGGGAGGCAGTGGTAAAACCATTCCTCAGGAAACCCTCCCTGGATTCAGAAAACCTAAGTAACTACTGCTAATATCTTCTTCTTGGGCAATGTTCTTGAACAGGTGCTCACAGACCAGATCCAGGTACTCTTGGAGGAAACTGATTTTCTAGGTTGATTTCAGTCAGGGTTTAGGCCTGGTTTTGATACAGAAACTACTTCGGTCGCCCTGTATGATGACCTCTGTTGGGAGAGAGACAGGGAAATGTGCCCCTGTTAATTCTCCTCAAGCCCTCAGCAGCTTTCGATACCTTTGACGATGGTATCCTTCTGGAGCAGCTGTCTGAGTTGGGGGTGGGTGGCACCACTTTGCAGTGGTTCTGGTCCTACTTGGATAGTTGTTTCCAGAGGGTGTTGCTTGTGGAGGATTCTCCAGCCCCATGGAGCCTTCAATGTGGGGTTCCTCAGGGTTTGATTTTATCCCCTATGCTGTTTAACGTCTACATGAAACTGCTGAGTGGGGTTATCAATAGGCTTGGAGTATGCTGTCAGCAATACACTGATGACATACAACTCTATTTCTCCTATATATCTGCAGGTGAGAGAGTGGATGTGCTGGATCATTGGTAATGGACTGGATAAGAGCCAACAAACTGAAGCTAAATCCAGTTAAGACTGAGGCACTGTTAGTGAGCAGTTCCCTAGACTGGGATGGCTAGAAGGTTGCCTCCTCTTTATAGGGTTATACTCCCTCTGAAGGGGCAGGTTCACAGATTAGGGATATTTCTGGATTCCTTGTTGTCACTTGAGGCTCAGGTGACCTCAGTGGTGTGGGGTGCCTTCCATCAGCTTCAGCTGGTCTCCCTGCCCTATAGTCTTTTTACAGCACAGCCACCAAGGCCTAGCACCTACACTGTGCAAACAGACATGATATATCTGAGAAGTCCTTTTATTAGGAAAAGCACTTAAGGATTCTCACACGAATGCCATCATAAATTTGTTAAGTCTTTAAAGGGCTGCAAAACTTTTCATTGTTTGGTATCCTAAACAGCTTTCTGGAGCACTGACTGGAAACATAATGAAGAGTGCTTATCCCAGCAACCCACAAATTCATTTCATTACTATTTTTTATTGTTTACTGTATCTTGTGTAACACTGGCAATGGCCCTATATGAAGTCATATTGCATTTTGTATTAATGGTCAACGTGATTCTACTACAGACAAAAACATAATAATAGGCAAATAAATAAATGAGCAGGAAAAGAAACAAGCTATAGAAAAAAAAAATCTTATTTAGAGAAGTAATAAAATAAGTGAAACGATCAGCACAAAACTGTATTTGTACATTTTCTTACCAGTGTCATGATGCCCATACGATCCATCTCCCTGGCTGGGCTGCGGGGAGTGAGTTTCGGAGTAGAATGCCCACTTGGAGGAGAGGAACTTGCAAGGGAGGAAGCTGTAATGGAGCCAGTAATGGATGTGCCAGGATGGACCCTGGCCAGGTTTAAGCCTTCTAGGCTTACACTGGCTACTCTATTTTCTATTTCTTCAGCACGCAATTCCGTTGATTCTTTTTCCTCTTGGATTAACCTATAAACATGAATTGGGAGGCAGCAGAATTAAAACAGCTAATGTCATGTGAATGGTATTCCAATACAGTGGTACCTCTGGTTATGAATTTAATTCATTCCAGAGGTCTGTCTTAAGCTAAAACGTTCTTATCCTGAGGCATGCTTTTGCTAATGGGGCCTCCTGCTGCGTGCGCGATTTCCGTTCGCATCCTGGGGCAAAGTTTGCAACCAGGAGCAGCTACTTCCGGGTTAGCAGAGCTTGTAACCTGAAGCGTTCCTAACCAGAAGCGTTCGTAACCAGAGGTACCACTGTACAGCAAATTGCTTCCTTGCCCTGATCCCTGGCAACAGTTTAATAAGGTGCTTTTCACAAATGATATAGGCTTCACCAGTACATCATGTTGGAGACCCATCGGTGAGCTTTAAATAGGAAGATAATAGTAATAATAATAATTTTATTATTTATACCTCTGCCCATCTGGCTGGGTTTCCCCAGCCACTCTGGGTGGCTTCCAGCAAAATATAAAAAAATAAAATAAAATGTCAAACATTATAATGATGTACACTGTAGTCAAAGCATCTATTTCAATTGATTTAGCAATTTTGTAGAATCAGTTGCTTAAATGACTTCAAAGGTTCACCACAGCTGAAACATTCCACCTTGAAAGGTGGAAAACCTACACAACAAACAGTTTAAATGTTAAGGGGCCTAAAAGGTATTGCGTAGTTGTCTCTTATGGCTGTATATTACATGAACATAGCTGAACTAAAGGGTCTACTTTTGGGGAGACATTAAATGCTTACTGGTTTTGCTGACAATAAAGCGGTATACAAATTCTCTTAAACAAGTGTACACATTTGCCTTTTCTTTTGAAAAATACATAATAGGTGTTTCAGGATTGCACTGCTGATATGAATAAAATTCCACCTAAGTTGGTTGTTCTGCTTCCCTCAGAGACCAGCCAGATGCATGTGAATAAACCCATTTTATTTATTGCAAGCATTTCCACGATTTGTTGCCTGGGATGAGAAAGCTCTTGCTTTTTGGTGATGTACAAGTACCTGATTTCTTTGTTGATTGCATCCAGTTGTTCCTGAAGCATCATAGCAAGGGTTTGGGCATCAGAATGTCCACTTGGCGACAGAAGATCCATGGAGCTAAATATTGTATCTCTGTCGTCATCATCAATGTCAGACATTTCAGTGTCACTCTCAAAATGATGGCTGCTCAGAACACCCATCGGTTGACTTCTGCTCCATTCATGATCTCCAAGGGATTTCACCTAATTGGAAAGAAATGCATACCGATCAGCCTCATTTCAAATGTTAATTTTGAGAGAAATTAAAAACAGAAAGCCTAGCATGTTGAAACACTGTTGGCATTGATTAACATGTTTTAGTTTTCTCAGGCCACTTGTACAAGAGTCACTTTCCAGAAAGAGGAATGGCCTTGAGGCAAGGCCTTGGCTGGACTACAGTTCCTCCTTACCAAGCCAATCTTCCTGAGCAGCAGTGAATGTTGTGCCTCTGTCACTGATCATCCAGACTCCTTGGACCACTATGGCTAAAACTTATCCATTTCCATTACTATAATAGGAGCACTGCTTTTAATAAACAAAGAACAAGATAACAAGATAAACCTTTGGTTCGTCTCTCCGGATTCCCATACGGCCTCTTCTAGGTCTTCTTATCACCTTAGTAGACCTATAATCTGGTTGGCTATCAACTAGGGAGCTCACAGAGTACCTCAGCTCTGTTGATGAATCAAGATGTGGTCTGAAAAAACAGTTGCAGCACACGAATTAGCAGATGCAAATAAATAAACCAAACTGTAAAAGAAAATAATGTATCAATAATTTATCAACTATTTTACAATGTGCGGAGACGTTCATCCTGTGAAATCTCATTCTATACATAAAGAAAACAATTTTGGCTGATTTCCTGAAATGCTATGAGGGTAATAAAGCTCTGTGATGTATCTGAATGGAAACTAGAAATAATCAGTAAAACTCAAAATGACACGTTTTCCTGAGAGTCAGTGTGGTGTGGAGAGAGCAATGAAACTTGAACTGGCAAGACTTGGGTTGAAATCAACCAGGATTCAAGACCAAATGAACAACTCTTGGATGAAGCTTAAGTTTCCCACTAGCTTTTGCACTTCCCAAATGTTTCTGCATAATTCTCAGCTCAAACGTTTCATCATTTACAAGGGTGTATTTTGAGAAAAGATACATTTTAAAAGACACACTTAAATATACACTTGAAATGTGATCTTTTCCCCTCCCCCAGATTGAAATAAAACTTAACGTGGAGATGAAGCAGAACAGACTTATGGGTAACTGTATATAAAAGTCATACAAATCAGAAACAGGCTGCATTTACATGAAGTTTATTCCATTTCCCTAATTGTTAATTTCTGCATTGCATGTGAGCTTTCACGTGACATAAAAGCCATTTCCTGAAAACCAGTGGCACATGGTGCATGTTTAGTGCTCACTTCCATGTTATTTGATTCTTGAAAAAAATAAATCCTTCCAGTAGCACCTTAGAGACCAACTAAGTTTGTTCTTGGTATGACCTTATATATAGTGAGAGGGTGGGGAGGGGTATTACTCAGAAAGGTGGTGGGAATGGGTGATTGGCTGATAGGTGTGGTAAACCAGTTGACGCCTGTTAATGACTACAATTGGTCTTACAGGAAAAAGCAAGCGGTGAGAGGGCTAAAAATAGCTTTATCATGTATAATGAGATAAGAATCCACATGTATAATGAGATAGGAATCCATCTCACTCCTTGCTTTTTCCTGTAAGACCAATTGCAGTTGTCAACTGGTTTACCACACCTATCAGCCAACCACCCATTCCCACCACCCTTCTGAGCAATACCCCTCCCCACCCTCTCAATATATATAAGGGTCTGCTTCAGTGTATCTGAACAAGTGTGCATGCACACGAAAGCTCATACCAAGAACAAACTTAGTTGGTCTCTAAGCTGCTACTGGAAGGATTTTTTTTGTTTTTGTTTCGACTACGGCAGACCAACACGGCTACCTACCTGTTACTAGAAAAAAATCACTTTGCAGCCCCTTAACCCAGAAAATCATGGAAGGGACAAAATTGGGGGTGGTACACTGGCACAAAGTTCTTTCCTGCTGTTTTCATGGGGACGTAATGGAGAAACAGAAGCACATATGTGAAAGGATGAATGGGGGAGCATCAATCTCGTCTAGTGACATTCACTGTGTGTCACACCACACCATGACCACTGATGTGAATGAATGTTAGCACTAAATGCTACAGGTTCCCTAATGCAACAGGTATTGCAACATGAAAGGAACATTAGAAAATGGGACAGATGTGCTAGCATTATAATCAGGAGAACTAATGCAATATTCATCACATCTGAATTTAAGCATGGACTTATTTGTCCATTCCTCTTCCTGCCACCACTTTCTCAAAACCCACGTAAAACAACCTATAAATGCCTAAAGCAGATTTCCCATTGGCAGTTATGAAAGGAAGCACTTCACCCAGTGCCTTAGAAAATGACGATGATTAAAGTGATAACATTTTCAAAGGCTGCTTGTAACACATGGTGGATGGTGAACTGCAAACAGTATTTTCAACATAGTATGATTTTAAATATATTAAAATTAAGAAAATATTATGATTTTCTTAGGCTACCTTGACAACGTGGGATCAATTAAAGAACCTGCTCTTATTTTCAACTGGTCAAGTTCAACTCTCAGCTTGTCTATTTCATCTGCCAATCTTTCCTGGAAATAATGATAATAATAAGAAGTCAACAATGTTTTATATCAAAACTTACATTTATCAAAATTAATATCAGTGAACAACATTAAGCTTCTCGGCAACAAAGTACCAACTTACATTGTATCAGCCTAGCAAGGGGTTGTAAAAATATTATTTTCATTAAAACTAATATTTGTTAAATAAGTAATTTGTTGGACTCATTACTTATTGAATAGCATTACTTATTAAGGTTAAAGTTGCAATAAACCAACTAATCATTTTAAACAGCCCAACAAAACACGTCTATAGATATTTTTACAATATGAAAAATAAATTATTAACGGGAGAATTGTAGAAAAAAATTCCTTTGTTAGCTAGACAAACTAATCATTGGTGATTTTTAGTGATGCCAGACATAACAAGTGGAAGACTATAAATACATTCCAAAGAGTCCAGTTTTCACCAATTTTGCATTCCTTCTTTGCTGTTTTAAAGTTTATACAGTCAAACCTCAGCTCCTGAACTCCTCCGTTTTGGAAAGTTTTGGCTCCCAAATGGCGAAAACCCGGAAGTAAATGCTCTGGTTTTCAAACGCTTTTCAGAAGCCAAATGTCCAATGCAGCTTCCTGCTTGAGTGGAGGAAGCCTTGCAACCAAACGGAAGCCATGCCTCAATTGTTGAACATTTCAGAAGCCGAACGGGCTTCTGGAATGGATTAAGTTCAAGAATCGGGGTTTGACCGCACAGAGTTCTTAAAAGAATAACACTTTGCAACAAATACATAAATCCAGCTAACGTTAGTTGTCATTGAGGCACACTGAAAACCATCAGATTTGAATCAATTGTTTCTTACTTGTTCTTATGGGTCAGTCACAAATAACAGGATCGAGGACAAAGAACACTTCCCCTAATTTTTTTAAAAGGTTTGGTACAGCAGTTTGAGCTCAGTTTAGCATGATAAAACCACTAGCCCTCAATGAACAGGGGTGAACTGCATAAGCAAGAAACTATTCCTAAATTAATATAGTAACAACAACAGGAATCTAGACACTTCTCTATCGGGGGGAAAAAATGCAGCTCGAATTTTCAACAAAAGCAGTCAAAGAAAAATGCACAGGATTTTATATACGAAATCATTTGGCTCGGATCCAGACTTAGGTTTGGAATAGTCCTTTTAAAAGAATTGATTTGAGTATTCTACTCTAAGTATGACTAGGTCCAGCTCCAGCTCATGGAACTCCCTTAAGGAGCAGCTATCATGACTGTGCTGCACTGACTGATGGAAATTGTTGTATGAAACATCTGGAGGGTACCATGTTGGGGAAAGAGGATCTACTTATTCCTGTGAAACCTGCCCCCACTTGTTCTTGGTATCAGGAAGAATCATAGTATCCTTCTGCTGTGCCACTTATTCTTTTAGCTAAGAAAATGTAAAGGGGGGGCAGCATGGTATGGTGGTTAGTGTGTCAGACTAGGGCTAGGAAGACTCCAGTACAAATCCCCACTCAGGACAAGAAGAAAACTGAAGAATCTTGGGTCATCCACTCTCTCTTGGCCTATCCTAGCTCACTGGGTTGTTAGGAGGACAAAACATGGGGCAAGCATGTCTTGAGCTCTTCCGGGGGGGGGGGGCAGGCAGGCTATAAATGCAGTAAATCAAAAACCAAATACATGAATAAATTCTGGAAACATATTTTTCAACTGCACAAAATACATATAGGCAACAGCTATTTACATTCCATAAATGCTAAATATGACATTCCCCTCCCCCCAAAAAAAGATTCAGTCTCTTCCTGACAACAAGTATAGACAAAATGTGGGGAAAAGCATAATTGGAAGGAAGCACACTGCTTCAGGTACCATTCTTTGGAACAGAATGTGGCCAACAAATTGTTAAAATAAACAAATGAAGCAACAAGGAGCTCATGAGTCATATCCAGAAGTCTAATCCCATCCATTCCTTCTGAAAATTCTCTTTTTAGGAACAAATGGCAGCCAAATTAAAAAATGTATTTGTCTACAATTTCTTCCCTTCATGTTTGGTTCCGATATCAAGTATTAACAGTTATTTTGCCCCTAGACTCAGGGCTCAGCCACAATTCTTTCCCGTTCCACTCCTTCTATTTCTATTTAATCTGATACCTAGCAAAATTACTTTCTGCTTACTTAAATATGATTGGTTGAATTTATGTTATCTACTGGCTGTAGGTTGGTAAAGAATTAGAAAAATGGCATTTGTTATAAATGTTTGTAATGAATTTGACTGGTTCATTAAATCAGTGGTACAGGGGTTAAGCTGTGTTGACTTGCAAAGGGCAATTTTGATGCTATTTTTAATATGACTGTCAGGATTGGGTAGATGTGGGGCCGAAAGCTCAAGACTCATGTCCTCAATAAGTTTCTGGCCATTGACCACCCAGAACTGAGCATTCTATGGAAACAGAGCAATCAAAATGCATCTCTAGAGTGGGGAAGGAGGTATTTACATACGAATGTGGGAGTTTGGAGGAAAGTCTTTCATTCAACCAAATGGATCCAGCCCACATATTTTGTGGGGGCAATTCATGCCTGCACTAGGGTCCATAAATAGTATCAGCAGGCCAATAAACACTACTTGAAGTGTACAGCCCAATTTGATGCATGCTCACTTGGAAGTAAGTTGCATTCAGTGGGGCTCACTCCCAGAGAAATGTGCTGAGGGTTGCAGCCTACAGAGGTGCGGGTTCTCTAGTGTATGGCTGAATGCTGATGCTGTGTGGCTTGTAGCTCTCTCATATCTTCACTTGGATGTGTGAACAATAGCACTGTCCAGCTCACACAATGAAACTTCTGCACCTTCTCCTTCCATTGCATCCCCTGCAATCTGATTTGGAGGGTTGAGGGAGCTCCATATCAGATATAGAGGGGGTGCAAGGGGCACACAAAGGGAGGCATGGGCAGGGATGAAGGAAGGTGCCGTGGTACCTGGGGCGGGCGTCACGATGTAGGACGCATGTGCAGCATCGCTACGTATGACGCATGCACCGTATGAAGTGACGCCACACATGTGCTGTATAGTGGTTTGCCGCCGGCGCCACTCCAGCGCCGTATGTACGGTGCCAGGATCCCTTCGTTGCCGCTACAGCCGCGAACGGAGGATCCTCCATTTGCAGCTGCAGCCACGAGCAGAGAATCCTGCCACCGTCCGTACGGCACTGGAGCAGCTCCGGCGGCAAACCGCTATACAGCGCATGTGTGGCCTCACTACGTACAGCACTTGCATGTGACGCTGTGCATGTGCTGTATAGCAGTTTGCTGCCGGCGCCACTCCAGCACCGTACAACGGTGCTGGGATCCTGTGCTCGTGGCTGCAGCCACGAACGGAGGATCCGATTCCTCCGTTCGCAGCTGTAGCAGAGAAGGAGGGATCCTGGCACCGTCCGTATGGCACTGGAATGGCACCGGCTGCAAACCGCTACACTGCGCATGCGCAACGTCGCTACGTACAGTGAATGCATGTGACACCGCACATGCGCTGTACTTAGCGGTTTGCCGGCGGTGCTGGGATCCTCTTCTTGCAGCTGCAACCGCAAATGGAGGATCCTCCACATGTGGCTGCTGTGGCGCGATGGCTGCTCGTGCCACGACGAGCCACCACAGGGTGACTTCTTGTCAACCCCGCAGATATGGAACCCAAGGCGTACCGCCCACCCACCCCCCATTGCGACACAACTGGGCGTGGAAAGAGAGCTTCCTCTACACAAGTAGAAGTTGTTCCTCTTGCAGTGTCTTAGTTGGATACAACCATAGGTTCTATTATCTTTAGGAACATTTTCAGGTTTTGAATTCCGAAGATTACTACTTCTTTTTTGGTAATCAGTTGCTTTTTAAAATAAAGGTGAATGCAGGTAGGAAAGAAAGAATACCTTATCATGTAATGATTCTTCCAAGTTCTTCCTAAAGCTTTCTGATTCTTGTATTAAAACATTCTAAGAAAGAGAAAAGATCAAAAGTAGAGAAATTACAGCAAAATAAAACACATTTCTGCAGAATCTGCATTTTTTTCACGCTTCCTATTGTAATAACAAGTATTGACTATCCTTTTATGAATATGTTAAAAGTTCTACTATTAACACTGATAGCTATCAGACGGCATCAATTTTGGACTGACATTTTGCCATCAACATAGGATTAACATTTTAAACATTAAGCACATGGCCCAGTCTGTGTACTGCAAATACCCCTGAGTACATGAGTAGCTCCACTGAGTTTTGAAGAAAGCCGGAAGGAAGGAAAGTCAGTGAGGATTTCACATACAGGAAAGGACAGGAAGATTTGATGGGCAAGGGATCATGCCCTAAGTATTTATTTGCTTTCCCCCCATAGTATCAAGAACAGAAAAAAGGAAACCAAAAATACAAATCAAGGTAAGTATGGAACGATATTCAATTGGGTCATATACTCAGAGTGTATTGAGCTAGATGGGCCAATACTCTAAGCAAAAGGCAGCTTAGTACATTTCTTCTTAGGCTGATCCATTGATTCTGTTCTGAGCATGACTACCATTGTATATGAACCATTTGTTTTGCTCATTTTACCTTTTCTTCCAATGCTGCCATTCTCTCTTTTAAATGTAGCTGCAGGCGCTCATTAGATTCTGTCAAAAGTCTGTCCACAGTATCTGATAATCTCTTGTTGTGCTCTTCATTCATTTTTTCTCTTTGCCTTGCCTTCAATAAAGTATCAAGGAAACAAAATGGGCGGTTCCAAAGTTATCTAAAATGTTATCATTAGTGAAACACGAGTGGTGGATTATTGTAACTGAAATCACAGTAATGATACCCTGGTACGGTAAAGGTAAAGGGACCCCTGACCATTAGGTCCAGTCGCAGACGACTCTAGGGTTGCGGTGCTCATCTCGCTTTATTGGCCGAGGGAGCCGGCGTACAGCTTCTGGGTCATGTGACCAGCATGACTAAGCAGCTTCTGGCGAACCAGAGCAGCACACGGAAACACCATTTACCTTCCTGCAGGAGTGGTACCTATTTATTTACTTGCACTTTGATGTGCTTTCGAACTGCTAGGTTGGCAGGAGCAGGGACCAAGCAATGGGAGCTCAACCCATCGCGGGGATTCGAACCGCCAACCTTCCAATCGGCAAGCCCTAGGCTCTGTGGTTTAGACCACAGTGCCACCTGTGTCACAGTACCCGTGGTACAGTAGCGCACAGCAAAAACAAATACTGACAGAGGATAAAATTTATTAGCACTACTGCTGAAGCAAACATTTGCGCACATTCAATAGCTGATAATCGTTCCATTCATATTCATCAAGTCAAAAAATAAATAAATATAAGCAATTCAGGGGAAATTCTGATTCTTCTCTTCCAGTTGAGCTTCTAGATATGAGACTCATTTTTTAGGTAAAAGGGGGACTATGTGAAACAGTGTGATGCATTTAGCTTAGACGAGTCAAACTATAAATGAAATGATCAACAATACACATACTCTTTGAAGCTCCTGGTTCTTCTCCTCCAGTTGGGCCTCCAAGTGTCTCATGCGCTCTTCAATGTTGCCATGCCTTTCTTCTGCCTATATCAAAAATAAATAAACACACTTCTTTGAAACTTAAAGAGCTTTCTGAGCCAAAATCTCAATTTGTTTTAAAGAAAATGTAAAGCAAGCTACTACTAACTGCAAACTTAGTTTTCAAAAATAAATGTTATTCAAACAGGCAGCTGAACAGCATTGCTTGAAATGTGTCAGCTACAAAGGCCTGTTACATCCAAGCATCCAGCAAAACATTGGAGTTATTTATGAGCAATGAAATCAGCCAAATGTAACATGCAGACTGTGCATGGTTTGAACACAAACCTGCCATCATAAAATTGTAAGCTCTTTAAGCACTGAACCGCACAATGGTTGATTATCAATAAAAGAAATACATAATTTTTTAAAAAAGAGTTCTTAAAAATAAGAAAACAAAATTAGATGGATTCTATTTAGCAATAGAAAGTAAAGTCCAGTAGGACTACCTTCCTACGTATGGAGATCATTTCTTGCAGTTTAGCTTCCATAACATATTGATAATCATCAGATGAGGTAGAAGAGGTTGGATCAGACTAACAAGTCAAGGAAAAGGAGAGGGACAAAATTGAAAAATCAGAACTAAAGACACCAACACTGAACAGAACACAGCACAGAATGCTCAAAAGAAAAGTGTGATTGCAAATTTAATACTTTAACTGACAGAATTTTATGTAGAATAAACCACACTTACAATAGGGTGACATGAGGCAGTTGATGCGGATGAACTAAAAACAATGGGATGCTAAAAAAGCTAACAACCTAGGTATGGAAATTTCAGGTTAGTGATGGCTGGCTGGTGAGAATTACTCTTCCTCTATAGAGGGATCTCAAAGCAATTATGGCAAATATAAAGCCTGATTGGAATTTGGATAAACTTAAGACCAGAACACAACTTTGAGGAGCCAATGCCAGAATTATTATTTTTTTAAAAATAGACCATCCTACAATTTTATCATAACAAAAACAATGTATATTATGTTACAGAATATACTAAACCAAATGGGTTAGTCATCTCTAGAATAATGTTATGGTAGGTTGCCTAAAAGATATGAAAGCATATAACTAAAGGAAATATCATAACTTTCCCGGGCTTACTATGAAAGGGTTACTGAGTCTGTGGTGAATGCAAAGCAGGTGTCTGGTTGTTCCACAAGCTGCTCACATTATGTCTGGCTATGCCACTCTTTAGTTTAGTGAACAACGATCTGGGCAAATGCTCAGTTAGGTAATGCATCACAATGGATCCTATGTTTACTGCATGTCCCATTAACATACACCATGGACTTCTAAAAAAAGTCAATGTGAATTACTCCTTATTTAACCCAGAATGAATAATGGGTTGTATCCCTGTTAGCCATACTCAGAGTAGACCCACTGAAATGAATGAACATTACTGACTTAGGCCTACTGATTTTAATGGGCCTATTCTGAGTATGACCAATTCTGGATTTTGGACTAGTTAACCCCTTTCAGCCCAAATTAAAGTTCATTGCAAACATTTTAGGGCACAACCTGCAACCCCACCCAGCCATATGCAGCCCACCTGGACTAGGGTCTGCCAGGTCTTTGGCAATTCCCCTGTTTTTGTTTTGCAGTCCCAGGCAGGCAGCAAAAGCAGAAGGATTATCAGTACCCTGGGCAGATGACCATACGTAGCTGATGGGCTGCATTTGGCTTGGCGACTCACAAGACCAAAGTCCAAATTAAGAGAAGACACTCTTTATAATGTGTCAGTATATGCTACAAGATAAAAAGAGCACTCAGATCAACATGAATATTTAATATTAATAATAATGTCTCATCCAATGATTCAACACCTTTCCAAGCATAAAATGAAGCTGATAATTTGTTTGACAGTGAACTTTTTTCTTACCTGTAAATTGGCTGAGAGGTGTGCTTAAAGAAAGACCTCCCATCTATTCAGGTAAAATGTTAAGAGCTCTACAAGCCCACAGTTGCCTCATTCAGATGTAACGCTAAACCATGGTTTAACATAGAATGCACCTTGGTCCCTCTTCCCTCTTCCTCCTTCTGAGGAAGACATCAGACATCACCTCCATTACAATTTACTGCAGGATAGCAGTAAGTTTAGTCTGAACTCAAAGTTGTGATTAATCTTATCAATGGTTTATTAAAACAAGCCAGAAATTGGGCTGTCATAGTAAACAATGCTCAAAGTTAAGCACAGTTTGTTTGGGACTGAATATAATGCTAAACAGTGGTTAGTTAAAAACAGAAGCAACAGCTTCTTTTCGCCTCTTTGTAGCTGGAAGAGGAGAACAGGTGGGCTGAGGGGAAATCACATGAACCAAAGGCTCACCAAGGCTTGATCATGTAAGGTCAATATGTGCAACTTTTTTTCCCTTGAGGAGAAATGGTTTAAGTAAGAACAAAGAAAAATACCCCCTGAAGCTTACAGAAGAAATTTACTTTATGGATGAAGAAAGGGTGAGGCTCAACATTTCTTTGTCCTTAGCAAAGGCATATAGGCCCTTATTGACTGCAACACTGAAAACCTACAGGCAAAAGCAATAGCCACAAGAAACTGCATCTAAAAGATTTTGATTACCAAAATTGCAGCTAAGGTAGACATACTGGTATAGCAGTAAAACTGCTAGCACATTTGCAAAGGCTAAGCCAGGTCTGGTCTGGTTTCAGATTGGATGGGAGACTGCAAGTTGAGGTAACTGCATTGCAGGGACATGGACTAGGTGATCACTAGGGTCCTTTCTAACACTATAGTCTTGTGATTTTGCATTTTAAGGTAAAATCCAATAATGACTGAACCATTTCAGTTCTTGATTTACATCAATCTGCACTCTGTGATCTTCTGGATCATGGGTAGGATTGGCACTCTATATTGATTGGTTGAATCTTAATACTTGATTACCTTAAAATGAAGCATCCACCCTGCACAGTTGGAAACCTACTGGTCACCTGATCCAGTCTGCTAACTATTTCCACTAGGGACATTAGGCAAAAGGTAAATAAATCATCTTCCACCTTGGCTATGGGCCTTGATGGCATCGTGTTGGAGCATGAAAGATCTCATGTATCTCTGCAGAGTCCTGACCATTCATTTCTTGTCAGGAGCCCATCATTCCTAGACTGACTAGCATATTCCTGCCTAGCCTATTCCTGGCCAACCCTGGTCAGCATCCTTGCTATCACTGTTATTCTTATGTTATGGATTTCTCATCTTTGGATGGGAGGAAAAGACCTCTTAGTCAGGTTGACAATGAAGTGCTGTTTTCTGATTTAGGCAAGACACAACTGAACATCATTCTTTCCTTCATCCCTGGGTAAAAGTCAACAAAGGTATCATTTGGGTAGGTTTCAAAAATAGAATCATATTTTGTAGGCCAAAGTGTGACACTAAGGCCACATCAAGAATATCCACAGGGTTGGCTGCTTGAAAACGCTCAATACTGAGTGTGAATTAACAATGCAAAAATGCTTCCTGGGGTTGAGGCTACAGCTGGATAGGATGAAATACACTTCTGAAATGTTTATAGATGTTATCACTTCAGGATGAAAACTTTGCTCTCATCTGTTTTTAATGCAATGACTGAACTTCTCTGGGGTTAAAATGTCTAGATTGTCTTCCTTCTTTGGAGTCCCATTTAATTAGTCTTTGAATGCCTTTAGGGCACTTTGTGTAAGTTCAGCAGATATCTGGTGCTATCTTCTAGTGTCTAGACAAACTTCATTTTTGGAGTTGCACAATAACTATCCATAAGTAACACAACAATTTCAGAGCATATTTCTTCAACACAGTGTCCTTTGCTGATTGAGTTGATGTTATTTTGATGCAAAGTGCTGAAAATATTCTCATTTTGAAATTGGGGATCACACTGAGTACTAGGGTTCCTCCAGATAGCCTATTTATTCAGGATTCATCCTGATTTGTTGCAAAAAGTTTGTGGTGGTTAGACTATGTCCAGTCTTTATTGAACATTCATTCTGATTTGTTTATGGGGTGGTTATATGACAAAGAGCATTCATTCTGCATTTGCTGGTGTTTACATATCTTCCCATTAATAATTTGCTTATCCCACAATGTTTAATAAATCTCCTGATCATTTTCCAAAAATTCAGTTTCTGTGTTGTCTCCTTCTCTCCCAGAGTGGGGAAGTTTAACAGCCTCCCCAGGACATGAAGAAGACTGCAGATCATCTAAGTGTCCCTGTTTTCTAGGGACGTCACTAATTTGGAGAAGCTGTCCAATTTTCTGATTTGATCCCAGAATGTTCCACTTTCCCTTAGAATGTCCCTATTTTCATTGGAGAAATGTTGGAGGGTATGGAGTTATCAGACCCCCAAGCCGTTTGAAGGCGATCCTGTATAGGAAAGGTTTTTTTAATAATGTTTTATTATGTTTTTATATATGTTGGAAGCTGTCCAGAGTGGCTGGGGCAACCGAGTAAGATGTGTGGAGTATAAATAATAAAATTATCATTATGGAATGGGACGTCCCTATTTTCATCAGAGAAATGTTGGCGGGTATGAGACTGAAATCTGTTATCCACTATACATGCATATAGATCAGAAGCTAGGCCTCATGACTGGCTTTTGCTTTGCTTTAGGGAGAACTGCTTGCTTGAAAAAGGAGGTACATAGTCTGTAAACTGACATTCCTCTTCAGTGTGACTGCATTAATACTATGAAATTGATACTATGAAGGAGCAACCAAACTGCTGGTATTGAGATAAAAACAAAGTAGGCAGGCAGGAGGAAGGAGGTGCCAGTCTGGCAAGCTGCGTAACTCATCCCTTTTGTATCCTAGCAATTTCACTCTGATTGTAGCAAAAAAAAGGAGGAAACACTATCCTAGACATGATGATTCCCTCCCTCTGGAACCTTGGAAGAACTCTTGAGGAGTTTTGCCTTGCAGCAATTTCAACGTGGAAGTTTTTGAGCTGTTTACAAGAAAACATAAAATCCCTTGACGAAGTGGGTGGAAACATGTTGGCACTAATAAAAAGCGTATTTCTCTTCAGCATCTTTGATACTTTCTTTTGGTCTTTTCCATTGGATGCTTCCTTGTTTTTGTTTTGCTGCACTTTTGCTTCTTTGTTCAGGAACTCCCTTTCCCTGGAACTCACTGAGAAACTGGTCGCAAGCAACTTAAATATACTAAGAATGAATTGGCTCCAGACTTAATCATGCTTAGACAGTCTCATTAAAAACCAGTGCACTTAAGGTGTGCTTCAAGCTGCTTCAAGCATGACTAAGTCAAGATCCAATCCAATATATATTTAAATTTAGGGGTGCAGAATAGGTTTACTTTAGTTGAATTAGAATTGTTCATTAATTTATAATATATTTATTATTATTTGAAACACAATGTTATGAACAACACAAGCCTACTATAGAGTAGTTATAAGACGAGAAAATTCATAACATGGCTATAGTTTTACCAGATTACCAATACTTCCTAGTACAGGAGGTTCTTATGTGAACTCCCACCCAATATTCAAGGACTCCTCCATTGACTTCAGTATCAGTGGCAAAACTGCATACACATCTCTTCTGTATCCACATCAAGGCGGCCCCCAAAACTGTAATCAGTGGGTAAGTGTGATCACCTAAGAACTGTTGATCGCACCAGAGGAAAAACAAGATTTCAGATTTCATGTGTGTTAGACCAGTTTAAATTGATGTCAGTTTTCTTCTTGCTATGTAACATTTGAAATCTTATACAAACTGATCAACAGAAAATAATGTGTCAGAAGTAAAAAATCTGGATTTCTGAGCCCAATACATTAAGCATCTTTTTAGTAGAGTGAATTGTGGGGAGGGTTCCAGTAAAGTCTATTCTCGCTTTTATCCACTGTTTATAGGGAAGAAGTCAGTTATGTTGATGAGCTTGCTTAAACTTAAAACATAATAACAGTAATACACTAGGACCCTTGATTTCCCCCTGATTCTGCCCTCTCTGCTGGCTTCAATGAAGCTGGCAACTGAGTTGGCTAGAAAACTATTTGGGGAGAAGTTAGCAGTGGGTTAAGGGCCTTGACTCGGTTGGGATGTAGAGTGCAACTTGCCTTTGACTCCCTCCCCCCACACTAGGCAGTGCAAACAAGGTCCCTGATTGGCATTGCTGAGACCAAGTAGGCTCTTGCTTGGCATTCAAAAGAGGAGGTCACTAGTGCCATCAATGGCTACAGATGTATTGTTGGCTATGTTTGGCTGCATTGCTTGTGATCTTGTTGTCCAAATAGTAGTTTTGCCCTCAATTAAGTAACATATACATTCTGTCTCACTCAGTTCCTGATATAAATTGCACAACACAATCTAGATGGAACACACAGATCATATATATCTAGTTAACAGGGAGAGAACTGAAAAGACACAGAAGGGCTAGGATTCCTATGAACAAGCAATTTTTTTCCATTTCTTCTCATCAATACAGAAATGATCATTCAAACAGGCTAGAAATCTATGCAACTTATAATCACAGAGTGGTTACTATACTGTTTGGGGTTTTTTGTCTTCCCTCCACCCACCCAATGGATGAACATGGCAACCTTCCTTTTCTAATGTCACTTACAGTAGCTCTTATATTAGCTGACTACAGGACACATAAACACTTCAGTCTATGGCAGCATTGTGCGTGCTCCATTTTGGAGCTGCTGTGCATGGAGATTTCTCCATTTGTTCCATGGAGGGAGTGGGAGGAAAACACATCTAATAATTTTCTTCCCACATGCTGAGCTCTACAGAAAAGACTTTAAAAAAACCCCCAAAACCCACCTGTGTGCATTGGAGGGCCCATTCACAACATCACTTTGTTAGCTTGGTGTGACTTTTTCTGAACACTACAAGGAATCTTAATGAAGGAAGAAGATATTCACCCATGAAACTACTTTAAAAAGGTAAAGGTACCCCTGACCGTTAGGTCCAGTCACGGACAACTCTTGGGTTACGGTGCTCACCTCACTCTATAGGCCGAGGGAGCTGGCGTTTGTCCACAGACAGCTTCCGGGTCATGTGGCCAGCATGACAAAGTCACTTCTGGCAAACCAGAGCAGCGCACGGAAACGCCGTTTACCTTCCTGCCAGAGCGGTACCTATTTATCTACTTGCACTTGACGCACTTCCAAACTGCTAGGTGGGCAGGAGCTGGGACCGAACAATGGGAGCTCACCCCATCGCAGGGATTCAAACCGCCAACCTTCCGATCGGCAAGCCCTAGGCTCTGTGCACATCCAAAAAGCATTAGAACAGATACCCACAGGAATGAGCCATTGTCTTTTGGTTTGTTTTTTAAAAGAAACATGAGAAGCATTAAAAAAATCCCTCCAATTTTTGGTGACTTTTCTGAGTTACTGATGAAAAATCTCTCTCTCTCTTATATGCCATCAAAGATTTTATTACTGTGTTCCAGAACACATTTGTAAATGCATTTGCACCCTATTCAGATATTGAGTGCCAATCAGTTCAGTGAGGAATGGACTTCCAACAAAGTGTGCATAGAAATGGAGCCTAAGTCCACAGGGGTGGGGGGTGGGGAGGCAAGACAAGAGTGGTTTTAGGCATTATAAAGAAGAGCCAGCAGAATATATGTGACTGACATGTGCCTTTTCTTTTTGAACTTGTGTATCATCCAAACTGGCAACTTGTATATCTGCATGAAACTTGCGTGATGCTGCTTCCTATAGGAACATTCCACTGGGTATTTCTCCTATCCACCTTATGCTCTCATGCAACCCTGATTCATTTGAGCCTGGAAAATAAAGTGTCTATTTTCTTTTGGTCTGTTTTAATGAAAGTGATCACTGTGTTTCTTTGAATTAATGTGATGTGGAAAATCATGGAAAAAATTCAATGGCAAATAAAGTTCATGATTTTTAGCTGAATTGGATTAATCATAACTCTTTTATAATACAAAGTATTATAAAATAAACTCCTTTGGGATTTTGGAACAAATGGACTCAAGCCATACAAGAAATACGAAGCAATACCTCTGCCATTAAATTAAGCTAAAGCAAATAACGTCGTATGTGTAATTAGTATTTATTTACGGTGCCAATAAGTAGAATCATCTTGTCCGCTCCAAAACAGGGTTTTATTGCTGCTGATGGTGCTGAAGGAAGGGAAAAGGGATGAAAATCAATGTTAAAGGAAAACGTGTTTCTGAAATTCACCTGCTCTCAAGTGTACAATACCTTAGTCAGGGCTGCGATTCTCTGAGCCAGTTCAGCTTCCACTTCAGGCAAGGTTTCAGCTTTCCGCATTGTTTGTTGCAGCTTTTGCTCAGCTAGTTCAAGCCGTTCCTGCAGCTGTCTATTTTTGTCTTCCATCTGAAACCCAGAAATGAGACGATTAAATAAATAAATAAAAGGCTGAATCAGGAAATTGCTGCCGTTCTCAGGGGATTGGACTTCCAATGGTTCATCCTGGTTGGCTCTTGAAGAGCAAATCTTCCTCAATTTCTCAAACCCAACCGATGAAGCATGTAATGATTTATATAGAGATGTACTGAAGAAGTGTTAATATAGAGAGATGTACCGAAAAAGCATTAATATGAATGAACACTACAACAAACTGGAAAGTTAATAAAACATATAAATAGGAGCAATCAGTAGCTTGTCCCTTGCTCTCATGAACCAAGACATATCACCTTCAAGTGGTTTCTTACTCTTATGAGCAAGAAACTTCCTATGGCAAGTTCAAAAAATTTTTTTTTTTTTGCACACTCTTAGTTTACCACTGTAATGTTTCCAAGGGGTTGCTCGAGAGTAAGCAAGCAAATATTTCCCCGCTTGGCTGCAAAGCCTTGCTTTTGCTGCCAAACTAAACCTTATCTGTCCAGAGCCCCACTCTCCCGTGGCTGACTCAATCGCTGGCAGAATCCGTGAGTGGGCGGTTCTTAAACTTTCCCCAGCAAAGCAACTCCTTGACGCCAATTCTGCGCCTCCCCTCTCTGCACGAATGCTTTCTGCGCAAGGAGGGCGTGGGTTGCGGAGGACCCGTCTCCTCCCCGCTTCTCCCAGGCACGGAGTCCTGGGACCGCCTCACCACTTCCGACTCCTGCAGCTCCTCTCCACTGGAGGCGTGTTTACTCTCCTCAGTTGAAGAGGAACTGCTCTCCACAATCCCTGGGGGTTCTCTATAATCCATTTGGCTTTTCCTCTCTCCCTCCTGAACCAATGGCAGTTCCCTGACAACCACTATTTTAGGCTGTTTTATATTAGCAAACATAGCTTGCATGCTGCAGTCACAGATACTTTCCTAGTTGGCACTGCACATCATTCACCCTCCCCCAAAATCTACTGATGTTCAAAGTTTATGATCCAGCCTGCATAGTTCATGTGTAGCTCAGCTTGCTGCTATAAACCTGCCATACTTTCCCTTTCTATCTTACCTTGATTTTCCTTCATCTCACCCAATCTGGATTCACTCCCAGAATCTTGCCATCCTGACTTGATAAGAGCCAGGTTTGACAATCAGATATGTTCTAGCCTTGTCTTGAACATCTTAGCTCTGGAAAAAATAGATCCGGGCCCAAATCTGATCTATCTTTGACTTCTCTTGCTGGAAAGAAAAGTCCTCATTCCCTTTTGATCCAAATCTACCAATATTTGGATGGCAGAGTAAGATCATAGCAAGAACACACATTTGCCTTTCTTTTCAGCTAAATGATGAGCGGACACTTATGAAGAGTCTCTTAGCAGTGATCCCAGATACTGAACCTGACGCAGGAGAGCTTCCTTGTTTGCCAGCTCATTTTCCAGCTTATCATTCATATCATGTATGGAGGTGGATTCCCTCTGAGCACTTAGGTAACGCTTTTCAAGGGTAGTGATCCTTTCTTCCATGTCTTCCTTCTGAGCCATTGCCTTAAAAGAACAAACAATACATCAAAAGACTACAATTTACAATTGTTGCCAATATTCATGTAGCTAGCAGGAGGTCATTAGATGGCTTATAATCTAAACTCGACTTTGAGATGTATCAGCTTCAAAAGGAATGAATGAATGTACAGATGAACGAAAACAAATGGAGGTGGAATAATTTTTTACCTCCCTAATGTCCCTCTGATATTTGCTGTTCAGTTCTTCAGTTTTAATGAGGTCTTTCCTAGCTGTCTCTGCATCTTGCTCTACCTCCCCGACTCTGGAAGACAATCCAGCCAAGCGGTCCTTCATCTGTGCCATTTCATAATTTTGCTTTTCAAGAAGTTCCTGCAGTTCCACCAATTGGCTGGTCTCATCATTTGAGTCTATGGAGCCATTTGACAGACGCTATTAAGAAACAAACAAACCATAGACCACTCACATTAGCCTACTTTCACCAACTTAGTGAAGAAATGGAGTGTATGAAATCAACAGGAATATACTGTTGGCACTTTTCCATGTGATTCAGATTTCTACGGTGGTTAAGTCTTCAAAATAGATTGCTACTGCTTATCAGAAAAAGAATGAATGAAATCTTTATTGCTAAAAGCTATAAGCCATCACAATTCGACACAAGTTGGAAAATGGTCACATGGGATACAAATAATTGCATGGGATACAAATAATTGAATCAAAACTGAACAACAACAACAGGAAAACAGACTTACCAAGATGCAAAATCACACCTGCATAAGTTAAGAACTTCACTTCTCACACTCCCCATTATGATACTTGTCTTGGTACCTAGTTCTCAACTTACTTGCAGACAAAGCAAATTTTGCAACTAGTGCAGTAATAAATACATTATTGCCAGGTAGCAAAATAGAGATTTGCTCAAGGGGAGGTCAGCTGGAAAAAGAACAAAGGATGTAATCGAGGAATTTTTGTCTAGGGGATGTATATAAAGGGCATCGGAGCAAATAGTGTTGAATGTCCTCCACGTCTCCCGACTCACAGATGCAGAGTCTTTGGTACACAGGGGTGGTATTAAATCTTCCCGTTAGATAGGCGGAGGGCATACACTGAAAACGCAAAGCTGTGAATGCTTTATCAGAAAGAGAGACCAGGTGCCTAAAACGGCAGCACTCCAAACCTAATTTAAATAAAGGAAAACTCTCACACAACTATGTTCAAATGTCTATCCTCAGTGACTTTCCCCATTTCTGAACACAGCTCCTTACAGTATTTTCTCATGGTGTCTTGTTGCAACAACAACAAAAGCATCACAGGCAATAGTGGAGGGCAAATACACACCTGGCAACTGAGCTGTTCACATATTCCTCCCCCAACATTTTAGTGGGGGAAAAGCATGGAGTTATCTTGCTTTCTGTAGCAGTCATCACTTGTGTTCTGGATCGTGTGTAACTACAAGAGGGCATAGTTGCTGATATGCTCCAAATACGAGTAATTGCACAGATAGCATTCCGTCTGTGTTATAAATCTTGCTCAGTTTATATGACCCCCCAGAATGACAGAACACGTAGACCTGTGAAAGATCTAGTCTCTTTTATTCTCTCACCTCTGGTAAGTCTACATTTGAAAGCTTATATTTGCTGTATAGCTCCCAGTTATTGTAACGGTTGAGTGATGCTGCAGGAAATAATAGTATGTGCCTTGCTTTTTCTTTGCAGTTATTTTTCTGTTCAACTTACTATTTGCCTTAACCCAATTAAAAAATATAGATGTCTGCACATGCATTAAAATATCATATTAATTTAATTTCTTTACAGCTGCTGATAAAACTGATAGACTTACATTCATGATGGCTGTAATAGATAAATATTTTTTTCTAGAGTCTGAGATTCATTAGGCTGGAAACACACAAGCACTGGAATTATATTATGTGAAGCACAGAACCGAACTAAGCTGTATTTGCAAATTAATATAATAAATCCCCACCTACCATCACACGAATATTGTTGTGCAATGATAATAGCTAAAGCTGAAAATTCTATCATTCGGTTTTGGAGCTGGTTCATACGGTATATCCATCAGCTCATTTTCACAAATAACTGCTTTCATGAATGATCCATTTGTGTGGTAAAGATACTGAGGAACACATAGCTGCAGCTTCTTTGAGCAGTATTTCCATATCACACTCATGAAGGCTGCCACCATGATTTCCATGAGCATTCTTAGGACTTAATGATGATATGTATGTGCTGCAGTGGCCCCTTCTGGCCAAGGGAGGGAGCTATAACAAGGGGGTACCATACCAACCTTTACAGCCAACATGGGTACATGACTACAGTCTACACTGCTGTCCTGTTAAAGGGAACCTATTTATGAATCAGCATGGCCAATGTCTACATGTTGTCCTACAATAGCCCCAGCTGGCCAGTTAGGGTGATAGGCAGCTGCGGGATGGATTTGCTGTAGACCAGTGCCAGCTAATTTGGTCTTCAAATGAAGCACATTTTTTTCTTTTGGAGGATATGCTGAGCCATGCAAACAGTTAATTAAATGACTATAACACTTGGTGGGGGACTTGATGATGTAGTACTAGCATTGTTAAATTAAGATTTTTTTTTAAAGAGCCTAGGCAAGCAATTTTAATAATTTGGCATTCAAACAAGCACACCTACTACAGTGAATCACTTATTTTTCAGCAGCTACCAAAGACGATAAAACACATTAACTAATCAACTTATAATTTAAATGTCTTACATGTACTCCATCACTCCATGTTGATTTTCCAATGTCCCCAATAGCACAGAGTTAAACAGTTTGCCTCTACAAGACCCCCTAGCTGGAAGAAGAGATGGTTAACTGAGTCTTTCAAAGCTGACTGGCTGTCTCTCAGAATAGGCCAACTGAGCTGAGTAGATTCCTCTTACTGGTGAAAGTCTAGCTTACTTTTGCTGCTTTTTGTGTTGCCCATTCAGTTATGACACTTGGAAGAGCCTGTGTTCTTGTATATGATTGGATGTTGGCTAAAAGCCACTCAATACTGCTCATAGGGAAGAAAAAGAAGAGCTGTGTTGGATTGTGAGTCCAGTTCATTTTATTAGTACTTGTCTGTGGATTAATAATGCTTTATATACAGTTTTTCATTGGCCTCCACTTTTTAAAAAATCAGCACCCTAGTATTTCATATACAAAAATCAAATCTGACTATGTATCTTTTCACTACCCTGGGTTTTCAGTGTGGTGTGTTCTCCTGGCCACTTTATGGGTTGTATGCATGTCAGAAGACCGGAGTGACCAAGTGACAAAAAGTGTTTCTTGCTGTTTCACTGATTGAGGGTGGTGATATATATTGTGGGCCATGTAAAATTAGGTAGTGGGCCAGAAGCAGTGCCAGATTTACATATAAGCTAAACAAGCTAAAGCTTAGGGCCCCACTCTCTTGGGGCCCCCAAACAAATTAAAGAAAAAAAAACCTGGATGTACATTTCCAAAATATAAGATAAAAAATGAAATAAAATAAAACCTACATACAGCAACAGTGTTTTGTTTGGTGTTGTGTAGGTTCCTATGATGTAACTAATGGGCCCCGCCTGCTAGCCTGCTCCCTAAAATACCACTGGTTTGCTCATTTCTATATACAGTGGTACCTTGGTTCTCAAACTTAATCCATTTCGGAAGTCTGTTCCTATACCAAAGCATTCCAAAACCAAGGCATGCTTTCCAATAGAAAGTAATGCAAAATGGATTAATCCGTTCCAGACTTTTAAAAACAACCCTAAAACAGCAATTTAATATTAATTTTACTATCTAACGAGACCTTTGATCCATAAAATGAAAGCAATAATCATATAAAAAATCATTTTAAGTTAGAGCTTAATAATTATTTCACAATTAATATACTACTTCTTAATTGTATTTCACTATTAATATACTTCTTAATTGTATTTCAGTTCAACAATTACTTTGATAAAATTCATATTTTGTAATGTGCACATTGTTTTCTTCATGGAAGGAATATGTGCACATTCTCCTGGTGCACAATGGGTGGTTATTAGGCATGTTAACAGCTCATATGTGACTGTGTGTGTTTGTGTGTTTATGTGTATGTGGTTGCAATTTGAAGTGGTAAAGGCAATTTTACTCTCACAAGACTTTACTGTAACAATCTACAGCACACGTGGTCCCAGTCAAAGAGTTATACGAAGACCTCACCTTGAGAAGATTACAGGCCACTATTTATGCTGTATCAGCATGTTATGGATTTATTTATTTTAATATTCATATACTGCCTTTCCAGGAAATGTGCAAGGCAGCTTATAACAACACAATTTAAAATGGTATGATTGATAAAAACAGAAAAAAAGAGTAAACGTTTTATGAAAAGAGTAGCATTGTTGGGAAGTTAGGCATTGCCTACACAGAGAAATGCCAGCTGTGTGTCATAAATATATGTACCACTTTGGGTAGGGCGATTTGTGGGCTTCATATTACTACCCACTCCCACTCATCATACTGACAAGAATTTTGCTGGTTAAATGCTTACAAAGGGAAAAGGGAGCCACTTTCATTGTGCCAACTTCCCCCCCTTCCTAAGTCACCCTAAAAAGCAGCAGCAAGTCTCAAGAATGTGGTGCATCTCTGAAATCAGCACCCATATATGGTGGAAGCACAGCCGAGTTCTTTGTTGGAAAAGAGCTTTAATAGCTGTCCAAATATAGTAGTAATAGCCCGGGGGAGAAAGAGAGAGATGAAAGTGTTATCAAGCAAATCTGATATCAGTGATGGTATTAGCTACAACAAAGCAGGCAGGCCATGGAGAAAATCAAAGTTCAAAAATACCCTGTGGGAACTTGTGCCACAAAGCGCAATGGAGATTAAACGTGGAAGAGGTCCAGGGGGGAAACAACCAGCACACGCTATCAAACTGAGACTGGTTTGTAAGAGAAGAGAAGAAGAGGAAAGCATGATCATGGTCTTCCCTTCCTAAATTGCCAGAAAAGGAAAGTCACGCCGATAATGTGCTATTTCTCCCCTCTCTCCCTAGATCAAAACACAGCAGCAACTGCAAACTAGTGTCTAATAGACAATGTATCTGCAATCAGATGGAGGCTCAATATATGGACGTATATAGCCAAAATTTCTTTTACGGCCCCCAATTACCTATCAAAATGAGCAGGAATGTCATTGGATACTAAGAAATTAAAATTAAACATGCCAGGGCAGAGAGAGGGAGGAATTGCAGATATTAGCAATGTAATGGGCAAAAAATTCTAGATTCTAGATGAGGATAAAGCAGTGATATTTCAAGTTCATGAATTGCAAGACTGACTTTTCTATTTGTCTGTAGTTTCTGATCTGTATTTTCTTGCATATGACTATACTTCCTAAATTTGTTTAAACACATTTATGACTTGGCAATGCTTTACAGTGTGAATAAAAGTGAATAAAGCTGCCATAATATTAAGGCTGCAATACTATGCATGCTTACCTGAGCTGGAAATAAGATTTAAGTGATCATAAGACTGGGATGCATTATTTATGTTCAGTTCTCCAGAGGTTCTTAGTTATTCCCCCATCTCTGGATTCTCATATTCCTGCTAAGATTCTCAAACCTTAAAACTTGCAAATACCATCTGCATCAAGAGACATGGTGTTAATGAACTTTCCACTATTTTATAATCATGTACTTTTTATTTTATTTTGTTGGATAAACATTTAATTCTTCAACAGCCTGGCATTATGGCCTTGAGGCTAATATCTCAATCTATTTAACCTTTAACACGTGTAAATGTGAACATTATAAAACACCCAACCAAACTGGGGCTACATCTCCTGTTCCTGGAACAGCGATCCAGAAAGTAAAATATTATTCGCTCTCTAATTTAAGAGTTTTAGGTGGCTAACAAGAGAAACACTACAAGCCAACCAAAATGAAAATAAAATACAATTATCACTTTTGTCTTAAAGCACATAAACCAACACCACTTGTCTTCCAAACTGAAGAGTGCAGAGATGACAAAGCATCATGAATAGAAAATAGAAAAACTGCCTTGTATTGAGCCAGATCTTTACTTTATCTAGCTCAGCAGCTCTTCAGGATTTCAGACTGTGCTCTCTCCCAGCTCTACCAGGATATGGTAAGGACTGAACCTGGAAACTTCTGCATGCAAAGCAGATGCTCTACCCACTGAGCCACAGCCCTTCCCAAGGTGGTAAGATTGTGCGACTAAATAAATCATTCCAGTCTTCTCTACAGTCCACAATAATTACTAAGCTTAAAAATGTATTACTAGACCACATTATATTTTTTCCTTGCCCACAATTCACAACACACCTATCAAGACAGCTACACATCTCATTCCACACGCATCTCTCTGTGGACTTTCACATTATTGCTTCAGATGTAACTTTTCAAAATAATTCTCAGATGCTTTCATCCTCTCCCCACCCAATGCCTATTACACCTGGGACTCCTTACCTCTCCTTTGTCCATTTTGCATTCCTTGTAAGTCCTTTTGCCAATCTTATGTGCCAAACAAGTAGATGTTTTGATCAAATTCCATGCACACATAGTTTTTCAGTAAAGTCTATCAATAACCATCCACTGAACGAAGTAAAGAATTCAAAAACACAGGCAGTGTATGCGTTGCTTCTTAGACTAAACCATATTGTTATGAACAGCTACATTTTGGGCTAGAATTGTATTGATTTTCTAGTTGAGAATGTAAATCCTCGGAGGGCAAGGATCAAGCCTTTGACCTATGTTTTACACATCAAGCATAATGACTATATTTAATAAACCACAAAATTATTGCATCAATTCCTTGAAGCAAATTTTCTCCAAGTTATAATCAACCTCTGAAGGTCAGTGATAGCTCCCTATATGTCTCTTCCCTGAACTGCCTTGCACTGTCTTTCAGAGAAAGACTCCACAGTTCTTTGTCATCGTTTCAAAGTATTGCATGGTATTAACACAGAAACACTAATGCTGGAAACAATTCTGTAACTTCCTTGCATAAAAATATGCAGATGATCAACTTGAAAAAGAGATTTCCCCCTGGTTGAAGAGCTCCATTCATGTACCATAAATTATCTACACATGACAAGAAGTGGGTATCAAAAGTGAAACTAGAAAGTTTCAAAAGGCAGTAGAAGCTGCTAAGATGACAAGCTGCTACAAAACACCTTTGATTATTATTTTTTTACATCACCGCTATAAGAAGCGCAAGTAGAATTGTTTCAATCACCTTCCATCCCTAGATTTGCTTGTGAGGAATGTTAAAATTGTCTTTCGGCTGCTAAGAAATATTTATTTATTTTTAAAAATATGTTTGGAATAAAGAACAGCTGAAAATCTCACACATTGATGTTGTATTAGACCTACTGCTAAAAAGCTTCAGTTTAAGGCATACTGGCAGAACCCTTTTGAGGGACCGTTTCCAAACCCCACACGTTAAGGCTGATTTTCCTAGCACTGACTTTAGAATATCGAAATGGTTTGCAGCGTCAGCGCTTGGATCACAATAGATCCGTTCTGTAGCTTAATGAGGTCATGAAGTTCATTTATACATGAAGTTCCTATAGAACCACTCACCCTCCCAGGAGGGCAGAGTTGCAAGCTGGCCACAAGCACTTCCCGTGTACAGCAGGGGTGGGGGTGGGCGTGGCAATGCCGCCCGCGTCATTGGGAGTCCCGGCTGCATCACACCCTACGGCTGACCAATCTGGTCGACCAGGGGTGTGGTTTACCTGATTTAAACATCTGCGCGGCCAGGGCTCAGTCTCCTCTTCTCCTGCGTCGGATCTCCTGCCCTCCCGCCCTGTTTTCATGCGTTCGTCATCTTGGCCTTGCTATGGACCACAGTTGGTCACCTGTTGAAGGGGCCAGGTAGGAATTTTCCCACTTGGCAAATTGGCACCAGCCATGTGGTTTTCGCCTGCCTTGTAGTAATCGTCAAAACCTAGAAAGGTTTGGCGGTTAGGCATTGGTAAACCTGGTTTATGGGAGGGGAGGTTGCGGCCTTCACCTGCCCCTCCTCTTTAAGGGTATTCTGTTACAGGGATCTGGGTGTGTGGTTCCTGTCCAAAGCCCAGGTAAGGGCTAGGGCCATGCCTGGGGGAACTTGCAGTTGATGTACATCAACAGGGCTCCCCCTACTGATAGTTTACCCTTATGAGACTACCTGCATGACCGGCAGGAGTCAGATATAGTCAGTTCAGTTCCAATGCCTAAGCCAATACCGCTCACATCTGTAATCAATAAAGTTGTGGCCTTATTTATCCCATTAACCCAAAATATTGGTGTGTGTGTGTTTCATTATCAAAGAAATGGGGTGGGGCTCGGGGCCTCGCCATGCAATCAGATGCTGTACGAAACTTCTTCACTGCTATCTTAATTAGAAAGAAGCAGCTTTAATTTCTGTAGGAGGGCATAAACAAAAGAGACTGCTCAAGGCATTGATTCAGAATACACTAGCGACTCATCTTGCATAGGTGCCAGGTTTTATTCATCACATTAAGTTCATCTTAGAAGGCAGAAATGGATTTGGGAGCTTAGAGCAGTGGGCTTTGATTTGAACTTTTCAAATGACGAAGACTCTCAAAGGGAAGCTGTTACTTTATACCTTTTCATGAACTTTTTGTCCAGGCTCCATTCCTTTGATAAGCTCTGAGTCAGTAGGACCCTCTCCTGATGCCATTTTCCTTTGAATGTGTGCATTTTGTTCACGCAAAGCTAGAATCTAGAAAAGAATTAAGATTAAGGTCAGAACAAACAGCAAGTAAGAATTTCATTTCTTGAGCATAAATACACAGCATTTTAAGCAGCAATGTGACAATAATTTAACATTATTCTTTACATTGTGTCAATATGCTATCAATCTAAATGTGGAAAAATCTTTAAAGATGGTATGTCTTGTTATCATCTTTCTTCATCACTCTTAAATGCTATCATTTTATATCCTCCTTCAAGCCTTTATCAGCTATGCATTTGAAAGAACTAGTTTACATGATTATGAAAGGTCAAACTAAGCGTGATGCAGCAGTTCCATGACTGGAACTCGCAACATATTTTTCCTCTGTTAAAATGCACCCACAGTCGGTGGGGGAGCTGATATGGATCAAGACCATGGTCAGGGAGAGTTTTTAACAATAAGTTTTATCAATTGGGGAAAACATTTGCATCAAGGGGCCGTTTCCAAAAGGAAAAGAGCAAAAAGGGGTAACTCATCTTCTCTGTACCATAATCCTAACTGAGGACACACTCCCCCTTCCCACACAGCTATGCTTTGTAAAGGAAAAAGATGAAATCAAACCCTTTAAGAGACTAGAACACACCATCAGCCTAATAGGTTTATCAGCAAAATTGTTAATGATACTGCACTTTACAATACTAGAGAACCGTGGCCGTCTTATCCATAGGTGCTAAGGGTGCAGGGCACCCGGCCACCGGGCTCTCAGGGGCGCCAGGCTGAGAGTTCGGGACCTGAGAGTTGAGTCTGGGGAAGAGCCGGCCCGTCGGTCGGAGCGCTGCAGTGGGCTCTTCTGCTGCGGGTGGCTCTGCGCCAGGAGTTCAGGGGTGACCGAGCCAGCAAGAAGCTGAGGCGGCCGGCTGGCTCCACCCTCCTGTGCGCCTGGGACTGGGCAACCTGGGGAGGAGGCGCCAGGCAGATCTTTGCACCCTGGCGACGCATATACTTAAGACAGCCCTGTAGAGAACACACCCCTCAAAAAGCACAGAAGCCAGCATGGTTTTACTTCAGCATCCCAATTTCTGTTCGTAAGACTGATACTCAGAGGAAAGTAGTATATGTAGATTGAAATAGTTTGATCTCATAGACACTCAGATCAGCAAGATCACTCAGTACAAGTTTTACACAAGGTTGTTTCTAACTTCAATTTCCAAAACAGAACTTCACTTTCCAAAATAGCTCTATTTTTCAAAAATTGTATTTAACTGTGCAGTGGGGGTGATGAAGCAATAACATCCATTGATTTCTACCATTTGGGACACATCCTTATTGGGTTAGAAGAGCAGTACTGGGTTATGCTATGGGACACATATGCCTTCTTCATACAGTGGTACCTCAGGTTAAGAACTTAATTCGTTCTAGAGGTCTGTTCTTAACCTGAAACAGTTCTTAACCTGAGGTACCACTTTAGCTAATGGGGTCTCCCACTGCCGCTGTACCACCACCGTGCAATTTCTGTTCTCATCCTGAAGCAAAGTTCTTAACCCAAGGTAATATTTCTGGGTTAACGGAGTCTGTAACCTGAAGTGTCTGTAACCTGAAGAATATGTAACCCGAGGTACCACTGTACATTACAACCACAAAGCAGCAAACCCAGCTGAAATAGGCTGTGGGGCCATGCCTTCCTTCACTGTTGTCTTTCCATATTCTCAGATAACTTTTGGGATAGGGAGCCTTGTCCACTTTGGGGGGTTCCTTGCACAATTGAGGATATGTTTAAAAACGGCTATCCACTGCAGCAGTTATAGCAGAATACAGGGTAGCTGGCTTGAGTCATCAGACTAAAAGGCATAGTCCTGAATCCAGTCCTTTTCCCCCCTAAAAAAATATTTAGGGGTACTCTCATTTTGACTCAAGAAAATCACCAATCAGGAAAATCAGGAAAAATAAATACAGTAAATGGACAAAAGACAGCCAATTGGGGGTGGAACTGATGATTCACCATGCTAGAGAATAAACTAATTTTTAAAAAAAGTTTTTAAACTTCTCTTCTAGATTCACAAAATGTTTAGGGGTATGTGTACCCCTGTCCCCCCCCCCACAGAAAAAAGCACTGCCTGAATCCCTTTTACACTCACATAGTGCCATCATGGTTGACATACCTGAAAAGGGCTGTAGCATCTGCCAACTCAAAACTCCCTGCCAACATCTAAGTAAGCAACTTGTGTGACACAACCTAATTGATCCTGAACCCCTGCACGTGGCAGCCAATGAGGGGGAAGGGAGGTGGGGGAAAGTAGAGGATCAAAATGTCACATTACACATCACACTTAGTTTGGCATTGCTGGGATGGGGGGACAGAAGTGGGGAAAGTGATGTCCACACTGTTGCTGTCATACACAATTTAGATCTAACTGTAAAGAAGCTCCTTGTACCCTTTCTTTTTCTAGATAAGGAAATACTCACGTTATAAAGGATACAGAAAGACAATAAAGGGCAATGTTTGAATTGTGCTGAATCACTGCCTCAATTTTGATCACAAAGTGCGTCTAGGCATTTTAGCTGCAATGATGACAGTAAAATAATAATAATAATAATACTGGGAAATGGTAAAGCAATCTATGCCAGATGAGCTCTTATTCATTTTGGTGAGCATGAAATTCCGATAGTAATGATACATGTTATTTATTTATAAACTGTCTTTATTGCTTTTTATCCAAAGCAGAAATAAATCTAAAAGAGACATAAATTGGACACAATACATTCATAATGTAACATGCCATTACATGCAACCATTTCACAGCTGAAAGGATTAATAAAGTAAAAACAACAACAGTGGGTTGCTTAAATGTTGCACAGCAGGGTGAAGATCTACCCAGACTGGTCACATTGCTCAACTAAGAATCAGAGGCTGTAGAAATCATTATTAGACTTCGTGGCGGATCTATGAAATGGAACAGAGACCTTCTGCTCTGATGCAGACATAATGTAATTCTGAGCTAAGTAACAAAAACACACTTCCATATCATTTCCTCCGAAACAGAAACAGAAATTAATAGGAAAAGGTTCACATTCGTTTTACACCCACCTGGAATACAGATCATTTATCTTAAGAGTCATAGAAATAAAAGCTACAATGGGCATAACCAACACCTACCTATTGGACCCCTAAATTAAACTGATGTGTTTCCATTAACTTAATTTCCAGAGGATATCATGGTCCAGACTTGAAAACAGAAATCCAGGTTGATGTCTGTGCGTATACTTGTGTCTCTGAATTATACTTGCTGGCCCATGCTGAAACACAACACGGGCAGAGCGAAATATGCCTTTAAGGAAAATTTATCAGGCACCAACCTGTTCTTTCATCAGGAGGCCAAATATGAGAACTTCCTTAAGCCTTAGCCAAAAAATAAAAGAAACTATCAAAATGCAAAAATGGAGGGAAATGGAAAGAAAATATAATGCTGTTAGAGAGGGTGGGTAAACTCTGGGCCAGTCCATTTAGCCCATAAAGCTGTTATGGACAAGCCACACCCATCTGCTTTACACCTGAGGTTGGGGGGGGGACAGGGGACGGAGTAAAGATTAGTGGTTGGGCCAAAGTAGTGTGACCCCTGATGAGCTGGATGAAAGAGAAAAAGCCTATTCCCCAAACCAAGGTCTTTCCTCTTTCATTATAATAAAGATTTCAGTCTCTGCATTATGCATTATGCATTTACTTTATGGAACAGAAATAAATAAAAGAAATTACATGCAGTGGTGGTTGATTATTAAAAGCAGGCATGGCAATGATATAGATCGGCTTCTTATCCAAGGTAAATCCAATGCTGTTTTTTTTTTTAATGTTCCTTCCATTTAAAAACATCAGTCAGCAAAACGGATTAAATTATGTCAGTCTAATTATCTTGATTGGAATTTGCTTCCAATTCAATCACTTGTCTAGGATGTACTAAAAGGGCTTAATTTAATTAACAGTATAGTAAAAATGTAAAGAGGTCAAAGTCTATTTTCAGAGAAGGTTTGTCAGGTCTGTATAACATTTGAAAACACCTTATCTCATCTCTCCTGTTAATTTGCAGTTCTTTTTTTCTTGGGGCAAAAATATGCTTTTCTTCTTATTTAAAGGCAAACCAAAAGTCCAAGTATTTGCTCTGCAAAATGGTGTCTCTAGGAAAAGCAAATAGTGGCAGCCACGCTATGCCCTGTGGGTTCTTTGCAGGGGGTGGGGGCAGGGACTGTGCTTGGCACCTGCAGCCACAACCAACAGCCCTGCCACTTCCTGCCCACCCAGTGAGGCTCGCCATCACCTCCCTTCCTAGAACATGAGGCATTCCTGGCACTGCTACTGCTAAATTTTAGTGGCAGAACAAAAAAATTGGGGGTACCATCTTCATGAAGAGAAGGCGTCAGGGAGGGGATGAAGCCAATGGGGCCCCACATCTCCCAGTCATGCCCCCGGTTGGAAGGCTATTCTTTGGAGGATAATAATAATAATAATAATAATAATTCCAGCAGAATATTAAAATACAAGGATTCAGCAAATATTAAAAGCTTCCCTAAACAGGGCTGCCTTCAGGTGTCTTCTAAAAGTCAGATAGTTGTTTATTTCCTTGACATCTGATGGGAGAGTGTTCCACAGGGTGGGCGCCACTACTGAGAAGGCCCTCTGCCTGGTTCCCTGTAACTTCACTTCTCACAGTGAGGGAACCACCAGAAGGCCCTTGAAGCTGAACCTCACTGTCCAGGCAGAATGATGGGGGTGGAGACGCTCCTTCAGGTATTCTGGGTCAAGGCTGACCTAGAGCTCTTAGAGGAATACCCTGTGTTAAGCACCCAGGACCCTCAGGGAAACTGGCAATCTGACTTTCCCTTTTCAGATTCCAAAAACAGCTGGAGGACCAAGTTTGGCCCCTACTGTTTTACATGGTTTTGTATGTTTTGTGTATTTTATGCATTGTGATTTGTTGTTACTTTTATTGATTATATTTGGTAATTCTTTATTGTGGTTGAACTGTTTAATTATATTATTTGCTGATGTTTAATTTTACTGTTTACTATTAGATTCGGATGGATTGTTGAATGTTGCTTTGTTTGATATGTTATTTTAAAGTTATCGTGACTTTTATACTGGACAGATTGTTACTATTAATGTTTTATTTTAATGTTTTATTATGTTTTTATGTCTTGGAAGCTGCCCACAGTGGCTTGGGCAACCCAGCCAGATGGGTGGGGTATAAATGAAACATTATTATTATTATTATTATTATTATTATTATTATTATTGACTTCTACTTGACTTTACATCTTAGATTGCCCCTGTTGATGTCTTGCTGCTCTCATCTATGTGCAGCCTGAAGCAGGACACCCCGCCCCCAGGAAAGCCCTGGCATGGCACTCTAGCATAACAGAACATTTCCTGTCAATGGTTTCATTCTCACCTCCCGCACCAAATTCTCTTAACCTTTAATCACTCAAGCTTGTTTTCCTGACAAACTGTAACAACTTTAACATTTACAAACAGATGTTCCACATCCTATTAAAAATCTAGTGGGAAACTATGTTTGTTTCACTGAAGTAAACAGTATTCAAAATCAGGCTTCCTTCTTAGGAACAGATTTCTTCTACATAGATGCTAATGCTAAATAAAATGTCTTGTGTCAGACCTCCATCCTGCATTGAAGAGACAGATAATTGAGAAAGCATCTATCCACATATGTTCAATTCTATACTAGTCAAACAAAATCTTGAGAGGAAGCTGGAATGAGAAGGATCCCCTTTTGTCTTTGGAAGATAAGCTTATGTAAAAATGTAGATTTTGCCAGCTTTGTGACCACCATGTATTAAGCAAACAATGCAAAATGACCACATTCACACGTCACAATTGGGGATAAGAAAATCTGTCCATTTTGATTTCTCTCAGTTTCTCATTCCCCCCCCCCCCAATTTTAAGTTTGGTTCCCCATGTTTCCAAAACAGTTTGTCATCTTTTATTTTTAAAGTCTTCATTAAAATTCACCAGCATTTTAGTGCAAATTTATCTTACTACACACTTGCTTGGATGCAGTTTGTATGTATAATGTGCTTCTGCATATTATTTCCACTAATATATGCATTTATATGCATACTTTATGCAAGTATACGCATTTTGGTACAACTGACTTCACTGGAGAACTGCAATGCAAAATTCATGGCACAAAGCATAGTGTGACGTTGTGCTTGGATATAAGCTAAGTAAGATAAAATGTTATGATTCTGTAAGCAAAGACTACAATGAAGACAGAATAAATGCAAATAAATTATATTTGGCATTTAAGATACAGCCTGCTTGCTCAATTTCTGCTCCTGAGTTCTAGGTACAAATTATACTCAAGCCTTCTGAATAATAACAATAATTCTCCAGCTCCTAGTGTGGTTTCATTCATTTCTAATCTGATTAGTCACCACTTTCTCACTTAAAATAGGGTGCCTGCTTACACATTCAGTTTAAAAGATATATATTTAGAATTGGTGGGGTTTTAAAATCTAAATAAATATACATTATTTTTATTTAGATAAATAGCCTACTTTTGTTTGTATCTAACAGGGATATCTTACATATAACATGTATCTAACAGGGATATCTTACATTTAAACAGCCTTGGCCTTGTATACCTGAAGGAGCATCTCCATCTCTGTTGTTCAGACCAGACACTGAGGATCCACCTCTGAGGGCCTTCTGGTGGTTCCCTCACTGCGAGAAGTGAGGTTACAGGGGACCAGGCAGAGGGCCTCCTTCGTAATGGCATCCACCCTGTGGAACGCTCTACCTTCAGATGTCAAGGAAATAAAAAACCACCTGACTTTTAGAAGACATCTGAAGGCAGCCCTGTATAGGGAAGTTTTTAATGTTTGATGTTTTATTATGTTTCTGTATATGCTGGAAGCTGCCCAGAGTGGTCGGGGCAGCCTAGTCAGATGGACAGGGTACAAATAATAAAATTATTATTCATTATTGTTATTAAATATGTGTGCAAAGACAACTGGATTTTCAAGAAAATTGATCAGAACTGAAACCTAAGATTTTTATATCAATAAGATGTTCTATATATTTTAGGTTGGAAATTGCCATGGGATGCCATTTATGGTGGCAACCTTGGGGCCAGAATAGAACATATCTTGCCTTTGTTCTTTGGTTGAGAGGCAGCTTGCCAAATGATAGCTTATGGTCATAATGATAGGCTGATACGATGCTTAAATGGCCACATGCCACACTTGATGCAAAAGTAACATGTACAGTGGTACCTTGTTTTGAGTCCGGAATCCGTTCTGGAGCCCTGGACACTCGACGAAAGGGACGCTCAATGAAAGGGACACTCAACAAAGTGCCGCTCTGCGCACATGTGCTGAGCAGTTTGCACTTCTGCGCATGCACGAGCAGCAAACCTGGAAGTAACCTGTTCCGGTACTTCCGGGTTTGCCGTGGACATTCGCCGAAATGGACGGTCAAGAGGGCGGACGTTCGTGGAGGTATTACTGTATAATATTTTCTCAGATAGATTGCATCGCAACTCAATGGTATACAGGCTGTGGCTACACCATCTTGCCGGAAAATTGCAAATGCCTACTTTCTTAGTCAGTGATGGAACATGCCAAGTTCAGTGAAGTTTATTTCTTTACATACTGTATTTGTCAAATTTGTGACCCCCTTCCTATTTCAAGCTTCGCAACAAGTTTGAACTGCTTCCTCCATTGCCTTCATAATTGCAATGCAAATGAATGCAGTGTTAATGAGAACCTGCAGTTTAATGTGTGCTGCTTCAATGTGATAGGAAGCTAAAGCAAGAGAACCTTTTAAAATTCTGATTCTGTTAACCAACATGCAGAAATTCCCCACAAACTACTTTAATATTATGTGTGGGGGGCGGACACCTTAGGTTAAATGCTGAGGTTAAGGCTGAAGAGATGGCTTGAATGCTGAATCACTCAAGATTTCCCATTCTCAACAGCAGGGGGTCTACTTCTTCGATCTGTTATTCGTTTAATAGCACATATATGGCATCTGTGTTGTGAAAAGGCAATCAAAATATTTTCAGCCACAGGAAGACGCTACGTTGCAGTAAGGACGGCTTTATATGGCATTTATCACTAGTGCAAGTTGCACTTTAAGGGAACAAAAGGCAGAAGAAAAGGCCTTTCAGAGTTTCAAAAACTGGTTTGGGATGTTGCTTTCAGCAACCACAAAACCCTTTTCATCCTCTTCTTAGGTGAAAGGATGCTATAAAGCACCTTTCTACCCAAAATGGGTTTCTTTCTCTCCACTTCAGCTCTTTAAAAACAAAGGATTCCATCTCAGATAGAGTTCCAGCAGACATTCTTCCTAGAAGAACCGTGGAATGAAATCTCAGTGAAAACCACTTATTCTACACAATTGCCAGCTGCACCACAGCACAGATACTTTTACCCAGGGCTGCAGTTGATTTAAAAACCAGGTAAAAAGTAACCACAATTAGCATTACTGTCAGCATCTGCATAATGCCATGTAGGCAATGTTGATGAGAAGAGTGGGTGAATTTGTATGGAAGAGGAAGGAGAAGCGCGCCTGAATATCATCTTGCTCTGAAAGTGAAAGCTAGTTTTGCAAACATTTACATGCCAGTTGATTGTAATGAAACCTCAAAGTGGTTTATATATAATGTATGTGACACTTAAGGAAAGTAAGTATTTAAGTAGAGATGAACAGGACTTCCCCACATCCCAAAAAATGCAAGTGCCTTACTAAAACTTTGGATTTTCTCATCCCTCAGATTCCTCAAATGTTTCTCCCTGACATATATGCCTGGAAGTTCCCACAGTGCCCAGCCACCCTGAATAAGTTGCCCACAAACAGGAGCAGCCACTGTCTTTTGGGAACCTACAAGCACTTTTTCACACTATCTCCCCTCCTCTGACACGTAAAGGGGGGGGAAAAAGGTAAAGGACCCCTGGACGGTTACGTCCAGTCAAAGGTGACTATGGGATGTGGCGCTCATCTCGCTTTGAGGCTGAGGGAGCTGGTGTTTGTCCACAGACAGCTTTCAGTGTTATGTGGCCAGCATGACTAAACAACTTCTGGTGCAATGGAACACTGTGATGGAAACCAGAGCGCACGGAAATGCTGTCTACCTTCCCGCCGCAGTGGTACCCATTTATCTACTTGCACTGGCATGCTTTTGAACTGCTAGGTCGGCAGGAGCTTGGACTGAGCAATGGAAGCTCACCCCATCATGGGGATTCGAACTGCTGACCTTCTGATCGGCAAGCCCAAGAGGCTCAGTGGTTTAGAGCAAAACCACCCATTGACACGTAGACATTAGCAGCAGCCCAATGAAGAAACCCGGGCTAACATCTGACTTGTGAGGGACTAACATTTGGGACTAATTCCTGGCAAGGAGATTCAGCTGCAGAGCAGTAGCTAGAACATTGGAGGATGGAGGAGACTTGCGAGAAACATCAACAGCAGCCCGGTGCGGGGCCTCTGGGCTGTTAAGGAATTAACATCTGGTGCTGTATTTTCAACATACTGGAAACTACTTCAAAAACTTCACTTAGTAGGCAGGGTATAATAGTCATAGAATCATAGAATTGTAGAGTTGGAAGGGACCACAAGTATCATCTAGTCCAATCCCCTGAAATGCAGGAATATTCTGTCCAACATGGGGCTTGAACACACAACCCTAAGAGTCTCATGCTCTAGTGACTGAGCTACCAAGGCAGATAAATAAATAAATAATAAACAACAATAAACAAACTAATGAGCGACGGATGGCAAGGAGGACCCACATTGCACTGGGAAGATATAGTGTGCTCTTACCAGTGCCCAGTAACATAGTTTAGTTTGTACAAATGTGTTACATTTAGGTCTGATGCCAGATTCCTTGGAGAAGATGGAAAGGCAGGTCAGACATTGCAGGACCATGGATAGCTCTGAGTGAGTAACTTGCCCTGATGAAGCTTGAGAGCAGTCGGAGTCTTTTTAAGAACCTGCCCCCAGGCTCTCTCTTCTCAGGGTCCACTATCTTGTGGATTACTTTAGAGCCTTAAATGGCCAACATTCTGGAGTAAAAATGAAGACTCCTCAATTCCATAGCCTCCATCCTGGCACATCCCTGGCATTGCTGATCCAGTGAGGAACAGTGGGAGGCACTAGGTTCCTCAGGGAACTGTGCCCATTTTCCTTGGAGCTCATTTTGATCATTCTGGGATGTCCCAAGATGATATGTAACAGGATTAGTTGCCTCCTGATCTCCAGCAGGAGACTTAGAAGCTTGGACCAGGTCTTGCTCCTTAGCTGGAGACTCTACAGCCTCTTACTCAGAGTCTTGCTCTGCTGGACTCTGGGGTCATGACAAAAAGGGGCCTAAATAGCCAGATTGCAATTTTGTGGGGAGAGATAGGTTAATTTCTGGACATTCCCTGCATGTCCAGGTAGTTAATCAGGCTTTACGGGATTAATTTTAAACTGGACTGAAGGGGGGAGGGTTGTTATTATTTTCTGCCTCTACATAAATGTCCTATCTCATATCTCTCAAATCTTGTGATCTGTAGAAGGTATTTAGATATTTAGTACTATATTATTATTTTTAAAACTCACTAATAAAGTTTGTGCTCCTTGCTAGTACTATTGCAATACCTATTGTTAACAAAAACTGGTGACATATAATCTGTAATTATGATCCAGGAAGGTGAAATGAAAATCCCACGCTAAGAAATACACCGAGGCAGTTATGAGGGATCAAAGTTTTGTGAAGAAAAAATATTTAACTGCACACAAAAAAGGCAGACCAAGTAGCTTTGCCAGAATAGACTTCAAACAGTGGATACTCAGCAGGGTACTGTTTTAACATATATTTCGAATCATCAGTACACTGCAGGTGTGGAGGAAGATAAAAATAGTAAAACTGGTAAGCAGCAATTTTTGTAGCTTTCCCCCACTCTTGCCTCTTCATTTCTGTTGTGCCTGGATTCCTCCCTTGGTTAAACAATTAGTAACTCTCTGAGAACAATAGGAGAAATGCCCAGATATAATGAATAGCTAGCTGGAACCTTAGGCAGGAATACTTCTTAGAGAGGAGACACAACTGGGATTTTCAACAGAATATTGCAGTGTCTCCTTCCTCTTAACAGGAGTGCTCCTGTCCAGCTATTCTTTCATAACAGAGCATTCCACTTTCCTCACTCCTCTGTTCTCCACTTTTCTTCTCCACCTGATACTCAACATTCTGCATCTACTGAACATGCTCAGTTCTCATTAGATTGTGTTTTGCCCCCTTGATTTATTTAATAAATGCTTTGTTGTGCTTCTCCAAACCTCAATATTCTCCCAAGCCTGCAGAGACCTTCCTCTTATTTCTCAGTAGCCCCATTTTTGGCTCAGCTTTTAGTGGTACTTAGCACCTGAGTTCACTGTTAGAGGACGTAATGTATGTACTCATGGAATCAAGTAAAGAAACAATTTTTAAACACTTCAGTAAAAGGACCATTTTGCAAACAGCAGGAACGGAGGAGTGCTCTTGTTCATACATTTGCTGGGACAGCATCCCTGCTCATAGAGTGGAGTAGCAAACTTGCTCCCTCACTGCTACATGTAGATAGCAGTGTGAACTGAACACTCCACAATGGCTGGAGGTCCAGTTCATATGATTCTTCCCATCTTCAAAAATAGGAGGGAGAAATTGCATGATTATGACAAAAAATGAGCATCGAATTTAATGTCCTAAGATGTTATTCTGTATGGTGGTGCTGATAGAGGGAGGGGAGGAAGCACCTTGTGAGTGAAGACAGAGTTTTGCAGTGAATGTATTGAAAAAGGAGCTGTATAAACCCATGCTCTTCGATTGTAACATAAGTATCACAATTCGTTTTTAAACTTTCCTGCTATCTTCGATGCTGTGGGCTTCTAGCAACTTAAGGCAATCCCCTCCCCAGAAAAAACAAAAAAACAAAAATCATACCCCTTTAAAAGTAGCCTAAAAAGGTTGCCTAAAGGTTGCCTAAATTTTCAGAATAGAGCCAAAGCAGTATCTACACAGGTTGTAAATCTAATGTTAATCCACAAAATGATATGATTAAAAAGTTACACCATACAAGACAGAGAAAAGTTCTGTATTTACCTCCTGATTAGCAGCTGCTAGTTCCTCCTCAAGTGCTGAGACTCTTTCTAAAGAAACCCTCAGTCGTTCCCTTACCTAGAAGAAGAAGAAAATTGTACCATTCAAATTATTTGTGCTCTAGAACTTGAAATAATAAATAGATGGGAGCACTTGAGGCACATATACCCCATTGTGTGGCTTGGGTGTATTGCCATGCAGTTTTTATGGCTAAAAGGAACTGGGGAAGACAGGGCTCTAGCGAGACTTGGGTAGTTTCTCCATATGAAGCTGCTGCACCCACACATAAACTGAGTCCATCCATTTGCTATACAGTGGTATCTTGGTTCTCAAATGCTTTGGTACTCAAACAACTTGGAACCCAAACACTGCAAACCCAGAGGTAAGTGTTCTGGTTTGCAAACTTTTTTTGAAAGTAAAACATGCTCTGTTTTGAGTGTTACGCTGAGGTCTGTCTGTTTTTGCTATTTATTTTGCATTTTTGTGGCTCTTTTTTGTGACTGTGTGGAACCCAGTTCAACTACTGATTGATTGTGTGACTGCAGTACATTATTTATTACTTTCATTTTATGGATCAATGGTCTCGTTAGATAGTAAAATTCATGTTAAATTTTTGGGGTTGTTTTTAAAAGTCTGGAATGGATTAGTCGATTTTGCATTACTTTCTATGGAAAAGAGTGTCTTGGTTTTGGAATGGACTTCCGAAATGGATTAAGTTTGAGAACCAAGGTACCACTGTTTTTAACTTTCAAGATTCCGAACCAGTCTGCTCTAGAAGCCTTTGTTGAATAATGGCCTATGGTTAACTTGACTAGTCATGTAAGAAACATCACCACATACCCAGATCCCCAAATCTCTATTGGGTTGGGTAGGGAGGAATAGCCAATGAACCTTCAGACATATCCCATTAGTTGGTTGGGACATGGCTTACTGGGCAATTGGGGAGTGCTGAATCTGCAAGTGAAGTTGTGGTTACATTGTTGCTGCATGTTGCACTCAGACTGATTCCATGGGCCGGATGGATTTATGATCAATAATTCAACGCACCAGCATTCAATCCACTTTTGGAAGGTTTGTAGCAGTTCAGAAGGTCTGGTGAATCACTCAGAAATAAGCAGGCAATCACCTTAGTGCAGATTCAACGCTTACCACTTGCTTCGTAACATACCTGGTGTCACTCAAACCGCCAGAGAAAATCCTTCAATTTCAATTCTGAGTTCAAAACACAAAATGTACAATACGTAGGATGTTTCTGATTAATTGCTTGCAGAAAGTTCAAGTTCATTTCTCATTAATTAAAGCAGTTTGAGAAAACAAGGCGTTAGCACTTCCCTAATGGTTTTTTTTTTTTAATCAGTCTCAAATACTGTAAAGTGAAATTAGTCTATAAACCATACTAATCTCCAAAGACTACTGCTAGTAATGCTCCATTATGTAAGTCCCAGCTACAACTTAAGTTCAGCAGAAAACCCAAAAACTTCCAGGGACATTTAAAATATTGTTTAAATGTCTTTGCATAGCATTGGCCTCAGTTACTCATCTCTTACTATGCACAGCTAAATTGCAAAACTTCATTTCAGATAAAAAAGCACAATAAATGATTTTCACGTCACCTAGAAGAAGCATGTCAAAATATGGTGCGATCGTGATTCAGGCACAATACGTACTGCCCTATTTAGACTGTAATGAATCTCTGTGGGATTTCTTCCTAAAGGTAATATAGTTCCCTACAAACAGACCACTCTACACAAGCCAGCTTCTAGGGCCATAGACAAGTGACCCATATGCCTTGACTTTCCTTATTTATCATAGCTGCCCCTCCCTGCTGCCTGGTACCTGCTCCTGATAAATCATTATCCCGTTTTTATTTTTATTTTACAATTTTGTTAGGGTGAGATACCATTGTTTAGGAGTTCCCCACGGTGTTTAAAATTTAAATCTCTGAGTGGATGTCAGATGCATCGTTTCTAGTGCATATTCATATCAACACATAGGCGTGAACCCTCTCAGGCACCATGCAGGGCACAATCTGCCAGTTCACACACTTGCAGCTGCTGGTGGTATTCTCACAAACTGTTGACAACGTATTGCAAGACAATTTTATGTTTTTCATGAACACTGTCTTGGCTTTTAACTCAATAGAAGACAGGCCATTACACTATTAATGAATACAGGAGGAGGAATAGACACATATAAGCAATGTAGGGGAACTGAGACTGCTATCCTCATAGTGGAAATAAGAGACAATAAAATTCCTGACACCTGCAAAGTTGTTGAGATTTTCTTAGGAAACTACCAAGATTGTTGAGCTTCTTTGGGGAAATATTTCCCCAAAATAGTGACTTTAAGGTTTTGGAGCCATTTCTGCTGCTTTTTCCATCGCATTGCCATATACTGTAACTGGGTTTCCCCTGACATTTTGTGGATTTGGCAAAATTCTTCCAATGCCATTTTTACACCAGAAAACCAGGATATGTCAGGAATTTTCCTGACGTATGGCAAGCCTAGGTACCCCTGTATTCATACATGAATATGGGGGTCCTTTCAGAAATATTAACATTCTGCTGATCAGTTGCTTGCGAAGGGGAACAAGGATTGGGTTAAACCTCTCCTCTCTCACCTCCTTTCCTCCCATACAGTTGAATGATGGGTTTTTTAATTGTTTGAAATGACTGCACATTTTTGGATCAGGCAGTCACACCCACACCATACATTTAAAGTACATAACTTCCCACAAAGTATTATAGGAACTGTGGTTTGTAATGGGTTCTGGGAATTATAAGTCTGTGAGTTGTAAACTATAGTTCCCTGGGTCTTTAGGGGAAGCCATGACTGTTGAAGTAGTATAAATGTGCTTTAAATGTAGTGAGAATATTTAGTTCAACTTGGATGGGTAAATGCAGCTTGATAACTTGATGCCTGCTTTGGGGACAGCACCAGAGATTTTCTCTCTATCTCCAGCTCCCCTCCGCCGTCTCTCTGGTCCTAAAAGGGAATATAAACAACTTACAGTATGCTACTAGCCTGAATGGACTGGGTTTGACTTCCTGGAAGGGCCCATGGCCCTGCATAAGTCCCATGGAAATTCAGGGTGTGAGGCCTGGTGCCTCTGTCGTGACCTTGGAAGAATACAAAATGGCACCCTGGAAACACTATTATGCTACATATGCCAAGAGAATGAGGGATCTAGTCTAGTGTAGGCATCCATGACAAAGCTTAAGAAATATATGCTGAGTCAGTAAGCTGATTCCCCATACTTTACCTTCTCATCTAAAGCCTTGTGGTGTTCAAACAACGATTTCAGTGCTTTCAGAACCTCGACTTCACTGGAGACTCCTGAGGGGGACTGTGCTTGCCGTTTCACCACTGTCATTCTCAGCGACCTTTCATGTCTTGAAACAAGGCACTCCAAATGTTCCAGTAACAGCTATTGGATTCAATATATATATATAAAAAGAAAGTTAGCTCATTTTCACCTGAAGGTCACCGGCACCATAATTCTAGTTCAAAATGATAATGACACAGGCAGGTTTCACCGTTCTTGAAGGTTTATGGTGACTCTGTTTGGCAGTTTTCCATGATATTATTGCAGAGAACATAAAGGGGAATAAAGTATAAATGTGATTAATATCTACTGAACTCTCATGCAAATTTTCCAAGATGGCAAATTGTTCCACTCACCTTTGTTGTGTCCAAACTAAGACATTTTAGGACATTGAAATATTGTTAAATGGAACTACTTAAACCATCAGATTAAAGAAACAAATCACAGTGCAGTATGTAACCAATGCTGAAATTAGTTGCACAACTGCATTTCAAAACGTGAACAGATATGCAAAAAACAAACAAACGTTTTTCATTAACATTTCGAGTTTCTGTATTTGATCAAAAGGGGTTGTATCCAATGCCAGCACTCATGTAACAAACTCCCTATTGTAACCATTTGTAATGTATTTCCCACATTCATGGCTGCAGGAACAGACTTGAGGAGAGGTGAATAAAGAGAGGGCTTATCCACACCTTTTGCCCTGCTCTTTCCAGGCACAGGTCCATACTGAAAAGCTCCATGTCTGAGTGTTCTTTTTGTTGCCCTAGAGCTTTCCCCGTGAAAACCCACTATTTAAAGCTTAAGTGCAACAAACAGCAACTCAGGTTTTTCCTGGATTGCAGTTTGCTCCTATTGCTTCCCTCATAGCCGCAGCCTTGGATTCAAACAGAAATCAAGCGCTGACTCTCTCTGGCTTCCCAGTCTGCAGCTTTTCTTCCAGCTTCTAGCTCACCTCATGCAGTTCTCAACCCTGGCCATTTCTTTTTAACTACCGGTCAGTTGAGGGAGGGAGTCCACCCAATTTTTCATCAGGCACAGACCCATTTCCTTTGTTTCCTTAATGGCCCATTACCTAGGCTATCACCTCACCAGGAAGCTAGCCTGGCTTATATTTTAACAGCTGCTGGATCCAGGGGTTAGAAGGGTCTCAGCAAACAGCCTACTCTCCCCCCTGCCCCACAACTCACAACACTACTTTAACACTGCCCCACTCACTTATGCTATTTTATAGCAAGCACAGCACATCATAGTGTTACGCTGAACTAACTCCAAGAAGTGAATAATGGATCCTTTACTTTTCCCACACCACAAAAAAATTAATTGCAGCTATAGATGCATACACAGAGGTCAAAATAAAGACTTTCCACTGCAGGGTTGTTATGTTGTAGAAAACAAAATGCTCCGCTGCATAAATGAAAACATGGAGTCAAGGGATATTTATGTCTGTCAACATTTTTGAGTGGCTTCACAATTCCTATCTCAGAACAATGCTGTAAGAAATATGACTCAGCCCAGAGTCAGCTTCCGTGACTCAGCAGGGATCCAAACCTGCACCTCCCATTCCATTCACTTCCCCGCACTTCCCCTTGCATGTCTGTTCAAACATTTAACAAATACATACAGAACTTAAGGCCTATGAAAGTGAGCAGCTCCTGACAGTTAAATGTTTGTGCCAGGGTGCATATTTATCTTAAGCAACTATAGAGAGTTTTTCTCTACTGGCATAATATATGTTGCTCCCTTACACCCCATTATGCCCAATATTAACAGCCTCAGATATACAGATGACACAACATTGATTGCAGAAAGTGAGGAGGAATTAAAGAACCTCTTAATGAGGGTGTGAACGAGGAGAAAGCAAAATATGGTCTGAAGCTCAACATCAAAAAAACGAAGATCATGGCCACTGGGCCCATCACCTCCTGGCAAAGAGAAGGGGAAGAAATGGAGGCAGTGAGAGATTTTACTTTCTTGGGCTCCATGATCACTGCAGATGGTGACAGCAGCCACAAAATTAAAAGACGCCTGCTTCTTGGGGAAAAAGCAATGACAAACCTGGACAGCATCTTAAAAAGCAGAAACATCACCTTGCCGACAAAGGTCCGTATAGTAAAAGCTATGGTTTTCCCAGTAGTGATGTATGGAAGTGAAAGCTGGACCATAAAGAAGGCTGATCGCTGAAGAATTGATGCTTTTGAATTATGGTGCTGGAGGAGACTCTTGAGAGTCCCATGGACTGCAAGAAGATCAAACCTATCCATTCTTAAGGAAATCAGCCCTGAGTGCTCACTGGAAGGACAGATCCTGAAGCTGAGGCTCCAATACTTTGGCCACCTCATAAGAAGAGAAGACTCCCTGGAAAAGATGGAGGGCACAAGGAGAAGGGGACGACAGAGGATGAGATGGTTGGACAGTGTTCTTGAAGCTACCAGCATGAGTTTGAACAAACTGCGGGAGGCAGTGGAAGACAGGAGTGCCTGGCGTGCTCTGGTCCATGGGGTCACGAAGAGTCGGACACGACTAAATGACTAAATAACAACAACAACAATTAATGCTGAACCTACAAAACAAAAAATATTGCCTTAAAGGAGGATAATTACTTAGCTATTTTCTTTTTCAAAAGGTGTGCGTCGTGGAATCTAACTGTATATAAAGCAAATCTGAAACTACATTGTGGGAAAGGCATTCAAAACACACTATGTGGTGTTTTTGCAGATGTTATCCAGGGATGAGTGTTGATCTGACGTCAGAACACTGCTCTCTATAAATATTATGTACCCGACAGTAAATGTCATAAAATTATAGACACCCAGGCTCACCAAATATCTACTGTTCTTGTATCATATATGGCGCATTCTCTTTTGTATTTAACCTCCAGAGATGAATTTTGTATTACAGTGTTCAAATTTGGACTACCAACTTGGCGCTTGTGGATGTAATGGCACCCTTAATGTCTCCCCCTGGTAGTGGCGAAGCTTCAATCTCTGGCGGGGAGGCGGAGAGCAGGTGGGGGCGTGGTGTGTGTCCTGGGGGAGTGGTGTGCCACCTGCAGGGCATGGTGCCCAGCGGGGGGTGTAGCCGCGATGGCACCCCACTGGGATCATGCCGCCGGCACAGTGCACTCCACCCGCACCCCTGTTCCTCTGCCAGTGCCCCCTGGCACCACAAAACCTCTCAACTCTCCTTCTCATTGCCCCTTTGGTCATGAGATGGTGAGGCAGGTTACTTTTTTCTCCCTTGATTCTCTTGTCCACTTCCTCTTTAATTTTTTTTTGTCTTTTCAAGGCTCAGATTATCTTTAATGGATCTGACTTTCACCTAAGATTGCTTCAAAAAGTGAAGTATGTTTTGTGCTTTCTCTGGGGGCTCATCCAAGGTAGGGAAGAGAGCAGTGCCCATAGATGGTGGAGTGCCCATGGCACTCTCTCAAAAACCCAAAAGTTCCCATTGGTATAATTAAAGTTGGCAGCTGCTGGTTTTGAATTTGTTTGATACCAGCCATCAGATAGATTGATGTCAGGGCTAGTTTAAGAGACTACCCCCCCCACCCCCCCAACAGGAAAGCTGCCCCACACATTTTTTTTGTATAATGTTTAACACTTTAAACCTTCTTGCCGTGTGTGTTGTGCTGAACACATACAGCATTTCTGTGTCAACAGTGCATATCTTTAGAAACAGTATGGGGATGCTGCATACATTTGCACTGCTACATGGGGTAAGAAACTTTCGCGTAAGGATTTTTCGGCAGCCATCACCTGGGAACTGTAATATTTAAATTAGACATCATGTTGAACAAAGGCAGCGAACAAGCAACTATTATAACAATCCCTTAACTGGGATGTAGCAGCGTGATGTTTCTTTGTGTATTCTTAATTCTAGTCTGTCTTTCTAGCCTTGCATAGGAAAAGGCAAGTTACATATATTTAGGGTTATTTACTGTCATTTTATTATTTTTAAAATCTGAACCTGACTATTTTTATTTATTTAATTTATATTTTGTCCTTCATCCAAAGATCACAGGACAGTTTGCAGTATAAAAAACACAAAATACATAACAGCAGCAGCAAAACACAGCACCCGTCATAAACATTTAAGGCTACAGATTGTTTAATCAGCCCAAGGCTTGGGTCAACTTCAGCCAATCATTGTAGACAGTACTGAGTGAAATGGACCAATGGTCTGACTTGGTATAAAGCAGCTTCCTAGCCTATCTTCCAGGTATGAAAGAATGGCTGTGACATATTTTACTTATACAGCAGGCTTCTGCTTTTAATTTGTAAGATGGCTGTAAGGTGGAATGATATCCTTATTCAGTGAAATCATAAAGCACTACTTAAATTTTTAATTGTGCTTTTTTTAAAGACTGCCCGTTAATAAAATCACACAGTACAGTGGTGCCCCGCAAGACGAATGCCTCGCAAGACGGAAAAACCGCTAGACGAAAGGGTTTTCCGTTTTGAAGTTGCTTCGCAGGACGAATTCCCCTATGGGCTTGCTTCGCAAGACGAAAATACCTTGCGAGTCTAGAGTTTATTTCCGCTTTCCCCCTTTATCTAATCTGCTAAGCCTTTAATAGCCTTTAATAGCCTTTTAGCAGCTAATCCCCTAAGCCTTTAAGCCTTTAATAGCCGCTAAACAGCTGATAGCGCTAATAGCGCTAATCCGTCAATGGGCTTGCTTCGCAAGACGAAAAAACCGCTAGACGAAGACTCTTGCGGAACGGATTAATTTCGTCTTGCGAGGCACCACTGTAATTCTTTTTCTTATTAATTGCACATTCATTTAGAGTTGAAACCCCCCTTTAAAAAGATTGTTCAAAAACATTTGTATTGCCAAAAGTGAGAGGGCAATGTAGTCGTTTTCTTGCTATGTTTTCTTTAAAACAAATTATGTGCGGGTTCTGTTGTCTATTGGCAACCAATATGTCTATATTTGCATCTCTCTCACTGCAGAACATGGCATGGTATGTTTTGCTTTTTAATAGAATAGCAGATTTTTTAATGGCTCTTTGGTAAGAACATATAGGAGTTTCCCATTACAGTGGTGCCTCGCAAGACGAAAAGAATCCGTTCTGTGAGTCTCTTCGTCTAGCGGTTTTTTCGTCTTGTGAAGCAAGCCCATTGACGGATTAGCGGATTAGCGCTATGAGCACTATTAGCGGCTTTTAGCGGCTTATCGGCTTAGCGGATAAGCGGCTTAGCGGCTTAGAAAAAGGGGGGGGAAGGAAAAAAAACCTGCAGGAACTCGCAAGACATTTTCGTCTTGCGAAGCAAGCCCATAGGAGATTCGTTTTGCGAAGCACCTCCAAAACGGAAAACTCTTTCGTCTAGCGAGTTTTCCGTCTTGCGAGGCATTCGTCTTGCGGGGCACCACTGTATATATATTAACAATTTCTGGAAAAACTGGGCAAGACTCTGCTAGAGCCTATAGATTGAATCCAATTAAGTTTTCCCCAGAGCAGATCCATTGAAGTTAATGGTCCTAAGTTAATCATAGAGTTGGAAGAGACCCTGAGGATCATGAAGTCCAGGGGTCAGCAACCTTTTCCAGCTGTGGGCCGGTCCACCGTCCCTCAGGCCGTGTGGTGGGACGGACTATATATTTTTTTGGGGGGGGGAATGAACAAATTCCTATGCCCCACAAATAACCCAGAGATGCATTTTAAATAAAAGCACACATTCTACTCATGTGAAAACACCAGGCAGGCCCCACAAATAACCAGACCTAACCAGAACATGGAGCATCATCAAGGGGGCTGGGTACTGAATGTCTGAATAAAACTGCTGCCAGAGACAGGATACATATCCAGGTGATGTTGAGGATCCAGGAGGGCAGCAGTACTACACAATTGTTGTTGTCATTGTTTAGTCGATTAGTTGTGTCCGACTCTTCGGACCAGAGCACACCAGGCACTCCTGTCTTCCACTGCCTCCCGCAGTTTCATCAAATTCATGTTGGTCGCTTCTATAACACTGTACAACCATCTCGTGCTCTGTCATCCCCTCCTCCTTGTGCCCTCCATCTTACCCAACATCAGATTTTTTTCCAGAGAGTCTTCTCTTCTCATGAGGTGGCCAAAGTATTGGAGCCTCAGCTTCAGGATCTGTCCTTCCAGTGAGCACTCAGGGCTGATTTCCTTCAGAATGGATAGGTTTGATCTTCTTGCAGTCCATGGGACTCTCAAGAGTCTCCTCCAGCACCACAATTCAAAAGCATCAATTCTCCAGGCGACAAGCCTTCTTTGTGGTCCAGCTCTCACTTCCATACATCACAACTGGGAAAATCAGTAAGGGGGTCCTAGACAATACAGCTCTTAAATTAAGAAGCTGCCAAAGATATGCCTTTTCCTGTGGATCCCAACTTCTACAAAGTGGTATTTGCTTTACCAAATGCAACTTCTGCCTAATGGATGAAGGCATCAAAGATACTTTTCTTTCCATACATATATTTATCCATTCTGAAGGAAATCACTGTGAAACTGGTAGTACATGGGTTGGAAGAAACATCAAACACATGACCAGGTTTCATCATGCTTATAACACTAACTCCAAAATTCCATATATAAACTGGTTCAGTATAAACATTGATCAGAAAGGTAGGGAGATAGGAATTCTGTAAGGAAGACTCCTCTACTCATCATACATTAGCACTCTTTGGCATATCGCTGCTCTGAAAAGTCAGAACTGCTCAAAAATTATCCCAGGAATGTTCACCAGTCCACACACTGTCATATTCTAGTAACAACATTGACCATGAAAAGGTTTTGGGAATCAACTGATTAGAAGCCAAATTTTCCCTGTCAATCTTTTTGGTGCTAGACACTGTTCAATTTCACACTTTGATCAAAAGCCAGACTGGGAGAAATCCAGAAAGTTAATAAATGCTAAATGAACCCAAATCTGATCAGTGAATGTCTACTTTTAAACTACTCCCCAAAGAGCAGGTGGAAAATAGAACTCGAGATATGAATTTCCAAACAAACCACTTGAACTATCAAAAGGCTATTACAAAAGAATGACATTGATGAACTGGTGGCTCTGCAAATATTGTTGGATTCTAACTTCCATCAGCTGCAGCCAGCATGTCAATAGTCAGGCACGATGGTTTTGGTCCATCAACATCTGGAGAACTACAGATTCCCCCACCCAGGCACAGAATGTATTTTCACAATTCTCATAGAATTTTATAAGATAAAAAGCAGTGCTAAAATTATCTGATACACTGTTGTACAGAAAACGCATAACTGATTGTTTTTATACTTACTCTTGTGTTATTCCTTTCAGCTTTCAGTTCAGAAATTTCTTCTTCTTTTTCCAGTAGTTGTTCCCTGCATGCATTTAGCTCTTTTGTAAGTGCAGCAAATTCCTGCAAAGATGGAGACAATATGCAAGAGGAAAACATTTAGCATGAAAATATTGTACTGATTTAATCTCCAATTTCAGAAAATCTAACAGAACTAAAGCTTGAGCGCTGGAAAATTTCTGAGAACTTTTGAAAACAATAGGAATGAAATGCCTCTCTCAGATTAATATGAAGGGCCTATGCCCTGCTTTGAAAAGTACCAAAGGTCTAGAGTTATATTCCACTGAACAGTAAAATATGCTGTCAGGTGTCAGTATAAGGTTCGCATAATGTATTTTAAAATTCTTGTAACAGAAGCCACCAGTACAGTCATACCTTGTGTTACGCTTGCTTCACATTGCGGCTTTTCAGGTTACGAACGCAGCAAACCCGAAAGTGTTTACTTCCGGGTTCCCTGTGCGCATGCGCACAGATGCAATCTGCGTGCTTCGCGTATGCGCAGTAGCAGCACTCTACTTACGGACTTTTCGGGGTGCGAACGGCACCCTAAAACAGGTCATGTTCGTAAGTAGAGGTACCACTGTATTACATTTTAGGGCAAAACTGTCTGTTTCCTTAGCACTCATATGTCCCCAAACCTATGTTTTCTGAGGTAACATAAATGTGTGGCTGAGTCCAGGGCAATTGTATGGGTTAACTGACATGCCTTTCCATCATCTGCCCACTATTCTGCAAATGCCCCCACCCCCTCATTCTGGCTTAGTTCTGATCTTGGAGATCAGGTGAATAAACACTGGATCAAAACTGATCAAGAGGAAGCAATTTGCCACAGAGAATTGTTGGCAGGAGAGGAGAGCTGAACACTTTCCTTGCAACTATATCCTTCCATCTTTTAATTAGCATTATAAGGTAAATCTTTGATGAAAGTGTTTTCTGTTCAACACAGTGACATTATATATACCCGTGGCATAGTAAAACACACATAGTATTATTGATCAGTCCCATGCAAGTTCACCTCCTATGCCTTTCAAAGCCAGTTAGGCTACTATTGGTATTGACTGCTACAAACCACTCACCTGGCAGGATGGAACTTGTGGGATATGCTTAATATTTTAGATCCACCAGCCAGAGCCCAGTACAAAATGGTAGTCGGGTGGGAAGACATATGCTAAGAATTAAAAAACATGGTGCCTCTGAACTCATACCCAGCCTAGGAATTTGTGATCATTATCTGAATGAAGCTTACAATTCCTTTCACACAAGAATCCACTACTGGTTTTCCTGCCAAACTTCTTTTTCAGCAACCTATGTAACTTAGGAATGGGGAGGATTTTTAGTTGTTGTTATTAGGCGGCAGTTGTTATTGACAATCTATTGCAGGCAACGGCAACCTTCAGCCCTCCAGATATTTTGGACTACAATTCCCATCATCCCTGACAACTGGTCCTGTTAGCTAGGGATCATGGGAGTTGTAGTCCAAAATATCTGGAGAGCCGAAGGTTGCCTATGCCTGATAATACCCTCAATGTCTCAAAGAATGCACACAATAATCTGAAGCATATATGTCACTTCGTAAAATGGTTTTCCAATCCATTATGTTATTGTATTCTAAAGACTCTTCTGAAATAATTATACCTTAATAATATAATTCACTTAGTTTAATTAAACCACGGTGAAGCAGATCAATACAGTACAGAGAGAATATTAAAAGCTTAAGCAGGAGTGGATTCTGCAGGAGAGTGTGTCTGAGGTTTTTATAAGGTTAGGCAGTAAATTACAGATTTGATGATTTATAGTTTTTGCAGAGGTTAATCATTCATCACTCTGATGCAGTAACTGTTTAAACTAAAATATCTGGATTTCAGCCAGCTTCATCTCATCGAGGAACTAAAATTGGTGTTTTGACTTAGCTGCTTTTAGTTGATGACTTGTTCATTCATTATTAGAAAGGAACACAAAACCGCTTACCATTTTGGCAGCGGCGGCAGTTGCAGCCTGGCATGGCTATGGGCAAACTGGGAGGGGAGATTCTTTCCCATGGGGCCAGCTGGTGTTGTCATCAGCCTCAGCTGACCATGGGTAAATGGACAGCCTTGCTATGGAGTTACTTGGTCGCTGTATTTGGGGCCAGGGAAGAATTGGGCCTATCTGGCAACTGTCACAACTTGCTGACAGAAAAAGGCATTGAGTTACATCCTTAGCCTAAACAGAGGAAAGGAGTCCTACACACTACTTCTTGATCAAATATCAGGGTACCCCGGTAAAGAGGTCCAGGGGGAAGGATTCTGTCTGAATGCCCGGATGGGGGCAGTGGCAGAGCTAGCCTCTTGGGCACCTGGAGTGGACATGATGTCTAATTACTTTTCTAAGCTAACATCTGTAGTGACATCACACACATATATCCATCTGAAAGCAAAGGCTTGCCTTCAAAACTATTGTTTCAATTGTATGCAAATCTATATGGATTTAATCAATTACTGTACTTAATCAATTAAAACTAACTTGATTTTATTGGAACAAAAGCCCAAATTAATACATGCATTGCTTGCATGTATTATTTAGACATCTCAGTATTGCTGACACCTGATCCCTCACCCCCACAAACCAGTAAATTTATTTTGGTGTTAGGGGTAAAAAGTATCAGCTTAAATTTTCTGTTTACCTGCACCTAGGCAGGTGGCACTGTGGGTTAAACCAGAGAGCCTAGGGCTTGCCGGTCAGAAGGTTGGTGGTTCGAATCCCTGCAATGGGGTAAGCTCCCGTTGCTCGGTCCCGGCTCCTGCCAACCTAGCAGTTTGAAAGCACGTCAAAGTGCAAGTAGATAAATAGGTATCGCGGCGAGAAGGTAAGTGGGGTTTCCATACGCTTCTCTGGTTCGCCAGAAGCGGCTTAGTCATGCTGGCCACATGACCCGGAAGCTGTACACCGGCTCCCTCGGCCAGTAAAGCGAGATGAGCACCACGACCCCAGAGTCATCCGTGACTGGACCTAATGGTCAGGGGTCCCTTTACCCTTTACCTAGGCTGCACCTAGCTATTCAAAGCTTTGGCTTCTCTGTCCTGAAAGGAAACAGACAAAGATCTTCCGCTGGGGATATAATAGCAGACCTCCCCCCGCCCCCCGAGATTGCCTCACAGGAAAATTAAGCTTTTCTTTCTGCTTTAAAAATGAGATTATTTCCGTCATGCTTGGCTCTTGAGGGATGAGTTAATAATGGGGTAAGACAGCAGTTTTGAATTCATGCTTGACAAAAGCACAGGTAAATGCCATTTGTTGACACAAAAGTTATTTTAAAGTTGGATGTGTAGCTTGGCTCTTAGGCACCGTCGGATAGCTGAGTCTCTAAGAATACGTTGCCCCACGTTAAAGCACAGGAATGCATGCTTTTGTTCTATGCAGTTACATAACAGCTTGTGATGATAATGACCTCTGCTCTGCATTTGCTTCATAGATGCACAGAAACCAAAGGGATACTGTCATCTAGAATTATTGTTTGCAGCAGAAATGTTGCATGGTCAGTCATAGTTTGGGAGGCCTCAAGGTAGAAACTGCTGCATAACTAATACAGTTTGACAGATCAAACTGCACTCTTAAAGTTTACAAGGCAACTGTGGGGTTACCACACCAATTAAAAAGTGAAGCAGGAAAATTACTCAGCAGATAATCCCACTTTTTAATCCTGAAATTTGAAGGACTAAACATGTTGCACCACATGATGTATAATTTTTTTATAACACACTTTTGGAAAGGGGGCTTCAATAATTAAAGAAAAACAAAAAATAGAATTGCCAGAAGATTATGGGGAAAGAATAACTAGCTTTCTGATGCTACATGGTATTCCATGAACATGAACATTTATCAGGATAGTGTTCAGAAACAAGTCACAAATATCTATGGCTCTTGACACATAAGTCTGAAAAAACACATGCTTCTGAAGAGAGATACCAGCTGCTGTGCCCACTTCTGACCTCCATGTCCTCATCTGCTCTCTGTACACAGAATTTATGGGTTGGATCCAGATTTAGGCCACATTCACCCCATACATTTAAAGCACTATGAGACCACTGTCATGTTTGGTGCTGAGAGTTTGCTGAGATGCCACTATTCCCTTCCCAGAGCTTTCTGTGAAGAGGGCTTGATTGTTAAAACTATGCTGCGAATTATAGCTCTGTGACGGGAATAGAAGTCTCCCTACAACTCTAAGCACCCTTGACAAACAGCTCCTAGGATCCTTTGGGGGGCAAGTCATGACTGTTTATAGATGTATCATAGTCAGGGCCGGATTTAGGTTTGATGAGGCCCTAAGCTACTGAAGGTAATGGGGCCCTTTATATGTCCAGCTGTCCTTTGTCAACAACAAATTGTTGCTGTTTTTTGTGTGGAATATATGCTATATGGTAATTTTTGGACCTACAGTAATAGGTATCTAAAGCCATTTGCACATAACAAACTATGTATTTTATAAAAGTAATTGATAGAGAAATGAGCAAACCAGTGATATTTTAGGGAGCAGGCTAGCAGGTGGGGCCCCATAGGAGACTACACAACACAAAACACTGTTGCTGTATGTAGGTTTTATCTTATATTTTGGAAATGTAGATCCAGTTTTTTCCCCTTTAATTTTTTGGGGGCCCCCAAGAGAGTGGGGCCCTAAGCTATAGCTTGTTTAGCTTATATGTAAATCTGACACTGATCATAGTGCTTTAAATACATGCTGTAAATGCAGCCTTAGTCATGCTTAGGAACAGACCCCGTGAAATCAATTTCAGTGATTAATTTATCATTGATTTCAAGGGGGGTATAAGTTGCACACATGATCTGTGACACAGCAAAAAGTAGGAATCCAGGTAACACGGAAAAGTTCTACCCAGGGAATGCTCAGAGCACACAGTGCAGATGAAGACTAGGAGATGGGAGGTAAGGACAGTGAAAGTGGTCGCAGGCATCTTCTACATATTCTCATTGTAAATGGTTTCCGACAAGGTGAAAAGGTGCTGACAGTGATCCTCACTCTTCTTTCCCAGCTTCCTCTGAACAAGAGAAACATTTACCGCGTGCACAAATTCTTTTGCCAAATAAACATTCATATTTCATGTGCAGTAAAAGAAGGCGGTCTTTTTGAGGAGAAAGGGAAAGAAAAAGCAACCTGGCACAGAAATATTGTTGCTTTGTGTTCAGCTCGGTTAGGTCTCTCTGCGATTATCTTTTTTGATCCACAGACTTAGAATTGTTTTAGATAAATCCCGCCCGAGAACAGAGATTTGAGTTCCAAACATTTGCCTTCAAAATAATTAAGCTACTGGTTTCATTGACCCATCAAGCTGAGGTGTGGACAGCTGTGAACTTGAGGAGAGAGAAACTCAGTATGACAATCGTATGGCACCCTTAATGGGAACAGATCTGTTAATTAAGCCTGTGATGAGGCTGACACCTCAAGAGAAGGTGTCCCTACAATGTCATCAGTGATCACGTCTGCCATATTGAGACATAATCATCTGCTGGAGTGAACAGCTTTCTCTAGAAAGGAGATGGGAGTCTGATAACAGGAGCAATCATGAGTTTTTATGCAATAATTTTTGGTTTAAAAATGCAGTGGCATGGTTCATATGACACAGAAAGCCCTACTATGGTTTACTGGAACTGCACAAACATATGGGCTTCCAAGGAGGAGCTTGAATCTGGTTTGCTCCTTTCTGGTCCTTTCTGCTCCCAAGCCATGCTTACCTAAGCCAATGGCTGTTGAACATGCCATCCAAATCCTGTCTTGTGGGTTTGTCTAGAATTTCCCCATCAGCCTGAATAAACTTTAGAAACAATGCACGATCATATTTCTCACTTGGCTTGACTAATATTTCAGCCATGCACACAGTCCTTCCTTTTGTGCCTTAGGATGTTCCACATTTATTTAACACAAATCTATTTTTCTGTATTTCATTGTCATGTCACGTTCCATACAACCCAGATGTTGCACATTATGAAAGCCTTTTCAATTAATATGCAACATCTAGTGCAACATGCCTTCTACTTTGCACTGTCAGAGTGGTAGAAAATTAACATTTGTTCTGCCAACATAATGTCCAAATGCCAGTACTATAAGCTGACCTATTTTATATAGAATGCTTACACAATGGCAAGCAATTTTAACATACAACTTAGGATACTGCACTTCAATGGGAATTTTGTAAACAGAAGGAGAAAGTCTAATTTTAGTAGACGTGCTTTACTGTTGTTATTGTTCATCTTGAAAAGGACATTTGGCAAGGCAATTGTTTCAAAATGCATACAGATGTATGTATTAAAATGTGTTCTGTCTGAAAACACAATTTCGTTTTACAAACAACAAACACATGGGTCTCATTCAAGATTTTCCCAGCTGACATGGGGGAAGAGGAAGTGATTGTGGCTACACAATGGCTCAAATCCAGAGAACAAGAGACTCAGCAGGAAACTGCATGCCTGCTGCTTTGATCATAGATCACCTTCACCCAAACCTAGCTGATGATCAGCACTGCCAACCCCAATAATCTCTTAAAGATAGGGGGAAAAGAGGATCTCAAATTCCCACATATCCTGGAAACTGACATGATTGGGAAAGAGACCATGCACCATTCTTCCATGTTGCCAGTAGGTAAATGGGAACAAATACTGTCACAAGGACCTGCCTACAAATTCTCATGATACGAATTTTGGTATCCTCTCTCTGCCGGTCAATATCAGTTTCATCACTGACCCAAGAGGTGTTTCACAACTCATTTAAAATCATCATCATAGAAAAACCTATGGATACACCCATCCTCCTATATACATAAACATGCAAGGCTATCTTCCTGTGTCCACCACTGAAGGATCTGTTGTGCCGAATCACAATCCAGGATTTGTATGAGGTCAGGGTGGGGCAGGGGAGCAAAAGAGAAGGCAGGCTGCACAGCACCAGCAGCCGTCAAAAGAGAGTGAGAAGGGAGGGACCCTGACAGGGGAAGAGTTGTGGTTTAAAACAACAGCAGAAGTTTGAGTAAAGCAGGGGTGGAGGTAACTGAGAGGGAAACGGTGGTTTTTAACAACGGCAGAGCTTTGAGTAAAGCATATGGAGGGGCACAGAGGGAAACTGTGGCATTAAACAACAGCAGAGGTGAAAAGGGGGCTGAGGAGTTGCAACGTGTGGGAGGAAAAAGGCACAGCAAGTCACTAGAGGGGCTGGTGTGCGTGTAAAGGGGCTGCACAAAAGGAGAGGGGAGCAAGCACGGACATGAGGGCATGAGGGTGAAGGTGAAAGCAAAGGTGCAAAGCAGAATTGCAGAAGAGACGACCAAAACAGCATCAAAAACAGGGCCGTGAAGGGGAATAATGAGCTTAGTAGCTGCATGGGATGGGAAGGGAATATCTGCTCACCTGGGACTCCGGGTGGGTGGCCGTTACAGCATGGCATGGCAGTGGTGGGTTCAGGGAGGCTGCTATCTTCCAGGCGCGGCCCACCTCTGGCCAAGTCAGACACTCAAGAAAGGGTGGGCAGTGCCCGCTGCAATCTCAGCCCAGCCTATTTAAGGGGTCGTCCAGGTGTCAGCTGCCCTCTTGGCTGATCGTCATGGGATTTTTCCATCCACCCAGTCTTTAGGGGCCCACTGGGGTAGGGAGGGCGGAAGTGGGCACATTGCCTATGGACCTTGCTGTGGTTAATTCGGTCGCCATATTCAGGGCTCCCTTTCTCCTGTAAGCAAATGGGCTGGGCTTGTAGGTTTTCACCTACCTCGTAGCAACCATCACAACTTGGGAGGATAAGGCATTGGGCTGCATCCTTAGTCACCCTGTTAGAGGGGTCCAGGAGGGATGTCTCTGTCCAGGAGTCTGCTGGGGGGACCAATGGGCCCATACACCTCTCCCAACAGTGGCCTGTGCGGGGCTGTGGCATCCAATCCATGCTGGAGGCTACTCCGCAGCAAAGGTTTGACCCCACTAGGTTCCCATCAGGTAGCAGGTGGGATACATGCCCAATGCCTTAGCCAAACCTCCTCTTTCCTGTAATCAATAAAGTTGTGGCCTAATTCAACCCAATACCAGTCTCCTGTGTCATTCTTGTGGCCTTCCCTTCACCTGCCATGGCTGTTATGCATCTGTGCCTGCAAAACTCCAGGCAGTTAGTAAGGGGGAAATGGCAGAGGGGTTGGTGAGCAGGAGCAGGGGCAGGGGCAGGGGCATAGCCCCTAGTACCAGTGCTTCTTTGTGGGGGTACTCAAGGGTAGAAGAAAAGCATTGGTTAAAAGCGTGACACTTACTGCAACAACTTTATCATGAGCATTGGCACCTTATTTCTAAAAGAAAAGCACTGCCTAGTAGAAATAAAAGTCTAAAATCACTCTATCCAGTGGTACCTCGGGTTAAGTACTTAATTCGTTCCAAAGGTCCGTACTTAACCTGAAGCTGTTCTTAACCTGAAGCACCACTTTAGCTAATGGGGCCTCCTGCTGCTGCCGCGCTGCTGGAGCCCAATTTCTGTTCTTATCCTGAAGCAAAGTTCTTAACCTGAAGCACTATTTCTGGCTTAGCGGAGTGTGTAACCTGAAGCGTATGTAACCCGAGGTACCACTGTATATGGTGCATGCCAATAAGAGAGCTGGCTATTCAGTTTATTCAGTTTGCCATATTGTTTCCTTTCTATGTTAGTTTACAAACTTAAATAGATTTTCAGTCATCTACAGGACTTTCACTTGCTTGTGCTCACTTAGCAATGAGCAAGACATTTGATTAAAAATGCCCAGTTCTCTTACTTTTTGGTAACTTACACGATATAGGCTTTACTGGTCTTTATGAAACATGTTTTTTTTTAAAAAAAAACCCAAAACCAAACCAATGGTACATGCCTCATTTATTTTATTCCGTTATCTTTGAGAGTCATGTACTATTTAGAGTGATGGCCTATGAATGACTTGACAGCAGTACGTGTTACTTTTTCTGAAATAGTGACATGACTCATCCCTCCCCCTCGACTGTCCTTTGATTTCTCAAATACCTTTACCACCTGGACCAAATTATGTAAACTCTTTTAGGATAGGACAGAGCCCTGAGTCACCCTAACATGACTTGAGAATCACACTGAGTCTGACCAAAACTATTTCCTCAGATGTAAAAATAAACACGTTCCCCAGCTGCGTTACTCATACCTTGTTCTGTATGGACATTTGGACACACTTGAAACAATGAATTGCGTAAATGGGTGCAGTATCTTTAAACTTTGAAGACAGTAAGTGGGGCAAAATGGTGACGACCATTCAAGGCTCAGCATACAACAAAAAATAATCAAGAGATTATTCTGCAGGTAAATGTGAACCTATCACCAGAATTTTCTAATTTCAAAAGCAAATATATCAGCAGAAAAGCAAGTAGTCTTCATCCTTTCAAGGCCCTTTCAAGCTCAGAAAAGTTGTGCCTGCATAACTTCCCTTTTCTACACAGCTATTTAAAGATACAGACATCCTGCTCTGTGTGCATCTGGTCACTCTTTCTCTTTGAAAGCTTCTAAAACAATGAGAAAAGAAAAGTAATAGCACTAATGCAACTTATACTGCACTAGAGTAGGAAGGGTGGGAGAGAACAGCTTCAAAACTTTTTAAGAAGAGGAGCAATGGCACCCTCTGCCCCAGCCCCAGAGTAAACTACAGAACCTGCCTGATCCTGCAGATGAATGAGGTGATAATAAGCAGAGGCAGATTTAGGGGAGCGCAACCAGTTTGGTTCCACTGGGAGCAGAGCTTTGGGGGCACCACAACTATGATGCAGTATGGAAGGCAAGAGGTGGGGGCACCAAATTTTGACATAGCACAGGGCACTTGAGATGCCAAGGTCTGCCACTGTAATGAGTTATTCAAGTTCTACAGTTGTCAGCATAGAGGGGATCGGAAAATAACAAAAACAATCATGTAGAGGCGGGATATTTCTTTCCTTTTCTTTGATGGGGTTCCTACTTCATGCCAGCACTCCCCCCTGAAGTTCAGTGATGCTTACTCCCAGGTAACTACAGTATAAAATACAGTACAGTATTTTAATCATGCTTCATGACTGATCAGGGACAGCAATGTCTAACATGCCAACCTTTGCTAGCTCAAGGTATGACTATGAACTCCTTTGGGGACGTGGTTATGACAAGTATCATGACAAGATCCTACTCTACAAAATTTACCAGCACACCATTTGTTGCCACTCATCTTAGGTGGAGGTGTGTCACCCACTTGTGAGGTGCAATCTATCAGCAGGATCAATGGTCTAAAGAACAGAACTGAAGATATGTTTACCATAGAAAAATTATCTCCTCTTTAGCCACTTGACCAGTCATTAGTAGTTGTTTTCTTAATCAAAATCTGCATAGGACACACTACTTTAAATGTTCTACCCTGGATGGAGTGAATGAGGTCAGACTAGCAATGAAAACATAGAATATGGCTGAATGTTTGCCTCTGGACAGATTCCAATACCAAACAAATTATTCAATGGCAGTATTGTCACTCTGCAGAAGTGAAGGATGGTAGAGGAAAATTATTTAATCATACAGCCCAATAAAACAAAGAGAAGGTCAAAAAACATTTTGCCGATATTGCTGCATTTTCTTTTTTTTTTAAAGCACAACTGTCTCAAGGCCATAGAATGAAACAGTTTTGGCATCCATTTGTATGAATAAATATCTAAAGAGGGGAAAAATGTGTGTACTTAAACACATCTTTCTAGACAGGAAGAACTACCTTCTGAACTAGAACAGTCCACCTTTCAAAAAACAACATTGGCAAGGATGCCAGAGAAGTTATTTTCTAGGATAATAGTAATAATAATAATAATTTATTATTTATACCCCACCCATCTGGACACAAAAGCAAAGCAAAGCTTCTATGGATTATGCCAGTATTTCGACTTCCGAGGGTGTTCAAAAATTGAGGCATTTACTTCTGGGTTTTCGGCATTCGAGTTCTGAAACGTTTGACTACAGAGGCGTTCAAGAGCCAAGGTACCACTGTACTATGAAAGGCTTGTGGTGGAAACCACTCACAGCACTGAGCTTGACCCCTGTTCACTTCTACAAACCCACTCAAGAGTTCCTAAGTTTCCTGTGGGCAAAATATAATGCTGAATTAATAGAACTGTAACTGTTACCCCATGGTGCCAAATTTTTTAAAATGACTACTTGTTTTTAAGGAAAATGCCATAGGGTTACTACATCAAATCATACATTCCTTCTGTATTTTCAAGTTCTCATAATCATTTTAACTAAACTGTCCTTTGAGTTTATATCCTAGCTGTCGCAAGAAATGAGATTTTAAACTGTGACAGCTGAGCTTTGATCAAAATAAGACCTTTATAATGAAAACGTTGGCTAGTAAAGGCTCCACTACTATTAAAAACTGGGCAAGTAGGGCAGCTCCATTAGCTTATACTTAGCATGTAATGGATATCTACTAAAAATACAGCCAAGCTGTTGTGTTAATGTTGTCTCCCACTAAATTGATTTTTAGAAGAGAAAAAAATCTGCCAATATGCGACATAAATCAGAACCAATTCAGCATGATGTTGTGGGGAACACACATTTTATATCCACACAAGTTCCATGACCACCTTTCCCTGGCAGGCTTGAATCTTGTGGAGTATTTCTGCCGGATGGGGCCACTGGGGACAACTCAAAAAGGAAAGGGACAAACTCGGCTCTGAAATTCAAGCCAGTGTTTGGATCCAGGAAAGCAGTTGTGTGTTGGAGAGGAGATGGGTTGTAGGAATAAACAAGAGAATGAAGAAAAGTATAAGCTGGCTGTAGGAAGCCAGATGACAGAAGCAAAGAGTTTTGCTACACAAATGACCCCCCCCCTTTTAAAAGCAGCTACATATATGAGTAAGAGCTAAAGGGTACTCCTTGATAGAAGAACAAGAACTGTAGGAGGGAAATCAGCACGGCTTCTCCAAAGTCCTGTCCCATTAATGTTTTAGAGTTCTTTGAGAATGACAAGCAGCGTGTAGATAGGGGTCAGACAGTAGAGAATCTGCATTTGGATTTGATGAAGTCCCTCACCAAAGATTCCCAAATAGGCCTAGCAGGTAGGAATTTTTCTTAAGTCCCCTTGTGAATACAGAATAATTCCATGGACACTGCTCATGAAAATAGGATGGCTTTGTACATTTCACATGCTACTTTCAAGCATGACTGCAGAACCTGTGGCCCTCCAGATGACTAGGGCCCATCAGCCCTAGTCAGCATGACCAGTGGATTGCTATGATGGGAGCTGATCTACAGTGGGTAGTTATGATGACCACAGGCTCCCTAGTCCTGGTTTAAATCAATAGCACACAGCGATGTTGGGCCCCATCTGCACTATACATCTAAAGCATTATTATTATTATTAGAATTTCTATGCCACCCTTCATTAGATGATCACAGGCTGGTTCACACTATAAAAGCACAAAAATACATACCGCAATAACAAACAAAACCAATACCCTCCCCCCAAATAGTTTAAAAGGTCGTAGATTGTTTAACTAGCCAAAGGTAAGTGTTTTTGCCTAGTGCCTAAAGATGTCTGACAAATGTGCGAGGCGAGTCTCCTTAGGGAGATCATTCCACAAGTAGGGAAACACCAATTCTTGTTGGTTTAACTGTCAACTCCTCTTCCAAGGGAACTCTGGGAATTGTACCTCTCTGGGGGAAATAGGGGTCTCCCAACAACTCTCAGCCCCCTTAGCAAAATACAGTTTCCATGATGTTTTGGAAGAAGTGATTACTGTTTAAAGTGGCATGGCATTACTTTAAATTTACAGTGAATATGGTGCCTTAGTTATAGTTTCTCTCTTTCTGTCCAATAGATCCAGCTATTCACTTTATTGATGTTTGCCCTAAGTGGTGTACTACAACAAATGAAACTCTGGTATGTAGGTAAACATTTTCAAATGAACACAGCAGACCCAAGAATCAAGCAACAAAGAAGCATATACAAAGAACTTAAAGCAAGGCAGTGAGGCACAGTAAATGTAAAATTCTTTCTTTGCCATCATTGATATCATGTTATAAAAGACTGAGAATGTAAAGGATTTGACATCTTGCACCCACTAGTAAGCCGAAGGTTAAAGGTTAGAAAAACATGGCTTTCACAACTAAGTGCTTTCCTGAATATTAGAATTATCAAATCAGTAATGCTGACAGGAAGTGTCTTTTGCCATGCAATTAATCAGATATAAACATTGCATGTCCAAAGGGAAATTTTATAATTAGACATTACAACTGGGACTTGAAACATGCCCCTTTCCAGGATCATCCATTCTTTCTGCCCTCCACCCCACCATAATTTTCAGTTTCCCTCCATGCCCCAAACAGACACTACTGTAGTTCTGTGCAAGTTCAGTTTTCACTGGGCTGCTTTAGGGAAAATCTTTTGGGGGCTCCCCGCTAGCATTTTGTGTTCTTTTTGTACTACATACATTTGGGTTCTCTGATGCTGCTAATACCTCTCCTCTTGCATGTGGATGGCGCCATGTTGGCTACATAAGAATTGGCACTCAGGAGGATGAATATGCTATTGGTAAATATGGTGTGAAGTAGGGGTGGCTCCCTCTACTCACCCACTCAGATGCTGTTGGACTCCCCAAGTCAGAAAGGCTTGATGGAAGCTGTAGATCAGCAAGGGGGTGGGGTTGGGAATAGGTTAGCCACCCTGATATAAGGTTTAAACATGGTGCAGGTATACAATTTAAAAGACAAGTGCTAATTATTAAGTGCACCTCATAAAATACTGCTTGCAACACATGGCAGTGAAAATTATATCCTGATTGTCAGCCAGTTCATTAGCATGTATTTTGATTGGTACTTAGGCACAAATGCAGACACATTGAGAACTGTTAAAAGGACTTTAAAAATAGACCAAACCCCAACTCCCTATTGATCTGCCTCACAGTTGTGAATTGAAGATTGCAGCCCAATAAATATTAAATGATTATCTTGTTATATTTACAAATTCCAGGGGGAAACGTTCATGGAGGACTCCATCAACAAATATATAGCTAATTTGTATGGTTCCTTTTACAAAATCCATCCAGTGCAATGTGAGCAAGAAAGCCAATATCTGTTTCAGCAGTACCGCACACCTAATGCTTACAACGTTATCGGTCTTGCAGTAGTATAATAGTTGTAGCCAACTAAGTTGTGCTCAGAAAAGATGCACTGATGTTAATGGGCATGACTAACTTAGGTTCATTAATTTCAGTGGGCCTACTCTGAATACAACTTAGACAGCCAGTTCTTGACCAATAAAAAAATGAAGCACCTCAGTCACAAAGCTCAGAGCAGTCTGACAACAAGGAGAAGCTCACACGCCAACCCATTATAATGGGGGGGGGGCGGGTTGCAAGGGGAGAAAGTTGACCAAAATCACCACCAATTTACTTTAAAGGATAAAGAAGAAATATGCATCTTGCTTGCAATGTTCTCTTTGCTTAAAAAATACATTAGAAATTAGGTTGACATCTTGGCTTGACTTCTTTAGCATTGCTTATTGCTGGGTGTAAGTGGGACCGACATAATAGTTATAATTGGACAGTTAATCACAGCAAAGACTTCCAGGGTTGTGGTTTTTTTGTTTTTTTACGATAACACACTGAAGTGACACATTCAGAAATCCAGCAGAGAAAAGAGGAAAGTGGTGTCTGATTTCAACAGATGTTCCTGATCAAGGATGGTGAAGAAATCAAGATTAGTGACATCCTGCAGAAACAAACATAACAGCACCCTGTCTGAATGCTATGATCATTCATGTCATTAGAGGAGTGCTAAAAGCATAGCAGGGAGGAATAAACATTCCAGCCATTAATTAAACACCTAAGCCATCAATCAGTGACAAAATCATTCCCTGGGCAAAGCTTTCAGCCATTTCTAAAGTATAATGAGCAACCTAAACAGCTGGAATAAAACTACAATAGCCTTCCTGCTCTTTGGATGTCAGTGATGAAAGGAACCATCTACAAATGGCCCCATAATGCTACAAGCCTCAGTCTGCAATGCGTAGCATTCATAGAATAGTAGAGTTGGAAGGGACCCTGAGGGTTCTCTAGTCTATCCCTCTGCAATGGGGGAAGTGCAAACGAAGGCATCCATAACAGATGGCCATCCAACCTCTGCTTCAAAACCTCCAGTGAAGGAGAGTCCACAACCTCCTAAGGGAGTCTGTTCCATGTGCAGGTAACGCTCCGCTTTGCGAAGGCAAACCTCGCACCAGACATGCAACAGTATGTCAAGGAGAATTGCGCCTGTTCTCCCTGATCTTTTGCCTTCTTGGCTAGAAAACAGGGTTTTCCCCCTGACCGTTTGTCCTCTCACAAAGTATTTGCTAGACATAACGCTTGGCTGGAGCATGACGGGGGACGCAGACGTAATCAAGTATCGGGGGGAACATTTTAGGGTAAACACCTGCTGACACGTGTATTTGCTAACGCTGGAAATGTTCTTAGATAGAAATACGTTCAGGGTGGTTTCACTGCTTTTTCCAATTGTTGACTTCTGCTAATAAAAGGAGCCTCCACAGAGCTAGCTGGCAGCTTGCTTGGAGCATCCTTGCCAGCGTGCTTCTGCACAGCTCACCTGCATCCAACCTCCCGTCGTCTCCGTTATTCCTACAGTTCCATTGCCAAACAGCTCCTTTATTCTATCCCAACCATCAACACGGATGTCTGTTGCTGCAGCAGATTGTAATGATCATAACTTATCATCTTCCCCGCTGCACAGGCTTCCACAGGCTGCTGCAAAAATAGCAGACAGCAATCATACCAGCCCGATGCATCGAAAATAGCTCTGAGTAGCCTTGAACTATAGAAGGTGGGAAATAACAGGCAAAGAATATTTATGATCTCAAAGGAGGCTGCCATGATTTTGGGGGAAGAAACCCTTACTTCTCTTTTCAGGGTAGCCTATGCAATACCAGAAGTGCAACAGTTAGATGAACAAAGTCCAGATGCAGACACAACTTGTATGTCTCATTGATGGAAAGCTACACAAGCTCCAATACTCGGGAAACATGGGAAGTGAAAAACCACGTTTCTTCTGCCCTGCTTTTCTGTAACATCTGAAACCATCAGCAAGGAAGTCCTATGCCTTTGATGTGCTTCAATAAATAAACACCATAATATGCTCAGGTTTCTTTCCACTGAACTGGGTACCAGAGTCTTAATAACAGAGTCCCCCCCCCCAACACACTACCAATCTCAGCATTTGCAACTAAGTGTTGGGTCATTTGCTATATTTTTACCCTGCCCTTTCTTCCCCAAGAACCTAGAGTGGCATACACATAATCAAAACATTTAATCAAATCAAAGCATTGAAAGCAGCCACATCTGCATCTGTGCATGATCTGATACTCCAGAAACCTGAAGGTCCAAGAGTGTGCCTACAACAGCCTTTATGTGTAAGCTCTGTAAATATAGTGCCATTAAGTGTGGATGGACACCTATAAAACATTTATTATGTTACCTTTCCTTTAGAAAAGGTCAAGGCAGCTGGCCACATTAAAACAAAATAACTAAAAGCAGCAGATAGTCAGCCACATAAACACATGCATAACCAGCTGTTGAGTATCTTCCAGCAGTAAGAACAACCCAATACAGCAGGCATAGGCAAACTCCGGCTCTCCAGATGTTTGGGACTACAATTCCCATCATCCCTGACCACTGTTCCTGTTAGCTAGGGATGATGGGAATTGTAGTCCCAAACATCTGGAGGGCCGGAGTTTGCCTATGCCTGCAATACAGAGTCGCTTAAAAATGATTCATGGCCCAAAAGTGATCCGAAGCAGGAAAGTTTTAAGTCATTTGGCAGAAGGCCATTAAGGGAGTATGAATGCGTGCAGGTTGGGAGGGTCTGTGATCCCAGTGGGGACATTTCTTATTTACTGAGAGTTCATCCTATATATATATATTTGCACAAAGTTTATAATAATAATATTTTTTTATTTATACCCCGCCCTCCCCAGCCAGGGCGGCTAACACCAAATATAAATTACAATAAAATATAATAGGAAAACAAACAAACAAACAAAAACCAGTTAATTAAAATATGGCTTAAAATGCAGCTTCATTTTATTAGTAGCCCATAAATCAAGACCATAAAGGGAGGACATATCAGATATTCACCCGAGCCAACTATCCATACTGATCCCACGTGGGCCAGCAAAAAAAAAAGAAAGAAAAAAAAAGGGGGGGATTTATATACCAAATCCCATATAAGGGGTCAGAGTGAGTCTAAGCCGAAGGCCAGGTGGAACAGCTCCATCTTGCAGGCCTTGTGGAAAGATGTCAAATCCCACAGGGCCCTGGTCTCTTGTGACAGACCAAGTCGGGGCCAGTGCTGAAAAGGCCCTAGCCCTAGGTTGAGACCAATCTAACCACCTTGAGGCTCGGGACCTCCAAAGTGTTGTTATTTATGGACCTTAAAGTCCTCCGCAGGGCATACCACGAGAGGTGGTCCCGAAGGTATGAGGGTCTTTAAAGGTCAAAACCTTACGGGGTTTTGTAGGATGTTTATAGATTTTGATTCTATTTTGCTTGTAAGGAGGTTATGCAGTATCATTTAAAACAACTGTTCTCCCATGCTTCCCAGTGCATTTTCCTGTCAGCTTCAGCAAAACATCCGACTTTTCAAAAAGTGGGATTATTGCACAAGAGCATCAAATCCACTTTAAATGCAGAACCTGAGTGTTCTGCTTTGTGGTTGAAGTTCCTGTTTACCCAGGCCTTTTCAGTCAAAGTGGGAAATGTTTGTCTTGAACAGCAATTTGTACTTCTTTGTTTTTAAAGACTGCTGCTTTATGAATATTTTAGTTTTGTATTTGCTTTATTCACTGGTGTAATTCTGTTGTTTCTCCTTTGCTATACATCCCCTTGGGCTCTGATGGGTGACTCATAAATACAGTTAACTATGATGAAGAAGAAGTCTTATTTAAATTATAGCATAATTCTGTACACATTTATTTGGAAGGAAATCCCACTGAATTCAATGGAACTTACTCTCAGGTAAGTGTAAGCAGCTTTAAGAGAGAACACCAATTGTGCAATGTGTTAGCCTTTTCAATAAACTTACATTTTTCTGTTAATCGGGCTCTAAGATTTAGTCAAATCTTCTGAAAGTTAAATTAGGCAATGTCTTCCTTGAATCACAGGGCAAATCCTATAATTGCTAAAATATGAATACATCTATTTAGAAAAGACCCTCCCCTTCTGACTAAGCTGATCTATGTACAAAGCTACAATTTATATCTTGCCCCAGGGAGTCTACTGAATTCGTTCTGCTTATTTTCCATAAGTTATTTTAAGATATAAGCAACATTATTCCAGCACCATCAAACAATGCTTCTAAAACTGCACCGCATAATTTATCTTGCTGGCCTTTGACATGCTATCATTGTTTATTTTGGAATGTGAATATTAGGTCCACACACACCTTGTATATAATTTAGAACAGTTGGATGATTCAACATAGCCAATATAATATTCCTCCCCAGCCCTAACAAGCATATAAAAAAGAAAAAAGAAAAAACCAAAGAGGAAGTTAGGATTATTCAAACTGGATCTTTTCATTCTCACCCGCTCTGTACACTGGAGTTACTATGTAGCAAACCCATTCACAACATCCAATACAACTTATTTCAGCAAAATAAATATGAAAAGCTCTACTTTAGGCATTATCACCGAAACTGCTTGGACTGGGGTGGCAAGGGAAGAGTAATCAACTCTGAGATACTTCTCTGCTCTTCCTCCTTGCCTATGACGGCTTTTCTTGCAAAGAAAGAAAGAAAGAAAGAAAGAAAGAAAGAAAGAAAGAAAGAAATTAAAAAGGGAGGGGGCCTGGAAATTGCTGTGTGTCTTTCTGCATGTAATAGTAGTTTGGCTGTAACATGTTCTGGGTGCAATGACTGTTCTTTAGGGCTCATCACTTAAAATCCTATCCCTGTGTTGCATGAGCTGCCTCTTAAGCTTTAAGGCTCAGGTGTCTCCGTAAACAGCTCCTTCTATTTTGCTTCCCTCTTTCTGTCACCTTTTTGTCAAGTCAGGCTGCATTTTGCTAGCTTTTGTGGCACACTTCCAAAAACTGCACTGCCAACTGTGTTACTGTAGAGCCAGAGGCACCATTGGAAGGGGGTGGGGGAGAGGCTGTGGCCTAATTCTCACTGAGCCTTCTCATGCCGTGTCTGCCTGCTCCTCCAAAATGTCTTACTCCTGATGTCTAGAGCCCATGCAGTGCTTGTTGCCATCATTAACACAGCCGCTTTTGTATGGAGCAGCATTCATTCAGGTGACACTGCCCACCCCCCTGCTTGCATGCTGTCTGAAGGAGTGCAACCCAGATCCAGACCTGGCACCTTAACGAGAACTAGGACTGCATTTCCAAGCATGCGTGATTATTCCTAGAGGAGCCCTTAGACCTCCGTATATGATGAGGTATAAAAAACAGCCAGGCCGAATGCTCTCAAAATGAGCTGCTGCTCTGCAATTTAATCTTGAATATACCCAAGAGCAGGCCCTTGAGCCTTGCCCTCTGCAATCGTTGATATGTCTTTGCTCTGAAACCATAAAAAAGAAGCCAGGACTGCTGAGTCTGCTGACTGCCGCAATGAAGACCTTGCAAACTCCACAGAGAGACTGTACCTTCTTCACAGCTGCCACACAGACACCTTCCTTCCAGTATAGCAGGGATGGCCAACTCCCAAGAGACTGCAATCTACTCACAGAGTTAAAGACTGGCAGTGATCTACCCCCTTTTTTGGGGTGCAGGGCAAAAATGTTGAGCTTTTTTTCAGGGAGCCAAGCTTTGGAGAGAGCCAGTGATCTACCAGTGATCTACCAGAGACGTCCAGTGATCTACTGTTTAAAACAGAATGCAATATCATTACTCACTACACTGATCTGGCTCTGCTCCCTAACTACATTGTATTGGGGGAAAGCAGCAAGACGGTGAGTAACAGCCCTGCTACTGACCTGCTCAGTTTAATGTTTGTATAGATCTTACATGCAATGGGCTGTTTCTGCAGGATCAGAAACACTGGAAAATATTGTTTAGTGCACAGAAAGAGACATAGGTGCTTTCAAGTTGTATATTCATATATCTTGGAATTCAAATGGCTTATTTGCCGAACATTTTAGCTCACGAATGATCAAAAACCAGAAGTGATTGTTCCAGTTTTTGAACATTCTTTTGGAAGCCAAACATCCAGCGGAGTTTCCTACAGCCAATCGGAAGCCGTGCCTTGGAAGTCGAACATTTTGAAAGTCGAATGGACTTCTGGAATGGATTCCGTTAGACTTCCAAGGTCTGTCTGTATTAAGCTGAATAACTAGAGGTGCTCTGTCCTGACCACAAGGGGCACAATGGATAGCCAACGTGGCTGGTCAGGTGGATGACAGGGTGAGCTGGAGTTGCAGGATCTTGGACAGCAGCAAAGAGCAGGACTAGAGAGGATCAGGAACAGGGGAACATGCGGTTAAAAAGAGATAACTTGGGGGATTTGTGGGCAGCGGGAAAGATGTGAGGTTGTGATTATTTGGCTCTAATCCTAGTATGGGCGTGCAGTATTTTTTTAAAAAAGGTCCGATAAGAGACAGACATTACAAAGGCAAACTTCACTGGGGTTGTGAGAGGAGTACGTGAGTCCATATGAATAGTCATGCAATTGACTCATAGGATATCATCCACCTTTTCTAACAGCATGATTCTATCTAATTATAGCTGTGAAGCCAGAGGAAACAACCTGTCAGGTGGCTCTGGCTATCTGTGACTAGGTGCAAAATGCACTCCAGGATGGATGCTCAATGGGGCCACAAGAAAAAGACTGCCTTGCTAAGCACACTTACTTGAAAGGAAGGCTGGCTGAAACTAATGGGACTTTTCAGTAGCAATCTATGGGTAAAAGCTATCAGAGTCTCCACATGTTTAGCCTTGGGGCATTGGTTATTGGTTACTACCTGAACAAGGGAACCTACCTACTGATCAGCAGTAGCTTCAAAATTGACAAAACGAAGTACAATAGCACACAAAGCATCATGGAATTTAGACGCACGAGATACAGTGATTGCTACCAAGTTAGTTGGCTGTGTGCAGCCTGTGTAGGCTAGAAAAAAATATTAGTCACAAAAAGGCCTATTAAGCCATGATAGCCAATAGAGCATCCTTGTTCGTCCTGAATATCAGATGCGAACAAGGAGAAGAGGAAAGCAGGGTTGCTTTCACCCCCTGCCTGGTACCTGGTTAGCCACTATTGGAAGCAAAGGAACAAAACCTCACTTATGTCAATCACATGTTAAAAGGAAAAAACTGAGCAGGGACACTGTCAGAAAACTAAATCATTGACTGCATTGCCAAGTCTTCAACTACCCATGACACAGCTACTTATATCCATAAATAAGCAGGAGTAGCTGGACGTCTTAAATTTTGTTACTTCTACTTACACTGTTGATATATGGGGACTATACATTATTTGTTGGTACAGTCACGGGCATGCGCAGAAGCGGCGAATCGCAACCCACGCAGACGCAGGTTGTGTTCTGTTCAGGTTGCGAATGGGCCTCCGGAACGGATCCCGTTCGCAACCAGAGGTACCACTGCATTGATGAATGTTATTTTATTACAAAAATATTAAAAACATATTGGGCTGGGAAGGAACATAGGAAACCGCCTTATACAGTCAGACTATTAGTCCAGCTAGCGATGCAGTGCCTTCAGCATGGAAATAATAATTTATTATTTATACCCCGCCCATCTGGCTGGGTTTTCCCAGCCACTCTGGGCGGCTCCCAACAGAATATTAAAAATACAATAAAACACCAAACATTAAAAACTTCCCTAAACAGGGCTGCCTTCAGATGTCTTCTAAAAGTCAGGTAGTTGTTTATTTCCTTGACATCTGATGGGAGGGCGTTCCACAGGGTAGGTGCCACTACCAAGAAGGCCCTCTGCCTGGTTCCCTGTAACTTTACTTCTCGCAGTGAGGGAACCGCCAGAAGGCCCTCAGAGGTGGATCTCAGTGTCTGGGCTAAACAATGGGGGTGGAGACGTGCCTTCAGATATACTGGGCCAAGGCTATTTCAGCAACCTGTACCCCCCAGATGTTGTTGGGCTATTACTCCCATGATCCCTGGCAATTATCCATTCTGTGTGGGGATGATGGGAGTTGGAGTCCAACACCTTCTGGAGGGCCACAGGTTTCCCATACCTGGTCTACAGTGTCTTCCAGCTGACCTCCAACATTTGAGGAAGAGGCTCCAGTATTTTGAGGATTCCTAGTCCTAACTGGAGATGCTGGGGATTGAACCTGGGAACTTCTGAATGCAAAACAGACGCTCTACCACTGAGCTATGGACCCTCCACCAAAGGATTCTGGATGAGATAGAAAGGTGGATGCTGGTTTGGAAGGTCTGATCCACCAAAGATCTGCTGTTCTTATGATCTCAAGACAAGTTATAAGCCTATAGGTACAATCTCATATGCATTCCCAACCCTTCTTCTGGTGCAATATGAAGAAGCCCATGGCCAGCATAATTTCGAATTGTATTTTGAATTGCAGTGTAAGCTGATTTAAGAGCTCTTGCAGAGCAAGTAGACAGGGTATACGTTTTAAATAAATAGGATATGTAGCAGTGCCAAACTGGTAAAAAAACCAACAGCAGTCTGGCTTGCTAATTTTCTAGAAAGTTGTAAGTGGCATAAACCCCACCACAGTGTCTGTTATCTCATCATTTTCTTTTTTAATTGCTTAAAATTTTCACACTTCTCTTTACACCATCAGTGTGGCTTTTCTGCTCACACAACTGCGATATTTTCAAGGCATGAAAATAGAATCTGTACCAAATAAGCAGAATCTTGGAATCTGTACCAAATAAGAAGAATCTTGGCAAGATTACTACTCAAAAGAGGTTTAAAGACTGTCTCAAGGCAAAGCGAAAAAAATGTAGTATAAACACTGACAACTGGGAAACACTGGCTTGTGAGCACTCCAGTTGGAGAACAGCCTTTACCAAATGTGTCATGGGCTTTGAAGACACTTGAACTTAGGATGCAAGGGATAAACGTGCTAAGAGGAAGGCATGCTTGGCAAATCCACACCGTGATCAACTCCCGCCAGGAAACCAATGTCCCCACTGTGGAAGGACGTGTGGGTCCAGAACTGGCCTCCACAGTCACTTATGGACTCATTGTTAAAACCATGTTCATGGAAGACAATCTTACTCGGCTACGACTGATCGCCAAAGAAGAAGAAGCAGATACAATGCAGTAAAGAGACATGCTCAAGGAAGCAAGATTCACAGGCAGAATCAGGGTATATTCATTACCACCTTTTACTACTAATCTAGTCCCAGCTGAGTTGGCAGCCTGTATCTTTTGAATGCAGATGAAGATACACATGCCCATTCGAGAGCTACTAGCTGCAATGTACAACTAGCTACTTATATCATCTGAATCAGGGACATGTTGCTTTTGAACTCAAATAAACTTGCAAAGCAAAACACAATTTAGTGAATCAGTGCTTGTCAGAAGTTCTGTCAATGTGTGGAGGGCGAGTAGTAGACTGTACTTTCTGTCCTCACCGTGGCCACATATATTTGAAAGCTGGAATGGAAAACAGGAAGGCAGCCAGTGGCCACAACCTCATTGTATTCACATGCTAATGGGCAGTTATCCAATGTACTCAATTCTGTTAGTGCAAGGATTTATGCTTGTGCAACAGAACTTTCCTGCCTCTTTTCCTCCCATGAACATCCCACACCCTCCCCAAAAGTGCTCTGGAGGGTTGGGGAAAACCCCAGAACAGATTTAGGGAGTTACAGGGGGAGAAGACGGGTGGGGGGAGGGAATTCAGTTGTACAAATCCTTGCACTGGTGGATTGAGTGACTTAGTGCTAAACTGGAGCTGCCCTATTCTTCCATTACAACAGCGTTCCACTTTGTTTCTCCTGGGACTCAGCCAGACTGGTAAAGAAAAAGTGATTTATATGCGTTGTATATGTGATATAACATTGTGCCACCAGATGGCAATGTGGAGTCCCGTTTTTCTCTACTTGTTTTCCCTGTTTAAATTTACAATACTTTAAACTGACACGCTTCTTTGATGTGTCCAGATCCAGCGCTGGTTTGTTTTAAAGTGTTTCCCTTACTTTCTATATAGTATACATTACTCTCTCCACCCAACCCTTGCTATTTGAGACCAACCTTCTTTGGAAGGTTTCTTCCACGTGAATGTGTGTATATGTGTGTAAATATATATATCACACTAAAAACAGAAAGGAATTACTTTCACCTGTTTTCCAGAACAGTAGCTGCATTGGTCTGCATTGTTCATCTAAAAAACAAACACAAAAATTGGAGTCCATTATCTGCGAGAAACCCTACCAAACTCACTGTGGTTACTGCACAGAGCTTTCTAGGATGGGGAATTTTAGATCTGAATTGGCCATGGTGAAAATTGAAGCAGAGTAGTCCTTATTTCAGATTAGTTAATCCAATGCCTCTCTTGTCCTCCAGCATGGCTGTAAGGAAGAGATTAGAATCTTCTGATCTTGGTCAACCACAGTTTAGTATGTCACCTAAACTGTGGTTTACCTTAACTATATTTTGATAAGCCGGTTGCTTAAAACAATGGTTTGAAATTGGCATGCTTCACCAACCACTGTTAGGGCTTAACCGGAGTTTGTGAGGGTTTGGGACAACACAGCAGGCTATCAGTTAATCTGCCACAGAATTGAAACTGTGCAAGCTCCTTCTTGCGGGAGCACTGGAGGAGGAGAGTCTGAGATTTGCCTAGACAATGGTTTAGCATTATGCCTTAAGCAACCTAGGCTCGTCTCCATATTGAACACTGTTTTCGCAGAGCTCCCTATATTATACAGAGTTGCATACATCTGTAGGCTCTATTTCAACCAGCAAATGAAGGCACCCAAGCTCAGGGGCAGAGTGTGCTGCCATGATCCTGCACACATTCAGTACATATAGATTCATTTCTGAAAAGGACTGTGGTATGACAGAGGGGAAAGAGTTGGTACTAATGAATAGCAAATTTAAGTTGTACAACATTAAAAAAAGGGAACACTATCATTTAAAGAAAAAAAACAAAGCTAGTAATGCAGTAGTATAAATCCACATTAAACTGAATAAAAATAAAATTCCAGGGAATTCATACGGGACGTAGGAAAAAGGAACCCAGTCTTAGAGACCAAGGAAAGCCAGATCAGGTTTTCCAAAACTATAACATTCTGTGAAATACAAAATTCCAGAATGGTGCCTCTTATTATTTAGGGGTACATGCCCAATATTACTTGGGAAAGAGAGTACTTAAGTGCTTTTAGTTTTCATTTCATAGTCCAGCTTTTCTCATGCAAAGAATATCCACTAATAGGACTAATAACGAATAAAACTGAATAGACATAGGAGAGGTGGTGAACTGAGGTCTGCAATGAAGACCACTTTCAAAGAATGCCTGTAAAGGAAATAACAGCTTTTGCTAGCATATTGTTGACAACTAAGTACGCCCAAGTATGGAGTTCTTCTGATCCCCCAAATCTGATCTATATTACAACAACATTATTAACAACAGGCCACCTAGCAAAGAGAGAGACCAGACTCTGCAACAAACCCAGATGCTGTTAATAATGCTGTTACAGGATCAAGTAACATAATTTGCAACAGTTATCGGCCCATCTTTTAATATGTTATTACTTGCCAGCAAAGCTTTTCTGCTTCCTATATAGGACAAACAGATAAGTTTCTATGCAAAAGAATATATAGACACAAATCTGACATCATAGAGGGGAAACACTTAGAAATCAGTTCTGGAAAATTTTAATTACCCAAGACATAATTACCCACTGCTGACCTGAGAGTGGCCATTCATCTATCAATTTTTAGGCTTCAACAGAGACAATGTCCCACTATGTGTGTTAACATAATCAACCTGATATTGTTAAGTTAAATATTTTAAAATACTTTTGTTGTGAATGGTAACTTTGCCTATCTTAAACTATATATAGAATGACAACAGCCTGTACTTTAAGTATTTCACTGCCATTTGACCTCACTGTTTACCATTTTTTCTCTATACCAATGTATGGGATTAACATGTATGCATATATGTGCCAGCTGAAGACAAGACTTCATGCTTATGATGCCCTAATCCACAAAAGTTTATGCCACAAGACTCTTTGTTATCGTTACTGCTACATACTAAGCTTTCTAGAAGCTGGATTCTGGTTACTTAAGGAAATAACTTCACCCATACTAGCCTGAGATTTGCATCAGAATTCCTCCGTAAGTTCCTCTATATGAAGAATATTTCATTGGTGGGCACTCATAATAGGGTGTTCTCAGTGATTGTCCCACATCAGTTACACAGCCACCTCAGCCTGTGGCAGCATGGTTTAAAGTCAGCACAAAAGGAATGAAGACTACAACTGAAAAATGCTTACGATATAACTGGGCCCTAGGTTTGTATGCTTAAAAAGCCCAAAATGTCCCTAGTTACAGTACTGTCCTGGGCTTGTTTACTTAGACCTAATGAGTTCAGTGGAGCTTACTCCCAAGCAAGGGTGCAGAGGTTACCCACTAATCAGGAATTAGCTCCATAGAATTCAGTGGGGCTGATATCTGAGCAGAACACCTATAGCAGGGACGGCCAACTTCTAAGAGATTGTGATCTACTCACACAATTAAATACTGGCAGTGATCTCCCCCTTTTGTGGGGTTCAGGTCAAAAGTTGTTGAGCTTTTCTTAGGGAGGAAAGCCCTCCCCTTTTAAGGAGGAAAATCCCATGGGGGGGGGGGTGTCAGGGCGAAGGAATGGGAAAAAAAGGCGCTCACAAGGAGATCGCTAGTGAAACAGTCAGCATCACAGCGAGAGCTTCGTCTTCTGGTATTGCGATCTAGAGGGCGGGGCGAGGGGGCACGGCCAGATGGAGGAGCCAGTGATTGACTACGATCTACCAAAACCTCCCTGAGATTGACCAGTAGATCAAGATCGACCTGTTGGACATCCCTGACCTATAGGATTGCCCTGCCAATAAAACCAAAGAGGCTGCTCCGATAGTGACTTCTATGGATGATTGAAATCTGCTTATTCAAATAACTGTCCTGTACATATGTAAATGATTCAAGAATATATTAACTTTTGTTCCAGATTTTGACCGGTTTTCTCATATATATATACATATATACATATATATATTCTTATCTTGTGTGTATGCTGGGGTGGGAAGGAAACAGCAGGAAGCAGAGTCATTGAGTATCCTAGAGGATACATCTGAGATGTTATATTTCAGTATATAAAAAAATTGTTCAGTAGCACCTTAAGAGACTAACTAAGAAGTGTGCATGCACACGAAAGCTTATACCAAGAACAAACTTAGTTGGTCTCTCAGGTGCTACTGGACAATTTTTATTTTTTATATATATATTTCGACTGCGTCAGAGCAACATGGCTACCTACCTGAATATTTCAGTATATGATAAATGCAAATTTATTCATTTTCTGCAAGTGGCTGTTGTTGTTGGGGTGATAGCGGATTATGTAGAATGCAAAGACTGCTACTGTACTACAAGCTTATGAATAAGGTTTACCAAGAAAGAACAACTTTAGTTCCTTGGGTGATCAAGTCAAGTATAGAAGTTAAATAAACATGGGCTTGAGGTGTTGCATCCTTTGTTCCAAATGATGAGAGCACTGCGCTGGAAGGAAGCAACTCTGAGAGAACTGTGGCAATGTAATCACAGACATTACTAGCAAAGCTGTCAAATTATAAGAGAAATGCTTTAACGGCAATTCAGTAACCAGCTTAGATCCTTCACTTGTAGTATAATACACAGCATGCCTGGAATGAACATGATGTCGTAAGATGACAGAAGAGCAAATTCACATAATGAGATTTTGCATTTATAATCAGACAAAAATCCAAGATATGTAGAACATACATTAGGGCAGGATATGGTCCTTTGAATGTTATTCTCAATGCTCGTACCAGCAGCAACCGTCATCTGAAAAAGTGTGCAACAGAGAGTCCACTGAATTGAAAGGATTTGCTTTAAAAACAACACACATATAAATAATGCGACAGAAACATCAATGTATTTTCATTTCCACTCAACTGCGACAGTTAACCTTACTGTAAAGTGTGTCTTAAAATCTCACATTGCAAATTAAAAATTATTGTAGATTAGCATAGTAAGAACATATTGCTGATTGTAGAGCAAACAGGTTATTACAGTATTGATTGAAAAACGCCAGAAAACCATTACTTGTATGCAATATGCTTATAGTTTAGTTCTGATGACTTTAGAGTAAACAGGAATGTGGCGTTTACTGTTCAAGGTCATGATCCCGCAAAGGAGTTCTCCTGCACAAGGCCAACTGCAACAAATGGGAGTTGTGCAAGAACACCGCAAAGTCATTATGTCGGTCCCATTCATTTTTAACAGGGCATGCACAAGAAAACATCTGCCTGGATTGTACCCCATATCCAGAGCCCTATCTGCACTATACATTTAAAGGGTCCTCAGACCACTTGAAGCAGTCATGACTTCCCCCAGAGAATCCTGGGAGCTTTAGCTTGTTAGGGTCTCCTAACAAAGCTCAGCACCCTTATTTCCCTCACAGAGCTACAATTCACAGAGGTCTCTGGGAAGAGGAAGTGACTGATAAACTACTTTGAGAACTGTAGGTCTGTGAGGGGAAGAGAGCGCACCCTCAAAAAACTACAACTCCCAGAATTCTTTGGGCAGGAAGTCACAGCTGATTAAAGTGGTATGCTGCTGCTTTAAATGTACTGCATAGTACAGATGGGGCCCAAATCAATGTGTGTTGCTATCAACATTCAAGACTATTCTGCGCACAGTACTTGCTGACAACTCACACACTTAAGAGCATTATGAATCTTGAAGTCACACAAACACATCATGCCAAAATTTGTTATGCAACCAAGTTTATTGGCTGAGCCAAGCCTTGCAGACGTTGAAATATATACAAATGATTTATATTTTTTTGCACTTTTTAGACATATTCATGAAAGGAATAAAATTTATAACACAATAATAATTATGCTTTCTCTACTTTACAAGATAAAATGCTTTTTTATTTGATGCAAACATTAAATTTTCATAACCTGGAACAAGTAGCTTTTGTCCACACATGTTTTAAAATGCTCTTTCTTTTTTATGTTACTGCTAAACTGTCTGGCAGGAATTTACAATGCATTGGTGAAATTATTTCTTGCTGCTTGCAAAGGTTTAGAAATTTAGATCACGATCCAAGGGACTCTGTACAAATCTTAATTCCACCTCACTCCGGAGGGTTTTAGTCTCATAAGGCACATTCAAACTGCCCTTTAAACTCACTTGAGTTCAAACAAAACAGTCAGGATTTGGCACAATGAATATTTACAAAAAAGTGGGGTGCGGGAATAGCACTATCAGCTCTTTCCTTTTCAAAATTCGCAAAACTGATTTTTCACGTTTAAAGAGAAACACACAGGGGGAAAATGTTACCCTGTGTTTACAGTGTGTATGTGTGCTTCTGGAGAATGGCTATACAGACTGTGACAGGACACCTGAGGAAGTATTCAACAAAGTTTTAGAGTAGACCTACAAAGAAATTATTGGACCTAACTTTGTCACATTAATGAATTTCAGTGGGTCTACTCAGTTGCAAACCGCTCATAAGATTTAATCATTGAGCCACACATATCAAGCCTCCTCAGTGGAGGCTGCTCTAGAGTAAACCATTTTAGACTTCTAGCCCAAATGCCCTTTGACTAACAAGCTTAAAGTGTACAGATAACATGCAGGTCTAACAATATCAATATTCTGTTGTTGTTGTTGTTGTTTTACCTTTTCAAGGTAAGAAATATAAGCTTTGTTCCAAAAATCTGCCTAAAAATAAACCCTATATACTCATCAATATTATAGATAGGGATGAAATGTGGGGTGGAGGAGGGGCAGAGAGCTAAATTCAATATTATTTAGGAATGGACACTATTAAGTTCAGTTTGCTGGGAAAGTGAAGCACAATGTCACCACTTTACAAACTAAGCTCACATTAAACATGCAGGAGAATTCTTAAAAACTGGAAAGTCACCGAAGTTTTATAAGAACCATTTAAAAAGCAGACGGTAAACTGCTTTCCCAAAACTGTATGTTCACAATGAAAATATGTCGTAATTGTAGCATGCAGTGGCCCCATCTGCACAATTAAAGTAGTACCATACCACTTGTCATGGAAACTGCTGTTTCTTTAGCACACTGAGAAGTTGATAGAAGATTCCTATTCCTCTCTGCAATTCCCAGAGTGGTTTAGCAATAGATCCCTCTTTCCAGGGAACTCTGGGAATTGTAGCTGGGAGTGGGGGGGGGGGTAGAGATCTCCTAACAAGTCTCAGCATCCTTGATAAACTACAGTTCTGAAGATTCTTAGGGAGAAACCATTATTGCTCAGAGTGGTCTGAAAGCACTTTAAATGTAAACATCCATGTTTATAAAAGGGAGAGAGTGAGTATCTGTCACAGTAAACAGCAGCGGCCTTACCACGCTACGTGCAGAACAGCAGCCAGGATTCCAGATCTTGATCCTCTGTAGCCAGCCAGCCAGATCCATTGAACATGCTCAGCTGCCATAGCACAAGCAATCATTTGCTCTACGTCAGCTAAAGCAGCCCTCTGGACTTGGCAAGTGGGACAGATGTGCCCAGCTCTGCTCAACTTGCCCTTCGACCCCCTTACACTAAGCAGTGATTGTTGGCTTTCAGGGCTCTACAGGGCATACGAGCGGCTGTTACTTTGGACCCCCTCCCCTCCCCTGTCTAGGCACCAAAAAAGATGGCTGGCAATCCTTGGCTGAAGGCAGATGTTGCATCAGTGCTGCAGAAGTGAGGTCACAGAGCTGATGCCAAGGGGTTATTGTGCCCTCAGCAACTGCATCACACTTGATTCTATTATTCTTTGCATGAGAAAAATGGCAGAGTCATAACTTTCATTTTAACATTTCTAGAGATCCTTCCAAGAATACTGAAAATATCTCTTTTGTATATTCACTAGTGCATACATTTCATTCGTGTCACAATTTACTTTGATGTCTGCCCCCCCAAGCAAATAAAGTAGGTCCTATCATTAATGATTTTGATAATACTGCATTAGTTTTACCCACTTATTAATGTCTTTTTGTTCAGGATCCAACTAGTGCTTTAATTGATTCAGAAGGTTTATCCATGTCTAGGCCCTTACTCTCCATAGCAAAGTCCATTGGGTATGATTCAATGACTCTGTCTGTGTACAACACCACACACTGAGAGCATATTACTTCTCCCAAAGAACCCTGGTAACTGTAGTTTACTCCTCACAGAGCTACAATCTCCAGCACCCTTTTTAAAACTACAGTTCCCAAGATTGGGGGGGGGAGTCATGTCATAATAGGTGATTTAAATGAGTTTTAAATGTATGCCGTGCACACAGCCTGTGACCTAGAAGGCATCACAGCTGTACTTGTTGAAAACCAGAAAAGTAAACTACACATGTTATCAACCTTGACTTTGAATCCTTCAGATTCTTTTTCATGGCTTTTTAAACCAACAACAGCCAGAGAATGCTGAATCCAGATCAGGAACTTGGCACAAGAAGAAAAGACTTAATTTTTTGCCTCATGGCAGTTCCCCCCCCCCCCTCTCCAAGCTACAATTTGCTTCAAATAGCAGCTTCAGGAAAGAGGATCATTTTCATCTACAGATCTCTGTATCGTGGTTCAGATCCAGACCAGGTCTTTATGATCATTTAAAAAAAGAAGAAAAATTCCAAGCACAGAATTCAAAGACATGGTTAATTTTGCATCTAAAGGTAAAGGGACCCCTGACCATTAGGTCCAGTCGTGACCGACTCTGGGGTTGCGGCGCTCATCTCGCTTTATTGGACGAGGGAGCCGGCGTACAGCTTCCGGGTCATGTGGCCAGCATGACTAAGCCGCTTCTGGCGAACCAGAGCAGCACATGGAAATGCCGTTTACCTTCCCACCGGAGCAGTACCTATTTATCTACTTGCACTTTGAGGTGCTTTCAAACTGCTAGGTTGGCAGGAGCAGGGACTGAGCAACGGGAGCTCACCCCAATACGGGGATTCGAACCACCGACCTTCTGATCGGCAAGTCCTAGGCTCTGTAGTTTAACCCACAGCACCACCCGCGTCCCTAATTTTGCATCTAGTTTGAACCTAACGATCCTACGGATGTCCATTTGAGCATCATATCTAATTCTTCAGCCTCTGTGATCCTAATAGCCTGATCCTGTTCATGTTTACTAGAAAATAATTCTGGAGGTACTCCGATATTAGCATGCTAAGGAGCACAAATTGAGTCTCTCTCTTTTTTTAAAAAAAGTATGCAGATAGTTTCCCCAGTGAAAATCATATAAATGACATATTTCTAGAGCTCCTTTAACTAGAATAAAAAATAAGCATAGTACTTGAAGATTCATTTTATATGTTCCTTGCACAATGCTCAGAATGACCCTTCATTTGGTGAATGAAGTGATTTATACGGCCCACTCTCTTCAGGTCCATCAAAGTTGCCTTTGTGACTGTCACCTTATCTGTAACAGTCAGCTTGTTCTATGTAGACATTGATCTTTTGTTGTTAAGAGTACTGAATCAAACAGACTGGTTTTATTTCTGTCGCCTTTTAAAAAGATAAACCACTGACTGATTTGGCTGTTGGCTTTGCCCCTATCATCCTTAGCCAGCCAATTTCGCCTTATAGCATCATTCTGAAACCATTTACCTGGGAAGCTTACCACCAAAACCAGTCAGAACACTGTCTAGTAGGCTGTTGTCAAGATTTCATGTTAGAGTCTTTCTACATGGGTCAATCAATGTGCACCTCCCTCCAGAATATTTTAGGCCAGGCTTCCTCAACCTCGACCCTCCAGATGTTTTGAGACTACAATTCCCATCATCCCTGACCACTGGTCCTGCTAGCTAGGGATCATGGGAGTTGTAGGCCAAAAACAACTGGAGGGCCGAGGTTGAGGAAGCCTGTTTTAGGCATTCTACTATCATATACATTTATGTGTGGTAATCTTCTGTCCTCTGACTCCACAGTCCTCAGCCATTTAAAGGTCTCCTACATCCTCAAAAGATTCCACCCTTTCTGCTCCACATTCTTAGAACTACTTCTAAGAACCCCTGTCTGATTCCAAACCTCTTACTTAGGGGGTCGCCAACCAAGTGCCCACAGGTGCCAGTGTGCCTGCCAGTACCACCTAAGGTGACTATGAAATGTCTCAGTCAATATCCCTTCAGAAATCCACAATACACAAGGTAATGTTTACCCTTCTTGTTCACTTCCTGTTTGCACTTCCTCAGCCTCTCCAACACTGAACATGCCTGTTTAAGCGTGCCCATATTTCATGCCCATATGTCACCACTGGACACCCTCCTTCCTTTCCATTCCAAACAGAGGAGAGGTGCAAAGAGCTCATCTCAGAGAGTGAACACAGGAGTTGCTGATGAATGCAGCAGCTAGACTGGTGACTGGGAGTGGCCGCCAAGATCATATAACACCGGTCCTGAAAGATCTTCATTGGCTCCCAGTACGTTTCCGAGCACAATTCAAAGTGTTGGTGCTGACCTTTAAAGCCCTAAACGGCCCCAGTCCTGTATACTTGAAGGAGCGTCTCCACCCCCATCGTCCAGCCCGAACACTGAGGTCCAGCGCCGAGGGCCTTCTGGCAGTTCCCTCGTGGTGAGAAGTGAGGTTAGTGAGAAGTGAGGTTAGGGAGAACCAGGCAGAGGGCCTTCTTGGTAGTGGTGCCTGCCCTGGGGAATGCCCTCCCAGCAGATGTCAAGGCAATAAGCAACCATTTTACTTTTAAAAGACAACTGAATGCGGCCCTGTTTAGGGAAGTTTTAAATGTTTGATGCTGTATTGTTTTTAATATTTGGTTGGAAGCCACCCAGAGTGGCTGGGGAAACCCAGCCAGATGGGCAGGGTATAAATAATAAATTATTAGATTATGATGATGATGATGATGTCGATACTTCTTTTACCCATCAATGGGGCAGCTGATGGGGGGAGGCATGCCTGCATCATCTTGCACTCTTCTTTCTCCTTCCCTCTCCCCTTCATCCTATCCCTCTCCCTTTCCAGTTTGGTGGTCCCTGTGTTATACTAGAACCCCACAGTAGCCACTTTGTGATTGGCACCGCCCAGCACTCTCTTAACATTCAAATGTGCCCAATGGCTTTAAAAGGTTGGTGACCCTTATCTCATTCCCTTCAAATCACAGAATTGTAGAGTTGGAAGGGATCCCAAGGGTCATCTAGTCCAACCCCCTGCAATGCAGGAATAATTCCCTCTTCACTCACCTTTTCCATGAAGATTTGGGTAGAAACCCCAAGTTGCCCCACCCTACTGTAACTCTGCCAAAGCACATGCAGCTGAAACAACTACACCTACTTGCCCAGTTTAACCCGGCTTCTCCTTAGTATGCTTGGGTTGCAAACATGATCTGTGCGGGAGGCATTTTTGCAACCCACAGCGTTAGCAACCCACAGTTCCGTGTCTGCGCACCTGCGATTCTGCACTTGTGCACATGCGCAAAGCGCGATTTAGTGTTTCTGCGCATGCACGAGCGCCAAAACCCAGAAGTAACCCATTCCAGTACTTCCTGGTTCGGTGTGGTGCACAACCCGAAAACGCACAGCCTGAAGCATCTGTAAACCAAGGTATGACTGTACTGTAAAACAAGCAAATGCATGCAAGTAGCTTGCTTTGCACTGTATAGTCTGATCACAAAAAGGAAGTTTCCCAGGTCCTTTTTATCCACATAAATATCCTCCCTGCTACTCTCTCCCATCTGATCTGTCCTGTGTCCCTATATGGTCTATTACAACAGAAACATGGAAAACTTTAGTGTCTGTCATCCCCTACTTTCAAAATCACAAGGCTTCGAATCAGTACTTAGTCAGAGGTAAGAACGTGATACAAGATTGATGCTTATGATTCAGAGGAAGACTTTTCTTGGAGACCTCCCAATAAACTATCCACGCTTATGCCCACATAAAAACTGATCTACAAAAAGACTGACTGCATTAATTAGGCAATACTACATATATTTCCATATTGGGATGGGGGGGGGGCAAAACAGAGCTTGGCGTTCATAGCCATGAGTCTCTGACAAAAGCTGCCTTGAAAAGAATAAGAAAAACTGCAACTTTTAATAAAGTTGCGACAGAGCATTCTGTCCTTTCAAGTGTTAGCTTGATGGCTATACAGAGAGGGACTCATAAAATGATGGCAGAAAACATGTGGTAATTAACTCGACATGCACAAGGTCATATCCAGCACTGCTGCTCAGCTAGCGCAGCAGACATCAACTTGCACATAGGAATTTTTCCTCTTCTGCTGCTTCCCATACACCTCAAAATCTGGAGGACCCTTCAGAACCAATTTTGAATGAGTGTGGGGAAAGGAGAAGTCCAGTGGTGCAAGTTGGACTCCACAAATGTAGTATTAGATACAACCTACAGCCTTCCTCTCTCCCCCACTCCCTGCTCAGTAAGTCATTTTGTGGCATATCCCCAACAAGTATCTATCCAACCATTTAGCGGAGATCAAACTCTGCATTCCCCACTTGTAGGCAACAGACGGCTAGACTTAGCTTACGCATTATAGGATAGTAGCCCTAATATAAAAATACTGAACCAATGTTTCACTCCCAAAAAAGAAAAGTAAAAACAGAGCCGAACAAAAAAACATTTGCTTTAAGACAATGTCTAGTTCTGCAACTTTGACAGGCAGTAGCCCTACTCACAAATTACTTGTGTGTAGGGCATTTGCGTTCTGAAGCAAATAATAACTTCTAACGGTCATAGACTGAGGTATGCTTCAAAATTCACAATCACAAATTGTTAATTCTGTGTTGGATTGTCTTCCAATGACTAATAATCAGAATGCTGCTCCTAAAATAAAGTTATTTACCCATACAAAAATGGATTGAAATTTACAATAAGCTAAACAGTAATATAGTCAAAATGAACAGCCCAAATACATACTATAGATAGATAGATAGATAGATAGATAGATAGATAGATAGATAGATACAGATCTGCTTTCAATGCCACCATCAAAAACTTTCCTTTACTACATCCCTCAGAAATGCTGTGATTCAGGTACATAACATGTAGGTGGGGAGCTTTCTTCCCTTTTCCTTCTCGTCACAAAAGAAGGTTAGAAACAACAACAAAATGTCAAAACACTGGAATAACTCGCTACTCAAATGTCAACAACCAAGCAAGAATGTTGATACTGTCACACACACACAAAGGTGTCAAAGGAACAAATACGCAAGAACAAAAATTGATAAAATCTAAGCACGTATCAATACCACCTCCATCAACAACTTCAAAAGTCAACCAGTGACAGCACCACTCATGCCTACCCACAACACAGAGCCATCCCTGTCTCTTCAGCGTAAGTCACCACAGCCCACCATCTCCCATTAATAACCCCAAAGATTCCCTATTATAAGAACAGGGAGAATAGGAATTAAGAATAGAATGTTTCTATCCTAGATCCACTTCTGGTTCATCTAAGTCTTCATTTCAGCCTTCCAGATCCCTAACACCATGCCCTGATCCTTATACAGCAATGTTTCCTGACTCTGCCTGTATCATAAAACAAGTCAAGCTGTTGGTCCAGGCACTGGGGGGGCCTGTGTCTATTCTTCTTCTATCCTGTATTCCTGCATCTTCATACAGTCGTACCTTGGCACTCGTACGTTTTGGCTCTCAAACGCCGCAAACCTGGAAGTGAGTGTTCTGGTTTGCAAATATTCTTTGGAACTCGAATGTCTGGCATGGCTTCAGTGGCTTCAGGAGCTTCCTGCAGCCAATCGGAAGCCGTGCCTTGGTTTCTGAACATTTTGGAAGTTGAAAGGACTTCCAGAGCGGCTTCCGTTCGGCTTCCAAGGTATGACTATTTCAAAAACACAAAGCCATTTTGCATTTCAACCACGTTGCGTGGCTATTCCCGCCCCCTCCCACAGAATGGAATAAATAAAGACACAGGACACCGAATTTAGGTTAATGGGCGAAAAATGGCCACAACTTTATTGATTACAGGTAAGAGCGGTATTGGCTTTAGGCATTGGCCCTATCAGACTAACCGGTATAACCGGGAAGGGTTAAGCACCAACAGGGGGAGCCCCCGAGATGTACATCCCTAGGCGCTCCCCGAGGGGTTACTGCTCGGGAGCGCGCTTTAGGCCCTAGCCTCCGTAGGTTTCGGATGAGGCGACGCCCCCCGGAGTCCTTTAACGAACTACCCTTCAGCATTTGGGGGAGGTGATGGCGTTCCTCCCCCCGTCTCATTTGCATAATAATACCCCTGCCAATGCCTAACCGCCAAAACCAAGGTGTTGTGACGTTTTGCTACGAGGTAAGCGAAAAAACCAAGTGGCTTCCAAAATATAGCCAATTAGCCAAATGGAAAAACTCCTACCAGGCCCCTTGCGGCGACCAGCCGAAGCCCATAGCAAAGTCCGGATGGGAACTTAAAGGGCGGGAGGGAGGGAAACCGCAGCTGCTGAAAGGAAAAGAAAGGGGCGAGTATGGGCTGCCCCGACCTTAAATGCCCCTTTCAAGTCCCGTCCCCGCTGCCAGCCAATTGGCTGGCGCGGTGAATAATGAATACTAATGATCCCAGGATTCCCTTGGTCCCGCGGGGCTGCAGCCAGCCCCGCGAGGGTGTGAATGGGGCGTGAGCCTGCAACCCCCCCCCCCGGATGTCGGGAGTGGCATTTTGATGATGTATACAGACACAAATTTATTTTGAACCTACATTGGAACGCGGTGTTTCTAGCAAATTCCCTGGAATTCAGGTAACTAAGGTGCAGGGCAATATCCCCCACTACATACGATAATGTTGGATAAAAATCTCAAATGTCATACCCTTGTGGTTCCATGTGTGGACAAACAAGTAACATTTGATTAATGAAGCATACAGGCCTGTTAACTCTTCTGCTACCAGATAGGCTTCTCTGTGATAGTTGGAGAAACCCCACTTGCCACCTGAGGGAGGTCCTATAATTTGGCACTATTTGTAATGCCTTGTGTGCTCTTGTCTTCTACTAGTTATAGATTTGGAACTTCTGTCTCCTGATTGTACATGATCCTATAAAACCCCACAAAAAACCCCACCACTCACAAATAACAGCCCTCAAGCATCAAACATTTTGATGCCTATGAAGTGTAACAACAATCCTTACTTACGAAAGGCATTTGTATTTGTCAAACATGAAGTTAGTTGGAAATAAGTTACAGAAGGGATTCATGCTATCAATCATGGTTACTTGTTTCTTGACAGCCGACACAATTTTCCCAGTATAATTTTGCATCTTGTTCCACAGATATTGCTGTGGGAGAAGGGGGAGGTGTGGGAGCGAAGGAAGCTAGGGAGATGTGCAAAGAGAAATACAAATTTAAAATGGGGGAGAAAGGAGAGGGGTCAGATAAGAGAGTTCTGTCAACTTTAGCAAAAGCAGAGACAGCACAAAACCTTTACAAGAGACCGTGATAGCCACTAACTTGGATGACTTTAAAAGAGAATAAGACATATTTGTGAAGGATTATCCATGGCTACTAGCCACAATTGCTATGTTCTATCTCCAATGGTGGAGGCGTTTTGCCTTTGACTGCTGGTTGCTGGGACAGATGCAGTTACATCTTGTCTCTGCGTGGAGGTTTCCCATGAGCATCTGGTTGGCTGCTGTGGAAACAGGGGCCTGGGTTAGATGGGTCCGTGGCCTGATCAAGCAGGTCTTTTCTTACATTCTTTCATTCTTATCGTTCATGGAGAAAACAGGTTGATGTGAGGCTAGGACACAAACAACTTTGATCGAAGGACTGGGCAGAGAGCAGAAGAAGTGAGGGAAAGGGAGACAAAGCAGAACGCTTACTAGATCTCAGGATCCTTTCTGATTCTAGGCTACATCTTCTCCCTCTGCTTAACCCAGAAGACCTGGCTTCTTTCCGCTTCATAAAAAAACAGGAAGTTCACCTCATCACAGGCACTAGGCACCAAATGCGATCTGGAGGACTCTTCAAATTGGACAGAACAAGGAAGCAGTAAAAGTATGGAAGGTATGGCAGTGGAAGGAGCAGGAAATAAGAGGGAGGAAAGGGGGCAGAAGGCCTTGCAGGACCAGACTTGGGAGCAATTCTTTCTTTGCCATTTCAGATCCATCACAATGAAACTGGAAACATCATAACATGATGCGAGTGATCTTTACACAGGAAAGTATATTTGATCACTCACTAATGCGCTCTTTAAGCAGCTTAATTTGCTCTGGTTTAGCATTTTCTTAACAGAGGGACACCACCAGACTGTCGAACAACCCCACAAATGACTGGATTAATTTGTAAATATGGAGATCATAAAGGAAAATCAAAGAAAGGATAACCCCACCTGCTGGTAGGTGTGTTCACACACTGCCCATCTAATGAGCCAATGCATGGTATTCTGAGAAAAATAAGGTTTCTTTCCACCAGCTGTTAGTTCAACTAGTGACACAGGAGCCACAGATGAGGCTTTCAGGGAATGATGCACTATTTCCCGATAAACACACACACACACACACACACACATTTGGAGAAGAAAGAAATGGATGCTGATTTTTCACTACTGCTGCTTCACATTATTGAGTTTGCAAAGGTGGCAGCAGCGGCAGCAAAGCTGCTGCTTTTATTTTATTATTTTATTATCTCATAAAATCTATACAGTATACCACTTGATTGTATTTTTTATATTAAAAGAAACCCTCAATGATTAAAAAGTTTAACGCAGCCTTTGCTAATATGGTGCCTCCCAGATGTCTTGGACTACAACTCCCATCGGTGCCAACCAGCACAGCCATGTTGGCTGGGCTTGATGGGAGCAGCAGTCCAAAGGAGATAACCAGGTAAGTGAAGGCCGGGTTAACTACACCTATTGAGAACAGGCTGATGGGAGGCGGCAGCAGCAGCTTCCTGTCCAAAATCAAAGTGTGGGAAGACACTACATGCCAGCTCTTCTCTAGCTGTCTCCTCATTGGTTTTTGGAAGTGAAAAGAGACTGATGATGGAAGGGAACCTCTGCCTGCTATCGCATCCTTCATTAAGGTGGTCAGGTGCAATGGAAGGAAGATATTCTGAAGCTTTAACACTTGGGTAGAAGAATGGAATTTCAATTGATATAACTTGCATGACATTCTTTTTTTAAAAAAGAGACCCCTTCCTTTTATCCAAGCATATATAAAGAAGTGTGGGTTTCCCCCCCTCTCTTGTACATTCCAAAAAAAGGTATTAGGCTTTCTGGCACTCTGCTTCAATGAATCATTGTCTTGATAAATTAGAGTGTTCAAGGGGCTTTATCAAAGGTGTTGAGTTTTGATGGGGAGCACACAAGCAGCTCTCTCTGTGTTACGGGGGCTTTTATCTTTTTTGCAACAGCAGTTCCTTCACACAGCATAAGCATCTTTTCAGAAACTCAGAGGAAACTTCAAAAGGTGTTGCAGTGCAGCACAGGAAGGGGGTGGGGGTTATATTGTACCATAAAAAGACACCTTATGCCCTGAAATCTTTCAATTTCCTGAAATAGATTAAGAAAAAGTCACAAGGGTCAACAAGGTAGAGCCCCATGGCTCAATGATTGGTCCTGCTGACTAGAAAGGAGGGGTCAAAAAAAGGTGGCATGCTCTAAAAAACAATCCATTAACCAAGAATGAAAAATCATTTTAGGGTTAAACTCTAAGCATAGAATCACAGAAAAGAGTTGGAGAGTTGGAAGGGACCCCGAGGGTCATCTAGTCCAACCCCGTGCAATGCAGGAATCTCAACTAAAGCATCCATGACAGATGGCCATCCAACCTCTGCTTATAAACTTCCAAGGAAGGAAAGTCCACAACCTCTCATGAGAGTCCATTCCACTGTTGAAACAGCTCTTACTGTCATAAAGTTCTTCCTGATGTTTAGCCGGAATCTCCATTCTTGTAACTTGAATCCACTGTAAGTTCATAGGGAGTCAACCCTACTGAAGACTGTGAAACTTAAAAGGTAAAGGGACCCCGACCATTAGGTCCAGTCGTGGCCGACTCTGGGGTTGCGGCGCTCATCTCGCTTTACTGGCCGAGGGAGGTGGTGTACAGCTTCTGGGTCATGTGGCCAGCATGACTAAGCTGCTTCTGGCGAACCAGAGCAGCACACGGAAATGCAGTTTACTTTCCTGCCGGAGGGGTACGTATTTATCTACTTGCACTTTGACGTGCTTTCGAACTGCTAGGTTGGCAGGAGCAGGGACCGAGCTCACCCCGTCGCAGGGATTCGAACCACCGACTTTCTGATCTGCAAGCCCTAGGCTCAGTGGTTTAACCCACAGCGCCACCTGCGTCCCTATATCTTACGTCTGAGTAAATAGGCATAGGATTGTGCTGTCATAAAAACATAGATGTAAGAACAGAAGAGCTCTGCTGGATCAGACCAAGGGCCTATTTAATCTAATTCCCACATTGGCCAAGCAGCTGTCAAGGGAAGACCATATGCAGAACCTGAATGCAACAACACCCTCCCCACTTGTGATTATCAGGAAATGGCATCCACCATTGGATGGTAGCCATTTATTTTGAGAAAGAAAGAGGTTCATTTCCAGCAGACCTTTCCTAGTCCTGTGCTGCCAGCCACAGCAGAGCTCTGTGGAAGGAGAAGCCAGCAGACCAGCCAAGTCTCAGAGGGGTACTTGCCTGGAGGCAGAGTCCATATACAAGGTCCAGTCCACTCCTAAGGTCAAGAGTACCTCAGTTCACATAGTCAGACGATCTGGGGGTAAAGAAAGCCAAGGGTCCAAGGTCGCAAGAAGCAGCAAGGTCTGCTCAGGAACGACAACAAATATTGTTCCCAGCAACTGATTGAGGCTGGAAACCCTGCTTAAGAAAGCTGGAGCCAGCTGGTTCTCATCAGGAGCAAGAAGGCTGATCAGCAGCAGGTGGAGACACTTTGCCTTCTGCTCCTTCAGGCTGCTGCTCAGCAGGTGAAGCCGACTCCTGGCCCATGACAAGCCCATTTACTCAGATAAGAGAGATCCTTCTTACATACTTCCATTTGGAGAGCTCGCTATTTATACCTGCCCTCCATTTCCTGTCCCTTAACCTGTTGATTATTCATCTCTCCTCTTTTTCCATAACTGCCAAGCTTACTCAGCAGTCTTTGGTGAGGGACTTGATCAAAAGCTTTTTTGAAAACCTAAGTACATAATGTCTTCCACATCAACTCCAGCCGTATGCTTATCGGCACTCTCAAACTGCCAATTGTTTTCTTTTTAAAAAACAACAACGCATTTGCTAAAGTCTTGCCAATGAGTAGTTGTTCTGCTTAAAATGGATGCTGGGAACAAATTGGCAGAAAAGACACAGTAAGTTACATTTCCAATTCCAAGCAGAAGATCTACTGTCTTTGATTTACTGTTAATCGAAGTCTGAACCTCGTTCTGACTTTGGCTTTTCTTCAGTGTGAAATACATGTATTTATGCAAAGGAAATTAAAATTGTGCACTTCTGACTTTTTAAATTTTTTCTGCAACAATCTGCAGTGAATAAATGAATGAATGAATGAATCACACAGTTAAAAGAAACTAATAACTCATATTTATCAAACTTCAGGCCTTTTCCATTCCTAAATATGCTTTAAGTATTTACATTTTTAAATGATCTTTCTCTATGCATTGTCTGCCCATGTACTCAGTTAACATTGCCCTGTCAATAAATTGCCACAAGAGTTTGCAAGACCATTTTTAGAGCAGATTTCAGTAGCAGAACTCCAGACTGTTAACACTATTTCTAATTGTACAGAACTACTGGCAAGCTGCTTAAACCCACTGTGGCTATAATAAAAGGAAACAGATTGAGGGTGTAATATTTAACAACAATTCATCCAGTCACTCTTTATTTTTTGAAGTAATTTATATATTTGAAATCAATTAGATTGTCAAAGGCCAAACCACTAATGAATGTAATTTAATACTTTGTTACTAATGCACAAATAAATAATCGCATGGGAATTTCCAATTGGGAAATCTTCCTATTTCCTTTTTTCTCAAACTGAAAGAATAAATGAATATATCAATTTGCTAACCTGTGAGTTGTCCCGTATATATTTTCCATATAACAAGCAAAGCAGGACATAACTCCATAAAATGAAGCAGTATTACAAAATATCCTTAGTCATCAAATTCTAGCATAGCCTCCTTTTCTAACTTTCACTGCTAGCTTAGCAACGTTCTGCACAACTTTCACATTTTCTGTATCGTTGCTACTTATTAGTCATCACTTATAAAGATTTAGATTTGTAAGTGAAATGGGGGGGGGACCCTGTCTCTGGACTGCATCACTGCATGATGCAATATTCTCCCAATATTCTTTCTGAAAACCTGGAGGGTCGTTACTATATAGTATAGACAGCACTGAGCTTGATGGGCCTGTTGGACTCAATATCAGGCAGCTTCCTATGCCCCTATGCAATATCTAATTTTCTATATTTATGGGGGTGGGGAGCATATGGAAGGGAATTCAATCATGTGAGTCCCCACCTGAAATCTGGCTGCAATCTCTAATTCTTGTTTGTGAAAACCAAGTCCAAGTGAAGCTGGAAAGGCCACTTCTGGCTGCAGCCACCATCTAAGGCTTACAGGACAATCTTATGCATATCTATTCAGGAATGATTCATCGGTGGGAATTTCCCACTGATTAAAAAATGCAGTCTTAAGCAGCAAAGCTGGATCCAGGAGGATCTCCAATCTGCTTCTCCTTGGAAGAGTTTAACCCTATCACAAAATAAGCCAGTCAACAGTTCTTGCATAGCCTGAGCCAGGGATGAGGCAACAACAGCTCCCTTGAAGCTCTCTGGTAAGCTCCTGTCCTTGACTGACCAGCTGCCAGATTCCTACCCGTGAGTTTTTGTAGAACTGGGGAAACGGGTACTTCCATGCGGACATTTGTTCCAGAATGTGGGTAAATAGAATACTGCCATAAATGGGACAGTCGTGGAATTCCCCCTTCCTTTTGATACAGTGTGGCCCAGCTTGCTAGACCTTTGCCTTTGCCTCTTCCTCTTGCCTAGTCCATTCATGGAGAGATATGGCCTTCACAGTCTGCTTCCTGTGCCACGTTAGGCTGCATCCTGCACTCCTAGAGGACCAGAAGCAGCAGTACACTGGAAGCTGAGTATGACCAGTCAATGGAAGCCACTTATTGGATGTTTTATTTCCAAGGTGAATATCTAAAGTCCCCCAAAATATTTTTTAAATCATCATCAACATGTGCATCACCAGTTTCCTTTCCCCCTAAGAACAGAACTAACGCAAATAATTTTCTCATAACTTTTTTGTTTTTTTAAATTGTTGAATCCTTTAAAATCAGAAGACTATGGGCAGTTCAGGCTTTAATCATTGTGGTTAAGACAACCCTTTTAATAGAATCACAGAATTGTAGTGTGGGAAAGGACCGCTAGGATCATCTAGTTCAAACCCCTGCAATGTAATAATTTTCTTTTTCTTTTTGCCCAACGTGAGGCTCGAACCCACAACCTTGAGATCATGAGTCTCATGCCCTACGGCCTGAGCTATTATATAGTTCTGCATAGGAATGCATTTAGTGGCTGCTATGGCATGTAATTAGTGAGTGAGGCATTTAAAGCACAATCTCAAATTAAGTCCTTGCCCTTTGTTTATGTCGGGCCTCATCTTCTCTGACATACGTCTCTGACCACAGCAAAACCTCTTGCCACAGCAATGCCTTGGATAGTCACATTATATGCAGCTCAGAGTTTATGTAAAGGTTATATTATATTTTAAACAACAATGCAATAACATGAGTGAAAGGTGAGCACTCCAGGAAGAGTGCCAATGAGAAATATTGATTCAATGAAGTTCTTTCAAAATACAAGATGCAAGGGCAACTCAACCACTTTGGTACCAGGGCAAGAGGTTTTGAGCTCTCTACAGCAATCTATTTTCCAGTTTTCTGCTTTTTCCTTCCCTTTTCACTCTTTTCTTTTCTTATGGCTCAATCTAATAAAGTGTTGAATAGTGAATACTCCAAGATTTGCTTTCCTATCCTATCCTATCCTATCCTATCCTATCCTATCCTATCCTATCCCAAACTACCAGCGATAGATTACAGTATAACCTTAATATGCTTCACAACAGTCCTGCAAAATAAGGTAGGCAAAGAGATGGTGATGTCTGGCAAGCTTAATGGCTGAGCAGACATTTGAATCTGAGCCCCTAAGTACACTCTCCACTGCAATTAATAAATAATAGTAATAACAATACTACTACTAATAATAGGATTTCTATATTGCCCTTTATCAAAAGATCCCAGGGCAGTGTACAACATTAAAAACATATTTTACAGAGCATAATAATAATAATATAAAAAGCATGACACTAGATTCCATAGGGATGTTTATGCACATGCTGAAACATCTTTTAAATAATTAGCTGGATTAATCAAGATTTTATGCAACATCAGCCACAATGGGACCTTAAGTACTGTATATTATTCACAAAATCTGCATCGGGGTTAGAGAAGTCCAGATAAGGACCACTTACATGTGGTGTTCTTTTCTACAATGCTACACCCATGTTGTACATGTTGTACATTATATGGTAAGGGGACCTGGCTTTCTCTCTCTCAAATTCATGAAGCAACTCACTATAACAGCTATGTTTCATATGACAATTTGCTGTGGGTAACCTCGTTCAGCCCAAGGGCCACATTTCCTTATGGGCATCATTCTGGGGGCCACATGCCAGTGGTGGGATGGGCCAATAGTGCACAGAACAATGACAGGATTCCTCCATTGGTACAACAGGCTACATTCTAGCCGTGCAAAGCTCAGAGGTTTCTACAAACACCACACCCCTCTACATTCTACTTTCCAAGCAAGCAAAAGGCAAGATCACAATTCAAGGAAGCATTCCAGCTCAGCAAAAGCAGTCAAAGAGTGGGTGACAGTAATCCAGAGAGCATCCCAAAGGCTGCAAAGGGCTGGATTTGGCCCCCAGGTCTGAAGTTCCCCCTCACGGCCAGGTCCCCAAAATTTCTAAACAGTGAAACTAGAAGATACCTCACCTCCCAAATATCATATACAGATTACAGATGCTTCAGGTTGTGCATTTTCGGGTTGCGCACTGCGCCAAACCCGGAAGTACCGCAAGGGGTTACTTCCAGGTTTTGGTGCTCACACATGCACAGAAGCGCCGAATCGCGACCCACGCATGCGCAGACGCAGTGCTGCGGGTTGCGAACGCTGCGGGTTGCGAATGTGCCTCCTGCATGGATCATGTTCGCAACCCGAGCGTCCACTGTATAACCAACCTTAAAATCTCAAAACAGCAAAGGGCTTTCACTCTGGCCCGTTGTCAGGTCCTCCCCTCAGCCATTCAGGAAGGCCGTTATAGGAAAACACCATACAAGGAGAGGAAATGCCCAGGAAACAATGGAACATGCCTTTTCCCATTGCCAGTACTATGTAGACATACGAGCCAGGTTTATCCTGCCTATCCTGCACAAATTCCCAGGACGTACAGAACAACTCAACATCTCCCTACTACTACAGGATGAAAACCCAGATGTTACACCCTCAGTTGCTAGATTTTGCACTGCCATGATGGATATTCACCAAAGGATGGTTTGTACTACAAACCAGTCCTAAACAGAAGGTCCATATTGCAAGACCGTTATTCCCCCAAGTCCACCCCTTAAAGTTGTTTCAACTTCGTGTTCTCTAGTTCTTATCTGTTTTAATTATCAGTTCTTATTCATCTGTGTTTAATCTCGGACCCTATTCACATGTTTTATCCTATGCTTGTTTCTTTGTTCTTATTTGCTTTAGCAATTACCTGTTTAAATCCCAACTGCTACTTTATTCATATCTTTCTCTTATGCTGGTCTGTGACTGTAAAAAGAGTTTATTCACTGTATTCTGAACACTGTATTCTGAACAACTGCAGAGATCTAACCACAACCCTGTGCCCAGCCTCAAGTAGCTATTTTCCACAGTTGGCGATTTTGAGCACATTAAGAAGGAAGGGTTAATTTTCCTTGGGGAGAAGCAACATGTTCAAATAAAAAGCCAAGCCCAAATGTGGCTGCTTCATATACACCCCCATACAGCTGCTACGGAGTGCCCACTCTCCCATCTGTCCCAAGCTGTATACCAAATTGGAATTGTCATGATCGTTCTATTATTATCTTCCTGGCTGTGGAATCATGCCCTCCTTGCATCCGTGATGCTGGAAGCCCCCTTTGTGACTTCAGCCAGGGGAGATAAAAGGAAAGGAAGAAACGAGTGGGAAGAAACAATGCCTGATATTGCTGCCTGCTTAAGAAGGCTATGGCAAGTTGCTATGCAGTGTTGCTAAAATGCCACACTGCGGTGCTTTTCTTTGAAACATATTACAGGGTACAAGAGTTAAAAATTTATACTAGGAGGCTCACAAAAGTATAAAAATGCCAGGACTTCTTTTCCTTCCTTTTTTATTAAAGAGGAAGAGATTTCATTCTCTGGGAGTTAACATAACCTTTAGCGTATTTATGGCCACATGATTTAGAAGACTAAAACTTAGTACACATGTTGTGCAAGAGACTCTGATGAACAGAGACCTCTGCAAAGGGGCATTTGTACATCTTCCTTCAAAAACCGGCCAAAAACTGCACCCTAAAATGGCAAAGGTCCTCCTATCTCACCCAGAAAGCTGAAGTGCATATGTATTGTAAGATGTATTAAATCAGGGGTAGCTAACATGGCGTTCCTCTAGTTGTTGTGGGCTGTTGCTCCCATCAGCCCAAGCATTGGCCATGGAAAGGTCCACCACACCTGCAGGGCACCAGGTTGGCTGTTCCTGCCTTATATACTACAGAAGTCTGGGAGTGACATTGCACCATCTCTCTCTCAAAGGGCGAGCATGAAATTTGCTGCTAAATGATCACAAAGTACTTCCACATAACAAGAAATTGAAACTGGTGCCTAGACTCTGTGGTTTCTGCAAGCGTATTTAAATGGGACATTTTTGCATCTAACGCAAACGAAGAACAAACATAGCCTTAGTCTCATAACAGAGGCAGCAGTCCAGAACAGAGCAAGCAAAGCCACACAGAGGATAGAAGCCCCCTTGTTCCCCATAGAAAGTGGGAGTTCCAATGTCCCTTTACACACCTGAATCAGCCTGAGGTGGAGCAGGATTTCCAGTACCTAGGTAAAGTGAAGGGACCGCTGACCATTAAGTCCAGTCGTGGACGACTCTGGGGTTGCAGCGCTCATCTCACTTTATTGGCCAAGGGAGCCAGTGTACAGCTTTCAGGTCATGTGGCCAGCATGACTAAGCCGCTTCTGGCGAACCAGAGCAGCACGCAGAAACACCGTTTATCTTCCCGCCAGAGCGGTACCTATTTATCTACTTGCCCTTTAACGTGTTTTTGAACTGCTAGTGGCAGGGGCTGGGACAGAGCAATAGGAGCTCACCCCGTCGCGGGGATTTGAACCACCGACCTTCTGATCGGCAAGCCCTAGGCTCTGTGGTTTAACCCACAGTGCCACCTGCGTCCCTTTTCCAGTACCTATGTTTGAGTAATTATTTTGATTATTTATGTGGGACTATATGAGAGAGATGCATTTGGGACAACAATAGAGTCACTTTTGAGAGCCAGCATTGTGTAAGAGTTAAAGCCTTACACTGGGGAGACCAGCATTCAAATCCCCACTCCTCATCACTGTGGGATCCTGGGCCAGCCATGCTCCATCAGCCTAACCTACCTCACAGGATTGCTGTGAACTTAAAACGTGTCTTCCTCCCTGAGTAAACCAAAAGCCATTTGAGAGCTTATTTACTCCTGTCACAAGAAACTCTATTCATTTACATATGGACACACATACTACCTTTTTGTATGCTTTCGGTCATGAAGAGCCCAAGCATGAGTGCAATAACGTTTAATAGGTCTAAATCAAGCAGACACCTTGTAATTATATCAAGAGGTACTTAAGAGGCTCTTGTTTCATACTGAGCCTGGAATCTGCTTTGCTATGGAAGCTATTTTATAATATAAATAATCTATTTTAAAAGTGCCATTATGTCAGAGGACTGTGACTGAAACACCTCCAGGTTAAAGGAATGCATTATTCATTACAAGGCCTTAGATAGTCTTTCCAAATAAATCATACCGTGCCAAAAAAAAAAAAAAAAAAAAAAAAGGACAGACATTTTTAGGGCTTCACACATAAAACTAACTATAATCACACAATGATTAAAACAATCAAAATTCCTGGTGCAATGACCACAAGTAGATGTGAGATGATGGAGCAGAAGTAACTTTGTAGGAACTGGAACAGAGACATGTAAAGTCACATCTACACAATGTATTCAAAGTACTCTTACACCACATTAACCTTTATGGGTTCCCCCAAAGATACCCAGGAAATATAGCTTGTGAAGGGGGCTGACATCACAGAGATATAAATTACAGCATCCTCAACAGATTACAGTTCCTGGGATTTTCCATGACCATTGCAGCGAAGAAAGAGTGCTTTAAATATATGGTATGCAGAGAAAGCCAAGGAGGAGGAGG